TACCCTATACCTCATAGTCTAAAACGACCAAGTAAACCAGCCTACCCTGTACCTCACGGTCTAAAAAGTAGCCTACCCTAGAATAGTTACCTATACCTTACTATACTCTATATATATCCTAGAAGATTACTTTTCTAAGACTATACTTAGGATTAGTATAGGCTTATACTACTAACTTAGCTAACTAGAGATAATAATATTACCTAGATATTACTCTAGAAGCTATATAAAGTCCTAGATATCTATTATAAACTATCTTAATTTCTTTATCTATTCTTCTTATTCCTTTCTTCTTTATAATATAATACTTAGTAATAAAATAACTAACTTTTATTTAGGAATAGGTACTTATAGTAGTAGTATAAGCTTAAGTGCTAGATATTATGCTCGCTGAGACACTGTTAGTCGCTGCCCTAGCCCGCGTCGCCGCCGCCGCTGTCGTCGCAGTAGCGCTAACATCTAAACTGACGCTGCACTTTCCGCTGACTACAAGCTTCATATTTCCGTCTTTAACGATATCTATTTCAGAAAAAGTGATTACACTAAACAATTTAAAAAAAAAAGTAATATATATATAGAGAATTACCTAACTTATCCCGCTGTCTTTGATGCTGCCGGCTAAGGCCCGCTATAGGACATTAAGACGTCTGCCCTTATAGGCACCATTATGGACGCCGAGCAGCCGTAACTCGTCGTCCTCAACGGCGACCTCATCTCGGGTGACGAGTACTAGGGCAGGGAGATTCTCGACCACGTCGACTGCATCGTCCGGCCCGTCGCCGCCCGTCGCCTCCCCTGGGCCTCGACCTACGGCAACTACGACAGCAACTATAATCTCTCGGGCGACTAAATGTACCACCGCGAAAAGACGTACAATGGCTCTTACACGGAGCGCATGGTTACCGCCGGTTCCTCCTCTAGGAGCCCCAACGCCGGCGTCACAAACTACTACCTCCCCGTCTACGCCGCCGCCGCCGGCTGCGACCCGGTTTCTGAAGAATTGGCCTGCGTGCTGGAGTTGCTGCTCTGGTTCTTCGACAGCCGCGGCGGCAAGTATTACCGCACGCACACCCGCCAGCCCGGCTGGGTCGACGAGACCGTGGTGGACTGGTTCATGGCCACGAGCAGGCAGCTGGCGGACCAGTACGGCAGGGTGGTGCCGTCGATTGCGTTTGTGCAGCCGTGCTGAAGAAGCAAGGCCCCGGCGGCCACGTCGACCTTCAAAGGCACCCGGGCATCAACGACAACAAGATCAACGGCCAGAGCCACGGCTGGCCGCGCAACGCCAACAACGCCACGCGCACCGGCGACCGCGGCGGCTACACTGGGCGCGACGTCCCCTTTATGCAGGCACTCGTCGCCACGCCAGGCCTCATCGGCCTGTTTTACGGCCACGACCACGGCAACACCTGGTGCTACCGCTGGACCGGCAAGCTTGACGGGCTAGACGTCGACGCGGGCATCGCCGGCGCCGGCTTACACCTCTGCTACGGCCAGCACACGGACTACGGCGGCTACGGGTACTGGGTCCGCGGCGAACGCCAAATTGTGGCCACAAGGAAAGGGCTTCGGAACGGGACGCTTGACACGCACACGATGCTAGAGACGGGTGAGGTCGTTGGCAAGGTGACGCTGAACAGCACATTCAACGACGATGTGTATGACACGGTGCCAAATGTCAAGACGTTTATGCCGCTCTCGGCGGGTAAGGAGTCGACGAGTCTGGCGGTCACTTTGCGGCCGGCGTTGGCGGTGCTGGCCCTTTTGCTTTTTTGTAATAAAAGGGGTCGAGCAGCATGGTAGTTGTAGCATAGAAAGGGGCGTTTGAAGGGTTCAGCTCTTGTTTTAGCAAAGCTTTATGCATGTACAGTCGATATACCCAGTTGTGCAAGGCAACAAAAGTTATGACATTTGGTTTCATTATATATGTGTTTCGAAGGATATCAAGTTTTACTTCCCATGGGCGAACAGACGGACAATGGCCATAATCGACTTTGAAGCTGACCAAGACCGTCTAGCAAGGGCCTTTCTCTGGTGGTTGCGCCCTGTCACCCCATTGCGAGCGTGAATGAATGGTCAACTCTGTACTTTGTGTGACACTCCCGAATGTATCCCTGCCGTCTTCTTCGGGTTCAGTCGTTGGGCCAAGAGCATACTCATTCTGCAAAGTTTCGGCCACATCGACTTCTGTCACAGGTAGCCTCAAGCGGCGCCACCGTTGGGCACTGCGTGAGTCGTAATCCTGCAGTATCTTCGTGGAGGGTGTCAAACCCGTAGACTATAGAATCCGCGATTAGCTAAACCATTGCTGTGCTGGAGCTATCAGACGAGGAGTGCCCGTTTCATACATACCTTTTCCGCAAACGCTGCGCTTCGCAGACCAAACTGATGCGCCATGAATTGCAGCCTACCCTTGGCAAACAAGCGCTGGTCCTCCGTTGCAAAGTCGTGGTCCTGCATCGTCGTCAACGGGAGCAGTGCAAGAAACGCTGCGAGGCTGCTCTCCGTTCCATCCTGCCCGCACGCAAAACTCGGCATCGTCGGCAGCAGCGCCGTGCGATTCCTGAACCACCCAAGATGATACGGCACCCCCGCCATGGCCTCGCCAATGACGTCGGCGCAGCGCTGCGCAAGAGTTGCGTATTCTGGGAGCGACTGTAAATCCGTGCGTTGGTGTATGAGGGCAGAGCACCGGAACATCGAGTTGACCAAAATGAGCCGAGACGTTCGCACCATGCTCCAGATGCCTCCCACCCACGGACCTCGGTAGCTATGAACTGGGCCCGGAAGAGCCTCCATCTTAGCTGGGTTGGCCGAAGAAGCGTGAATCCACGCGGCAATGCCAAACTTGAAGTACTCTGGCAGCGTGTCGGGCCACTTCCGGAAGTGCTCCTCGAGCGCTTGGCACTTGGCCATGATGACTGATAATTGGTCAAAGTCGTCGAGTGTGGCACAATCGAGGTCCAAGAGGTTTTCTAGCTCATTTCGCATCTCTGTCGTCTTTGTCGTCAAATGAAGCCCTACCAAGGCGTACCTGTCTTTGAACGTTCCTTTACCCCACCATTCAGAGCTTGTCGGCGGAGGTTTCCCTTGCAACAAACCAAGCAGAATCTACAGGCGTAAGTCGGTCTTCGGAGAAACTCGTATATGACGGAGAAATTTCTTACTAATTTGACTCGCACCGCAACAAAGATGCCCATACCGAGATCAGTGTCGAGTCTCTTCCAGCTTCTACTGTTCATCAGTTGCATCGACCCTGAAACATGAAAGCTCCATCCTTGAATGCCGTGTGTGCTCGCCGATTGTATTTCATATATTGCAAGGAGCATTACCGTGGCCAGAGTAGCATCGCATGTGGCGACACTGGGACGGGACAGGGCGTCCGATGTTGCAGCCAACGCTTTGACGTAGAATGAAATGGCCTGCCGCTCGACTGCTGGATCAAGCCCTCGTCGAGCAAAGGAGGAGAGCGAGCAAGCCTTGAAGGCCAAGTGGAACGGACTACCCTGTGCCGCCTGTCTGGAAATAGGGAGCAGGAACTCGAAGATGCCCCTGTTGGTGCCTGGTGGTGAAAGGAGGACCCAGTTGGAGAGAAAGTGACAAGATGCGGCGTCTTGTAGAGTAATCTTGATCGTCGAGTCCAGTGGTGATGAAGCTGCGTCTGCTGTATACGCAGCATAAGCGCCCCAGTGATTGAACAGGTATTCCTCTTCATCATTTGATGATGAAGAGCTGGAGTGCGACGTTTCCTTTCTGACGGGCTTGCGAATCTCAGTATACGGCCGGAAGTGACTCTTTGCCAGGACGGGATAGCCAGGGCACTGTCGTTTGATCTTGCGACAACGATTGCAACAAGGTTTCGTCTCATCGCACTGTCAACCCGATCGTCAGCCACTAGTACCTAGAGTAATCCGATGTGCGCTGAGCACGTGTGTCAGGACATGTATACCTTGATCTTGCGGGACCTGCATAGATAGCAGCCGCGGGATGGAACACCGGTATAGACCATGGTGAGCGTAAAGGAAAGTAACAGAGGCAGAGGGGTTATCTTGAGGAAAAGAAGGTCAAGCTGATAGTACTGGCGATATCAGACGGTATTTCCAGGTCCACCTCATCAACGGGCGACGCACGCCACAGATTAGCCAGCGCTGGGCGAGTGACCATCTCCGTCTGGGGAGGCTGTGCAGTAACAGGCGAGAGCGAGGCTGCGCATTAAGAGAAGTTGAAGAGCTTTCAAGGAGGGGCAACATGCGCGTCGTATTAAGGGGGTAGACGTGATTGAATTTTTTCGAGTCGATGAGACAAATCAGGTTCATCCCAGAGGCCTGGTTCGCGGGCAAGATCAGGTGGGGGTGGAGTTGACGAGCCAGAGCCAGCTGAATTTTAGGCGTCTACTCAGTAAGCCTGCACGGCTGCGACTGAGACAAGTGAGACATGTAGGCCGAATCAGTGCATCTGCAGGATTTGATTCAAACGTGATTGATCCTTGGATGACGGGTTCCGTGTCGCTCCGTCCACACATACTGCCTGGCTATCGATAATCCACATCTCCATGCTTTCAATTCACGAGGCTGGCTCGATGTCGTCGCATCGACTTGCCAGCCACGACCAAGGTAATGAACGGGAGCGTACATTGTAGCGTACATTGTGCTTTAGAAACGGCCAGCACAATGCCAGTGCCACAGCAAGCCCTGCGGTAGGACATCAAACGCCAGCCCCTCCGATCCGTACATGTATAAACTGCCCGCCACTTAGAAAATGCAGATAACGAGAGCAAATGAAGATTTCTTAGATTCAATGCATGAACAATCCGCCACCAAAGCTAAATGCAAACTTATGATCCAATCATGCCAATACTTGCTGAAACAAAGATAAAGGACATGTACAAACATCTGAAAATGCCAAGGGGAGCCTTTGCAACGGCTTCTCGGGTATCGTGTTGCAAGGGTCGAGGCCCGTCTTTATTCGGTGACAACCTCAAGGGCCGCAATAGCCCGGAGCAAAAGTAATTCTGTCGTTTTAGCAACACCTCGACCTTGGTGTGGGCGCCTCGTCGCGCCGGTCAGTGTCCTCGCTCCCGGGACGGTCCACCGTAATGGCGGGCGAAAAAGCTGGCGAAAAGAGCCAGCTCCTGCGGTCCCGGCCAACGCGGAAGCTGCCCTTGTGGTCGCGGCCGTCAAAGTAGCTGCCGTCCATGCCCTCGAGGTAGCCTGGCGTGCCGGGCAGGGCGGTGGCGAGGAGCAACTCCTGCTGCATTTTGCGGTTCTGCTCGACGAGCTTGCGGGCGACGACGCGAAAGACCTCCTCAACGCCCTCGCCGCTCTCGGCGCTGATTTCGTGGCACGCGTCCCAGCCCACCTCTTGGCCCCAGAAGCCGGAGCTGCGCTTGGAGCTGGGGCTGCGCGGCTCGCCAACGGGGCTGGCAGACGGCAGGCTCGTGTGTCCGTAGGGAGCCGTTGAGGCTGTGGCTGTAGGCGGCGGGGTGCTGCCGAGGCCGGGGGCCAAGTTCTCGGCGACGTATGCGATGCAGCGCTCAAAGGGCACCTGGCGCGCCGAGGGGTCGCGGGCGACAATGTCGGCCTTTGTGCCCACAACGTGTAGCACTACGTCGTGGGGCAGGTTTTGCCGGAGCTCGGTCAGCCAAACGCCCATGTCGACAAACGACTGTGCGTCGGTTATGTCGTAGCAGAGTATGCAGGCGTTGGCGCCGCGGTAGTATAATCGGGAAATGGATCTGAATCGTTCCTGGCCGGCTATGTGGGGGGGGGGGGACATTAATTAGCACACTGATACTCGATTTGATCAAGGCTTTGATCTGAGCTAACCTGTGTCCCATATCTGGAGCCGGACAACGGTATCGCTATCCGTGTCGACGACGCGCTTGGTGAGAAAGCTGGCGCCGACGGTGGACGTGATCTGGGCAGGGTTAAATGCGCCTCTACAGTAGCGCATGACGAGCGATGTCTTGCCCACATTTTGGGCGCCAAGAACGACAATCTTGGCCTCGAGGGAAGACATTATTCTTTTTCTCTTGTTGTGTTAGCAACGGCGGGAGCGTTGCTCGTTCGCGGTAGGCGGGCGTCCGAGTGTGGATACAGGTATCTAACAAAACATGGCAGGGCGGCTTTGGAAAAGAAGACGCGCTATTTACAGCACAGAGCAAGATTTCAGGCAGTTCGACATGATCACACCGACATGGCTAGCAGCGCGGTTTATGTAGAGGTCGGAGGGTGGCAAGGGAGCTCGAAGGCGGGGAGCGACGATAGTGGGTTGTTGTGGTAGGCGAGCTGCCGTTTTTGCGCCGGCCTTGTGCGCTCCGTTGGACGTGGCTTGTGTTAAAACCCAAAAATTCGGTCTTGTCTGGTATGTTGCAACAGACGAGGCTTGTATATGTATTCGTGTCGCGTCGGTGGTGTTGTTTGCGTGAGCGAGGAGGCAATGGCTAGTCGTAAAACGGCCTTGTATAATCTGGTGGGCAACGGGAAGTGAGATTGTAGGTAGGTAGGCACGCGGGTGACAAAAAAAATGGCCCATAACGAGAGTACCGAAGTTTAGCTGCCTATATTTAAATAATTCTTCATAAACCCTAGAAAATGTTTATTAAGTGAAGATGAAGACGAGATTAAAGTTTAGTGACTAAATTATTTCTTGTGTCTTTTATGAATTTTTATGAATCTTCTATTATTGACTATTCTTTGAGCCTTTCGTTAAGTATTATGCGGACGCCTTGCAAGAATGGGCCAGCTTTTTTGTCACCCCCTTGGTAGGTACCTAGGTATGGACGACAAACGTCTTTTTTGGGCGGGCCACGACGGTAATTTGGGCGAGTGGGGAATGGCAGAGACTACTGTAAGCTCAGCAGTCACTTGTCAACCCGCCAAATGCCGCTGTAGTGGTTCCCCGCCTTGATCCCTGTCTGTCTTTTTTTTTTCACGTTGTATCATGATGTCAGGCAAAGAAAACAACTATACGTTGCGGGTTGGAATTGACATGTAATTGCCGCGAGTGGCTCACGGGACCTTGGCGTGGGCACTGGCATGTGGTCAGAGTGCGGGGAGGTTTGTTTCCCTGGTGAACGGTTGGCGGTCTGTCTGCATTGTACAGATCAGTCGCTGGCGCAAAACAGACCGCATGTACACGAGATAAGGCTCCCCAGAAGGATATATGATTTTATATCTACAGGAAGTCAAGGACTTTGGCCATATTTCAAGTGAAATTACTCTATTGGGATCGACATAGTCTATTTATCGTGTCGGGTTGCTTGCGATGTACTGAGTGGTGGTAGATTTACGGCGCGCATGTCCATTGTACGAGGCTAGTCCGGCGCTGCTCCGGTGCCTTCCAGGCCTGTCACGCCTGTCACAGGCTATCAGACCCGCTGTGAGTGGCCGACCGACGTCATTGTTTCTGTCGCGATGGCCTACTGTGGCCATTACAGGTCCAGATGGTGCTATGCCGCTAAATATGCAGGGTCTCGCGCATTCCTGCGAGATGTACATTTTTACATCGTCACCTTGTCCGTGTGTGGTCATCGACCGGTTGGCGGTGAAAAAAAAAAGGCAAAGCAGAGACGGTTAAATAAGCAATTCGGCGCGGCCTTGATATTCCGACATGGAAGCTTTTGCAGATAATGATACAGCCTGTTCATGTAATCAACTATCTTGCTCATCAGGAGCATTGTTCAGCCTTTCGTGCCGCCGATCAGCACGTGTACCTGCACGCTCTTATCGCGAGCTTCGTTGTAGTAATTAGTACGTTGGTGCACCCACACCATTAGATATTTTTGGTTATCAGCGCCCAATTAGTTAACCGCATCGCGCCGCTCCATAGATACTACTACCTTAGGTAATCTGCAAAAATCCCTGGAAATTTTTTACGTGGACGATAGATGAATTGTCTCCCTCACTGCGCCTCTTCGGCGTCGTTGTACCCAAATTGCACATCTTGATCAAGGTGCGATATCACTCGCCCACTTCCGTTTTAAAGAACAACTAGCCGTCGTAATGTATTGCAAAAGTGCAGATGCCGTAAATTCTCTGTTCAATTTGGCGTCTTTTGATGACACCTTTGCCCATAGTCTCCATCACTAGACAATTACCAGCGCAGTTTAACAGTCCGTATTGTTGAGTTTTAATGGGGTTATTTTCACGGAGATATGCTAAGCGGACTGACTCTTTCTACTTAGCGGACCGACCACGTGACGAGATTTTCCTCAGTACATGTATCTCGGTGTATTCTATATGCAAATTTAAGTACCTAAGAAATGACTATGATTTTGCTGCTTCGCCTGCACGCGCGCGCACGTACACGCACGCACGGATACGTATACGCACGCACGTACACGCACGAAGCCTTTAAAGGGCACTCGAGGCGTATAAGGCATCGTAGGCAATTAGTTTATTTAAAAGAAAAATCCCATTTTCGGTGCGTGGCTAGCGAAACGCTCTCTTAATGCTGTTAGTTTGCTGCGGTACCTAGATTTTAGTGTGTTGGGCTGCAAAAGGTGAGTACTCTTTTAGAGGGATGTCACGTGGTCGGTCCGCTAAGTAAAATGAGTCGGTCCGCTTAGCATATCTCTTTTCCCGAGCCACTGAGCTGTTGTCGCTCGGGAAGTCGCAAACCTCAAACTCCCCGACCGAGAACGTGATTGCAACGGCACAGCCCATATGTAAACCATGGAAACCCCGAATAGCAGCACATGCTTGTTCACACAAAATACAAATCACTCGCTCGCACGGCTTCTGTCAAGTTTTCTACAATTTTGTTAATTCACAACAATCATCCTTATTTTCAGCCACTTTTTTCACAATGCGTCCGTCCATCTTGCGACTCTCGGCCGTTGTGAGCCTGGTCTTCACGCTCATTTCGAAATACCGGCACTCTTGAAAATTACGCTGTATTGCGCGTATGTTATTTCTGCGACGAATGCCGGTTACTTCCCAGCATTTTACTGACTTTCGATGCGATTGCTAGGTCAACACTTCCATGGCCCCCAAGGCCGTGATTGAGTTCGGTCTCAATCAATTAACTGGTAGCAACAGCATGCGCTCTATTGAGGAATTGACCTCTCGCAGCAATAGCTGGCTTGATAGCCTAACTTCGGACGTTGGGGACTTTCTCGACGACATTGAAAAGAACATAACCAACGCGTTCACCCATGGCATTGACAGCGTCGTTGGCGATGCTGTTGCGACGGCGAAGCGCCAACTGAACATTTCAGACTGGTACTCTTTACATGTTCTGGGCACTTGCCAGGGCGATTACACGCCAAATGCGACTGTGAGCAATCCGGGTCGCCGCACAAAGGGCTGCAGAGAAGACGTGAGGCGTGAGTTGTTCTCTTCCTACTCTTCGGCCGCATTGATTTCTAACTGTCTACTCCTCAGATCGTTTCAACCTTGCCGAGGTACTGGACCAGCAGTTTCAAATCGGTAGCCGCAACGTGAGCCTCGGCGACCTTGAGTGGACAAACTCCATACGGGACCAGGTCAATGGAATCAACGACGACTTGTACTCTCTGGTCATTCTATTGTCCCTCGCCTTTGGCTTGCTCGGCGTCGCACTGTTTTCGACCGTGGCAAACGTTGTCTGGCCTGGGAAGAAGAGTCTGGTTCTCGCGACGCTCGTATTAACGACGCTTGCCAGTAGCATCATCATGGGCGCAAGCATAGCAGTAAATGTGCAGACCTCGCGATCGACAAGTGAATTGAACAGGAGGACCAAGAGAATCGGAATAGAGACCTCGCGCGGCAACCCATTCCTGTTCATCATCTGGACACTGATGGCCTTTACAACCATAGTGTCGCTGAACTGGCAGGCATTGTACCTGCTAGTGAGACGAGATGCGCGACGCGCCGAGATTGTCAAGTACTCTGCCAAGCGAGATGCATCAGGACAACTATTAAACTCAGGATCCGATGGACCAACTCAGCGAGAAAAATCAAATAAGAAATCAAGACTATAGTGCTAGAGTACTTTCTTCCGTTCAACATACACGTCAATAAAGGACTTGTTCAAGCATGGGGCTTTGTGTAACTTGGTCAAGCATGAGGCTTTGTGTAATCATGTTGAAATTGGGTATTATTTTGGATAGGTTGCGGGTGACGTTGAGCACCTCCGCAGGGTGTATATTCGCAGATCTGCAGGCCACGGCCTTCCACCCGACAGGCCAAAAAGACAAAGTGACAAAATTGAATGTAAAAAAACAGAAATCAAGTACGCCCATCCCAGTATCGAAATGCATGTTGTTGAACATTCGCCATTTCTAAGAGATCGATTTTCCATGTTAAATGCCGTTTCCCCCATGATCGTCATTTGCTCCAACAGAGCAACTTTTTGTTATTTCAGACAGTTGGCAATTAGATGCCAGCCTCGAGGCGCCAGCCCTCAACAGGCAGGGGGAAGGTGCAGCACCACGCGGCAATCTCCTTGCGGAGCTCATTGATGCGATCAACTTCGCCGCTGGTTACCTTGGCCTTGAAGTCCTTGAGTTTGTTGGCCTCCCCGGGAAGGGCCGCCTGAGTATCCTTGCAAATCTTGATGGCCTCGTCAATGTACTTGGCGACACGCTGAAACTCCTTTTCGCCGAAACCACGCGAGGTCATGGCCGGGGTGCCGATGCGAATACCAAAGGGTGTGAGGGCGCTCTTGTCGCCGGGAATGGCGTTTTTATTGCAGGCAATGTTTATCTGCTCAAGGACCGTCTCGAGACGGGCGCCGTCGAGCTTGTGCTCGCGGAGGTCGACGAGGATCATGTGGCTGTCGGTGCCATCGGCAACAAGCTTGTGACCGAGCTCCTTGAAGGTCTTCTCAAGAGTCTTGGCGTTGGCGACGACCTTCTCCTGGTAGGCCTTGAAGTCGGGGGTCTGAGCCTGCTTAAGAGCGACGGACAGAGCGGTGATGGTATGGTTGTGGGGACCGCCCTGGTGGCCGGGGAACACGGAGAAGTTGATGGCATCCTCGAGCTCGTAGAGGGTCTCCTTGCCGGTCTTGGGGTTGACAGAGCGAACACCCTTGCGGAAGAAAATCATGGCGCCGCGGGGGCCACGGAGGGACTTGTGGGTGGTAGTGGTGACGATGTCGGCGTACTTAAAAGGAGTGGGGATAACCTCGGCGGCGATCAGACCCGAGATGTGAGCCATGTCGACCATGAGGTATGCACCGACCGAATCGGCAATCTCGCGCATACGCTCGTAGTCGATGAGACGGCAGTAAGCAGAGGTACCGGCGACGAGAACCTTGGGGCGGTAGAGGATGGCGTTCTTCTGAAGCGTGTCGTAGTCAATGATGCCAGTGTTCTCGTCGACGCGGTAGGGCATGGTCTCAAAGTATGTAGAGACAGCAGAGATCCTATGAGGTATTTTGTTAGGGACTGTTCGCAATACGGTAATCGGGGCTCTCGACATACTTGCGCTGGGGGGTCTGGTAGCCGTGGGACAAGTGACCACCGTGGGGGAGATCAAGACCCATGAGACGACCACCAGGAGCCATGATGGCCTGGTAGACCTGAAGGTTGGCGGGAGATCCACTGAGGCTCTGCACATTGACACCCCATTTGTCGCTGTCGAGGTGGAAGGCTTCGAGAGCACGCTTCTGGCAGAGAAGCTCAATTCTGTCAATGTGCTGGTTGCCACCGTAGTAGCGGGCGCCGGGTAGACCCTCGGAGTACTTGTTGCTCATGGGAGAGCCGAGAGCGTCGAAGACGGCACGCGAAGTAATGTTCTCGGAGGCAATCAGGACAATGGACTCGCGCTGGCGCTGGACCTCGTCTTTCTGTAGTGTAGGGGAGGGGCATTAGCGCGGGGTTGCAGAGAAAGGAGGCTCTTCGCTGGCAGGGCAATCTTACCATGATGGCGGCGACCTCGGGATCAGACTCGAGAAGAGACTTCTCAAGCATCTGTTGAGAAAAGCATTAATTAGCTGTCGATGAGGCTGGGTTAGCAGCAACATGGTACTCACTTCCTTGTGAGAGGCGGAAAGAGCGTATTCGGGAGTGATGGCAACCATGGTAGCGGTCGGTGTGTGATTTCCGGGTGATTGGAAAGAAAGGGGGATGATGTGAATGAGGATTGAAGAAGAGCACGACTATGACAGAGGAAAAATCTCTGGGGGCACACGGTGAGGGCTTTATTAGCAATGGATTGACTTCGTCTTTGGGGAAGAAAAATTTCATCAGAGTCGAGCCAAGGCGGGGCAGCTGGGAGGCGAGACGGCAACTAGAGCTGATAAGATAGGCCATGTTGAGTGGCAGTAAGGTACCGGCCGTGAATCGGCTCCAATAGGGTTGGTGGGGTGGCGACGTCGGCTGAAGTTAACATCAATTAATTGAGGTTTGGCTCATTCTTTAGAAGTTGATAATTCTGTGGAAGTTGTTCTAGGTATTGATAGTTCTTTTCCGAATATATTTTATTTAAAGAAATAAAATGCCAATGCCAGCCGCTAACGAAGCAGAGACGCATCTCATTGCCATGCTCTCTATCTATCAAAGCTATCAAAGACATGGGCCGACGAAACAGTCACCGATGGACGGTGCAGGTAAGTACCTTCCTAGGTACCTAAGTGCAGGCCAATACAGCCGGCCAGCAGCCCCTCACCCTGGCCGGCTCATCGCCCGTCTTCCAGCTTTCACCGATACCGGTCACCTGACCGGCAACAATTCATCATGCCCCTGATCTTCTGTGAAGACTATACAAGTCAATTGGGACGAATACTGTGACAATTCATCTGTGGAATAGGCAAATTTCGGCGTTGGTAGCTGCAGCTCCGGATGGCTCACGGCCACGGAAGCAGGTTCTCCTTATGCGGAACCTCGCATCGTTAACAATCCGAGCCAGCCGCACTAGCTACTACTTTATGGAACTTCATGGTAATTCAGAATTCGACATGGAACACTCCATTTTCCACGACCTGATTCAAAGTAGATCACGTCAAGGCCTAGCGCCAAGTCATTCAGTCATGCTATTCGAGATTCGGATCGTCGCCTACCCTGCAACGCTGCCAGCTACCTGCTTATGCCGCGTCCTTAGCATCAGTTGCTGCTCAGCTGCTATCTCTGCCTCAAATCGTGTCTCTCATTGGTGCGAAACATCCTCAACGCAGTAGTTTCATTCTCCAAGGCAACATGTCATCAAGGCATCGACGAATTGAGGTCCCTGAAGGAGGCTGATAAGCTCTGATGCGACCCTGCGGCCAGCCCCCCACTGATGGCTCCGCCCAGCTACCGTTGCAGCATTTCGCCATTTAGCTGCCACCCATTAGTTAGCAGCAACTGCGTATTCAGCTACCTAGGGATCGAGCAACGTCGACAAATCCCTCTCTTCATCGGATGCGTCCTGTGCACCTCGCCCTTTTGTCGCGTCAACGACGACGTGCTTCCCCGGCAAGACAATGGGATGGCCGTATGAGTTTGTGAAGCTGACGCCAGAGGAGAAGCACGCTCGGCGTGATGTGCTCGATCGTTACGGCCTCATCGCCCACTGTTCCGCACTGGCGCCCATCCTCGTCTTCGGCCTCATCCAGCTCGTGCGGCTGACATATCGCTACGCTACGGGAATCTTGCGCGGCGCCGACGGCCAGGGCACCTATGCTGAAATTCCCAACTCGCCGGCCTTCAAGGCGCAAGAACATACGGCCGCCAGCAAATTCCAGACGGCATGGGCCAAGTTCAGATGGTGGATGGGCGATGAGTTTCGCCTCGCTGGAACCAGCTGGGGTCGCAAAGAGGAATGGGCCGTAGGACTTTTTTGGACAGCATGGTTGCTGCTGCTGTGTTTTTTAGAAACTGGAAAAGGTCAGTACTAGGATCACCCTTCAACTGGATCACCCTTCAACTGATAGGCAATCAACTAGCCAGCTAACCCGCATGATAGACTACTTTCACCTCACGAAGCGCTTTGGTATCATTGCCGTATCGCAGATGCCGATCCAATATCTATTATCTCTCAAGGCGATGAATCCCTTCGCCTGGGCCTTAGCGTCGTCGCATGAAGAAGTCAACCATTACCACCGCATCCTCGGCCGCATCAGCTACTGCCTCGTTCTCGTACACTTGGTTCTGTATAATGTATACTATATCATGGCCAGCAAGTGGGTGGCCAGAATCTTTGCGCCCGATATCTTCTGCGGCGTATTAGCCTCGCTTCTATTCAATGCTATTGTCATCACGGCCATGAGAAGAATCCGCCAAGTTGCCTACCGCGTCTTCTTCATCACTCATCTGGCCGGCGCCTTCTTTGCCCCCACGCTGCTCATATTCCACGCCAGGTCTGCGCGGTGGTATGCTATTGAGTGCTGCGTCATCTTCCTGTTTGATCTTGCTGTGCGCAAACGCTATTGCACCGTGGCGCTGGCCACGATCGAAGCCATCCCTTGCACGACCCTCGTCAAAGTCACCGCGCCGCTTCCACCCGGGCATCTAGATTACTTCCGTGGCGCACCGGGATCACACGTCTACGTCAGTCTGCCCACGGAAGGCCGCAAGGAATCAGTCCCCGCGTCGCAGTCCGCCCTCTTTGACTATTCATACAACCCGTACTCAGTCGCCTCCCTCATCGAAGATGCCGATGCCATCGGCTTCGTCGTGCGCGCGCGGCGTGGCGCCATGAGCCGCGTCCTCACCGCCTACGCTGCGGCCACCCCAACCGCCGAGTCCCCCGAGGACGCCAAGGTGCGCCTCTCCATCGAAGGGCCGTACGGCGCCATGGCGCACAAATACTGCGCCCTTCTCACCAGCGGTGCCAGCCGCGTGCTCTTCGTCGCTGGCGGCGTCGGCGCGACCTTTATTCTGCCCATCTTCCAGGCCGTGCAGGCCGAGTTGCCGCTCGCGCGTCTGCAAATGATCTGGGCTATTCGCGCCGCCGGCGACGCGACGTGGGCCGTGCCGGCCAGCGCAGGCAGCAAAACTGTACTCAATGACGAGCGCATACAACTCTACCTGACTGGCGACGGCGCCGCCACCCCCGATCCCGACGGCGGTGATGAAGGCGCCTCCGCGGTGGAACTGCAGTCACTGCCGCCATTGCGCAGCGCCTTTGGTCGGCGTGCGCGCATGGGCAAGGCCAATCAGAAGAACCGGCGACGGCCCAACTTTGAAAAGATTGTAGACGAGGCGTTCAAGCTCAGCGGGCAGGGCGTTGTCGCGATCGTGGTCTGCGGACCGAAGGAGATGGCGGACGAGGTGAGACGCTGCGTGCGACCGTGGGTAATGAAGGGCCGCAAAGTGTGGTACCACAACGAGAGCTTCGAATGGTAGAGCTCGAGAGGGCAACAGTACATCAATCCTTTCTACGTTCACTCTACGGCTACTCAGTTGTACATACATCTCGCTTTTATTCTGCCCAGTCCCATTCATGCAAGCCCTGTAATCCAGCGAGCAGTGCATAAGTCTCGTAAATCACGTAAAATGGTAAAAACACCGACATTCACACACAAGGATGCTGTCTGAAACCCCTGATGACATGATGCGGCGTCACTACGATATCTGCTTGGGCATCGTGGCGACACGCATCAAAGCCAATGGCTGCTCTCGCTGTGGCCTCCCCGTGTACACTTCATGTCATTTTGACTATCGAGATAATGCGAATAGGCTCGGTCCTCCAGCACATACGACCATAGGCAGTAGAAAACAACCGCGTCCCGTTCGCTCCGCTGAAGTTAAGCTACTGACCGGCAGATTAGTAGTTGGGTCGGTGATGACCAGCGAACCCCGGCTGTTGTATGTTACTTTTTGTCCTTTTACCATTCTGTACATTTGCGGCCGTTTTGATTTTCAATTGTGCAACTCATATAACTAGACAAAGGGAGACAGATGCTCGCTGAATTAGAATCACTGTACATGAAAATGGGCAGAGTTTCTGTTATTCTGACACTGGTACTAATAGGCATTCATCTTCGCAAATGGCTTTCGTGCTCTCGTCTCCTCTATACCAAATGACCCCAGCGCCAGTACTGTTCGCCAAAAGAAGCACATGCACACACACGCACACACACGTACTGAAATAGTCTCGGGGGAATGAGACAGCAGAAAACGCCAGATCTCAAAGTTGCATACGAGGATGAGCCAATATACATACTACGGTCTGAAAGTCGGTGCTCTTCTTCGATTCGTTAACTACTGTCGGTAACGAGATAGATGGGCCATGATGTTCTGTACCGCCGCCGAATCACCGTTGGCTGCGCCGCCGGGTGCTGGAGGGCCGGGATGAGGATAAGGAACCTGGCCACCACCGTAGACGCCGCCGTAGTGAACAGCAGCCGGCGCAGCAGGGGCTTGCACTGTGGGACTACCGCCGAGGGCACCAAGGAGGGCGTGAATGTCGACCTGCGCATTGCCCGCGGGTGGCACAGCCGCATTCGGAATGGTATTGGGTACGGGCGCGGCCATAGCAGAGAGAACTCGCTGCAGGGTCGCGTTGTCGACGTGACCAACGAGCCTGGCAACGTCGGCCATGTTAGGGACAGAAGCAGTAGTAGCAGGCACGGACTGAGCGTACGGGGCTGGAGGAGGAGCGGCGTCATAGGGGCCACCGCGCGGAGGATGTTGCTGGGGGGGAGGATGGTACGCCTGCTGGTAGCCGCCGTATGGCTGCTGAGGGTATGCAGCGGCGGCGGTGCCGGCAGCCTTAGCGCGGAGGACAACCTCGCCGGCTATGGTGGGGTCCAGATCGACGTACTGGTCGAAGCGCACATTGTTGGAGCCACCGGAACGATCAAACACCTGCACAGGAATCTTGCCGATGCTCTGGGCGCGCATATCGAGCTCCACAACGGCATGGACGCCCTCGGCTGCTTGGCGCTGAATCACCTGGTCTTTTGGAAACCGAGGATGTAAGAACATAACTTCCGGCCGCAGTCCCCTTTTTCTGAAAGAGTCTTCGACAAAGGCGACAAAATCGCGGTTGACTTCTTGCTGAAGAATGATCTGGATGTCGGGAACATCGGCACCATACCTTCTAGGCAGGTCGATTTCTTGCTCTTGATGACGGGAGCGCCCACCATACGGACTGTTACTTCGCTGCCGATACCTGCCCTTGTCGTGTCTGCCATAGTCGGGAGATCTGGAGCGATCACGTCCGCGGCCAGAGCCGTGAGTCTTGTCACGGCCGCTGTACGAGTCATCGCGTCCATGATAGCTTTGGCGACGGGGTGAGTGATGGCGACCCCCGCGGCGATCATCTCTGTCGTGAAATTTGTCGCCTTTGCGTGGACCATCTCGGCCGCGGCCACCTCTCTCCGGGCTTCTGTTGCGTTCCTTTTTGGACTTGTCCTGAAGCTTTGATATCTCAAGGTCTGCTTTCTGATTAGTTACTGCGAAAAAAAGAGATACAACGTGTTACTGACGAATACGACGACCCTTGATCTCAACACCTTCGAGATTTTGAACGGCCCTCCTGCCCTCCTCAACAGTGTGGTATTGAACAAAACCGTATGCCGACTTTAGAGAGATTTGAGCCAGTCTGCCGTATCTGTGAAAGATTTCAAACACATCTCTCTTTGAGACTTTGTCACTTGATAAGTTTCCTGGCACATGTTAGTGGCTAAGCTATACGTTGGCATTGACAACGTTTCCGGCGTACCAATGAACAGACGTGAGCCTTCAGGGAAGCGGTCCCACTTGGCTTCAGACATGTACTGTCTCTCGTCGGCTATGAATTGGTCCCAGAGACTCTGATATTCGTCTCGGGCTTGCTGAGCTGGGGCAGACGCGGCAGACGCGGCAGGCGTAGCATTTGGCACAGAGTCATCATGACTGACTTGGGGTAGCAGCGAGATGGCACTAAAGACTTCATTTGAAGTCCCGACCGCAGATTGAGGAGCTTGTAAGGGTTCCTGTAAAGAGGCCTGGCTATATGAGTGGGCCGCTGGTTGTGGGATAGGCGGGCGTGGCGGGAGTGATGATGTGGAGGCTAGGGTCGTTGGACTGCCATTTCCGCTAATTGCAGCTGGTAGGCTTTCGGATTGGGTGGCAGCTGGGTTGGCAGCAACATGCGATTTATCGACATGAAAGTTCAGGGTAGAACTGGGCTCGTCTTGCGAGAATGGCTGCAGTTCATGTTGGGGGTCTGCCGGAGGGGTCCGGGGCACTTTGTTTGCTTCAACAGCTGGGATAGTGGCATCAAGGCCTGCGTGTGTCTGGGCGGCAGGTTGGGAGGCTGGAGCGTCGGACGTGCTCGGCGAGGGATGACTGCTAGAAACAGGAAGAGAGGAGCTTGCCGCGTCCTTTTGAGCTTGAATGGGCTGGGCTTGGCAGACAGTCGAGTCTGGCGCAACTGATACGTCTACGGAGGCGTCCCGGTCCTCCTCTGCTTGGTCTGAGCCGACGGGCGAGTCAAACATTTTGGCATAATCGTCGTTGGGATCTTGATCGCCCGTGTCGGTTGGAGCTGGTAGTTGAGGATCAGTGTCCTCGGCGTAGGCATCGTCAAAGCTGTCATCGTCTACAAAGTCGTTGTGGGCGGCTTCGCTGGTGGAACTGGCGATGACTTGAAGCGCCGTCTCTGGCGCGTCTGCGACTGCGGCAACCATGGCCTCGATGCTATCAAGGGCGTCTTGTAGCGCTGGAACGACAAGAGGAGCGCCGGTATGTAAAGGAGAAGGTGAGACGGGCGAGAGACTGGCCGCCGTTGCGTGGATTTCGGGTTCCTGTTGGTCTGTCATGTGCGACTCCGCTGTGTTTGGCTGCAAAACGCAGTGGTGGAGCTACCTATGGGTGAGGGCGTGGGCGTGGGCTGGGGCGATGCTGAGACTACTCCATGCGGTTGTATCGCGGATAGGAGTCGCTGGTTAGGGAATAGCGCTCAAATCTAGAGGAAGGCGGAAAGTGTGAGGGCTGCGTGAAAGACTTGAAGTGTGAAATTTGTGTTGGTGAGAACGATAACACGTAGGTGGTCGCGGTTGTTAGGTGGATTTGTCAAACGGACGGATTTAGACTCTTTGGAGTGTTTCCCGACTGATATAGAGGACAAAGTAGTGATGGTAGCAGTCGAGATGGAAGAAGCTGCGGCAGAGCGCAGGCTGAAGAGCACAAGTTGAAGATGGAAGTTGGTTGGGTGAAAGAAAAGACGGGACGAACAACAAGTCTGGTTGAAAATTGAAGATGGTGGCTGAGAGCCTGGAGCCTAATGCTGTGCACCTGGTAATACATACCTAGGTAATAATGGAAAATTTCAGGCCCCAAAGCCGCGCGCTAGGCGATTTTGAGCGATGCAGGCGCTACGTGGTTGGTAGAGGCGGTCACCTAATGCGCGCTGCAGCGTGCTGTAGGGAGGTGGCTACAGCGGGGCGCGGCGAGAAGAGGTGCAGGTACCTAAATACCTTACGGTAATTATTACATCAACCTTGGGGAGCAACACCGGAAACTCTTCTACTGATCCATGCCAATATAGGACTGTAATTCATGGCCTTGCAAATCAGTATCCAATCGCAAAAGTGTAAAACAATAGCCATCATCTTTCAACACGACGACGAGGGCTTGTCACAGCCTACCTATGGTCTGACCCTTCTGCAAACCATCGCAGCAAGCCACCTGCAACCACCTTCATGCACCTGAAATTACAGCACCAATAACCCACTGACAGGCGCAACTGGAGGTCAGAGGATCATTGAAACAACAGTGGGGCGCCGCTGTAACCAACCATCACGCACGCTTGCCCGAGCAGACCAAATATCAAGGCCATGACACCATCAATTCTCTTCGACACCACGCATTCGCGTTGGGCAACGGCCGATGCTATCTGAAAACTAGCGCAGCCAACTCATTTCAACACATTGGACCTATCAGCTGGGTCAGCATCTCATTTCTTGCAACGGCCGTCTGCATCGATCGGCGCCCCTTCCCACAGCTCTGGGTGATGGGCCACAATGCGCTTGAGGTCAGCATTGGTGCCACGCGCCATCCTTTCTCCAACGTCCAAGTCGAAAGCACCATTCCCAGTGGTATCTCGGATAGCATTTATACGACACAAACGTTACATTGCCTTTGATTCGGACCTCGATAAGGACGCCCTCGCCGTGGCGCGGAAATGGCATGCGTCCTTTGAGCCATCTCAGCTGCCAAGTGGCACGACAACATATGCTCGATCCAGCGGCCCAGGCGGCCAACATGTCAATAAGTATGTTTCCTGTTTATGTAGTCATTCTTTTATGCAATATTGACAGACCAAAGAACCGAGACAAAAGCCATCTCCGTGTTCCCTGTCAAGGATCTTCTAGCCGTCATCCCGCCCGTCCTTCACCCCAGCCTACGCGTGTCGCCGTATTACACGGCTAGCAGCGATTCACTCACATTTCAAGCCCAGACCCATAGATCGAGGACAGCAAACGCCGACGAGAATCGTGAAAAGTTGGTTTCTGTTATCAAGCAGCTGTATAACGAAGCCGTGCCCGCAGAAACAAGCAGCGACAAGCATGCCAAGTACAAAGAGGTGTATGTGATTGCCTGTAAACCTTGCGGCCTTGTCTATACTAACCAAACCAGAACCAAGCGATTCCATGACTCCAGGCTCAAGGACAAGAAAATTAAAGGCTCAAAAAAACAATCTCGGCGTGGAGGTGACATGTGAGCCACCGAGCTCACCTCTCATCTCTCGACCATGATGCCTGGCCTTTTGCCGGCCTTGCTCACATGACACCAATAAATAGCTGTCGAGATTTGGGTAACGGCAAAAGAAAGATGCTGGCTGTCCCAAATTGTACCAATACAATCATGTAAAAATACGGAGCAAATAGGCACACCGCGGCATATTCAGTCTAGAGCTGGTAGCCCAAATAAGCCAGGAATTACATTCCACATCATTGAGCGACAGAAGCTTCCTCTATGTAGTTGGAAATAGAGCCTCCCACGTTTTACTTGAGTCTTCGCCGGACGATCCGTGGCAAGACAAAGCGAAACGATCTGAGCCAGCTTTATTGAGCCCTCTGCAGTCTGTCGCTGACCAACCCGCCAACGACCGCATCTCCCCCCCACCTATCTCCCCCACTAGTGTGCGTAGACACCATGCCCAGCGCATGCATTTCGGCTTTCCTCTCATACTGGCAAAATTCTATATCGCCACCGTTTATTTAGACTGCGAGACAACGCCGACGACCCCTCTCCCCTATTGTGAACGGCTAGCGTAGAGGCGACACCCATACACAACTGGACAGCCTAGGCGACAAGTTATCGAGCGTGCACCGGACGGATCGACAATCAGTTCCTGGACATTGCCAGACAAGACATGGCGAGCCAGCAGGCGACTGCCTCGCCACAACCAGCGATCCAGCCTTGCCGCTACAAGGTCGGAAAGACGCTCGGGGCAGGCTCGTACTCAACGGTAAAGGAATGCGTGCACATCGACACAGGCCGGTACTATGCCGCAAAAGTCATCAATAAGCGTCTCATGGCAGGGCGAGAGCACATGGTAGGTTGGGCGCTGTCAACCGACACGTCCCATCTCGACAACCACATCTTTTCTTGCTAACTCACGAGTGCGCGGCAGGTGCGAAACGAGATTGCGGTGCTGAAAAAGGTGTCGATGGGCCACCAGAACATCCTGACGCTGGTCGACTACTTTGAGACGATGAACAACCTTTACCTGGTGACGGACTTGGCGCTCGGAGGCGAGTTATTTGACCGAATCTGCCGCAAGGGGTCGTATTTCGAGTCGGACGCCGCCGACCTGATCCGGGCGACGTTGTCGGCGGTGGCGTACCTGCACGACCACGGCATCGTTCACCGCGATCTCAAGCCGGAGAACCTGCTGTTCCGGACGCCCGAGGACAATGCGGACCTGCTGATTGCCGACTTTGGACTGTCGCGCATCATGGACGAGAGCCAGTTTCACGTGCTGACGACGACGTGCGGAACGCCCGGCTACATGGCGCCCGAGATCTTCAAGAAGACGGGCCACGGCAAGCCCGTCGACCTGTGGGCGCTCGGCGTCATTACGTACTTTTTGCTCTGCGGCTACACGCCCTTTGACCGCGACACCGACTTTGAGGAGATGCAGGCCATTCTCAAGGCCGACTACGCCTTTGCGCCCGTCGAGTACTGGCGCGGCGTGTCGTCGCACGCAAAGGACTTTGTCCGCCGCTGCCTGACCATTGACCCCGCGCGCCGCATCACCGCTCACGAGGCCCTGCAGCACCCGTTTGTCACCAGCGACGCGCCCTCGGACGGCGCCGGCGAGAACCTCCTCCCCACCATCAAGAAGAACTTCAACGCCCGACGCACCCTTCACGCCGCCATTGACACCGTCCGCGCCATCAACAAGCTGCGCGAGGCTCAGCACCTCATGATGGACGGCGCCCACTCCAAGGAGCCCTCCCGCGGCGGTGGCGACGCCTACGCGCCCCCGGCGTCGCCCGCCGCCATTCGGAAAGACGACAGTGGCATCGTCATGGACTCGTCGTCGGCGTCGTCGTCCCCGGTGGCCGCTGCTGCTGTGCCACCCCCTCCGCGCGAGACAAAAGATAGCGGGTATTCGACGCAGCCCGAGGGAGGCGTCGCGACGCCGCCAACGACAGCGGCCGCGGCCAAGGTAGATGCTCGCAGCGACGGCAGAATCTCCAAGGGCAGCAGCATCCCGGCGGCGCTGCAACCGGGGCATATTGCCAACAAGGTGATTCAGACGAGCAAGGGCCTCTGGGGCGGGTCACCAGTGCGAGACTGAGTGATTGTCGCTTGGAATTGTAATATATCAGCCGATATTTGGTTGCATGTTCTGTGTTGATTTTCTCTTCTCATGTTGATGTACTTCTTTCTCTTGCATCTTATTGTGCTTCTTCTTCTTCTACTATGTTGCTCTGATGGATGGACAAGTTTGATACCAGCAAGCCACACACATGTCTATATATATTGTCTATATATATACGAAATGACGACCCATTGATTTTACTTGATATTACAAAAGGAAATGCCGATTCACGTCGAGATCCCTCGTGTCTGCTGCCGCACGAATAAGATTAGACTGCCCAGTCACGATTCACTTTGACAAACGTTAAAGTTTTTAATGGTTTTTTTTTTCATATTGCTTCTACCTTCTAATGTCTAGCGAGCGGTATCTTTGGTATTGTAGTTCAACTTTCAACTCGACCCCATCACCTCGTCCTGGGTGATGAAAATGAACCGAGTTCTCAATCATTAGTCGGCCCCAGGTCTTTGAAAAACCTTGACACACGGCAGTGCCTTGAGACCCTTCTCGTCATGTCCGTCATGGCAAGGGCCTGAGCCTGGCCCTCCCTCGTTGTATATATATAGCGAATGTTCAGTGCATGTTTGGTCCTTTCAATTCCCATTCCCAGATGCGCTCCAATGCAACGTTCCCTCCTGTTCACCGACCCCTTCCCATGCACGAATTAAAATAGTGTATGTATACATTACGTAGTTCTATCGGCTTTTGTCCTTCCAAAACGTGGCCGTACGTAAGAAAAAATGAATTAGAAAAAGGGGCAAAAAGCCAGGTCGCAAGAATGCCGAGGCCACTTCCCTGCGTGATTACCCCCCAAAGCGTATTAAAATTAAAGCAGGCCTCGCATGCCTCGAAAAATGGCTTAAGACTCCGAATAAGGCGTGTCGAGACAAAGCACGACAACTTTGTAAAAAACACCAATGTTTTGCGCCAAGTCGCTGTGCCGATGAATACCAAAGATGTAATAAAGGTCTGTCGAAAATTAAATGAAGCGTGTTGAAGATTTGTTCGGGTCGTCGGGCGCGTGTGAGCGTCTCATCTGACAACAACATCGCTGAGCTCGACGTCTCTGCGCTGGCTGTTGCGATCCCATTGTCCGTCGTGCTCGGTATCCAGATCCAACAGCCCAGGTATTGTCTCCTCAGAGGTAACTGGGCTCAGAGTTCCACTACTAGAGCTGCAGCTCGAGCTGCTGCCGAGGGTCCAGTCGTCGCTTTGGCTCGATCGTCGGTTGTCAATGATATTCAGACCGAAGTATTGACCGTATTCTTCGTCAGTAATGGTATGACGGTTGCCAATCTCGACATAGTCGTATTCCCAGCGCGTCAGCTTGTCGGCCTGTCTCTGCGGCAACCACCTAGCACGGGCAGTGTAGAAGAAGGCAGCGGCAATGAGACCGCCTCCGACCAGATCAACGGCGTAGTGGTGGCTCAAATACATGGTAGCCCACCAAACCCAGCCAGCGTACACGATGAAGAAGTTGCGGAACTGAGGGAAGGCGTGGCTCATAAAGAGAGCTTCGAGAACGGCATTAGCGGCGTGGAGCGAAGGGAATGCGCCAAAGGGCAGAGGGGCGTTTGTGAAATTAGTGGTGTAGAGATCGATTCCGAAAATGGCGTCGACGCGCGCGAGGCCAGCGGGAGAGCCATGCATGCCATATGCCGCGGGCGAGAGACCGTTCTCATTCTCATACCATGGCGGTGTGCATGGGAACATGAGCTGAATTGTGACACCACAAATGCTCATCCAGCCAAAGGTGCGCGCAAAGACGTTGACAGTGCCGGGCGCGGCAAAGATGAATAGAATGAGAGAGCAAATGGCCGGCGCTCCAAAGTGAATGATACCGTAAGGTAACCAGGCCAAGATGTCGAGGACAGGATGTTTGTGGGCGGACAGGATGTTGGACAAGTTCGCGCCATACAAGACGTTTTCGAGGGCAGGGAGAACGCGAACCCAGATATGCGGACGATACTTGTAGTCGATGAAGCTGCATTGAAAAATTAGCGACAGCCCTGTATACAGAAGGCGTGATTGGTTCGAGAGGCAGAGTAAACCGTCGTTTTGTGGGACAACTTACCGACTGCAGAAGAAGTAAAGCAGCCAAATCCAAATCATGGACGAGGGGAGCAGAATCTGGCGTGTGGCGGGCATGAGAAGCAGCCAGGCGGAGGCGACGAGGGCGAAGAACTTGAGCGCCGGGGCCGAGGGCGCAATGTAGAGAGAAAAGAGGGTGAGAAAGAGGAGGAAGATGTATTGCAGATCCGTCTTTTTGAACTCGTGTTTTTGCAAGTCGCGCAACCCATCCCATACACTAAAGGAGGTGTAGAGACTGGTGATATCCTCGACGCCCTGATCTCGAGCGTTGGACTTTGTTCTAGGGCGACGACGGCTGTGATAACGCCGAGGAAGGCGGTTCAGGAAGGCCAAGTTAAGGTTCTCGGTCAGGAGATTGGGCAGCTTGGGCTTAGCCGGGAGGGCTCCGGCACGATCCGTCATGATTGCGCGTGCGCCGGAGGCGACGGATTCGAGTAGGACAAAGCAGCAGGGTCGTAAGCACGGTGACTTTCGCGAAAAAATGTAGGTGTCGAGGTTAGAATGTGTTTGAGGTTGCGAGGCAGCCAAAGGCGAGGTGGTGACGTGCTGCCGAGGTGGACACTGCGCTGAAGGGTGTCTTGAGACGACAACCAGGCAGAGAAGCGGGAGTAAGAGCAGTGTCGGGGTATGGGCCGGGCTATTGCATGCTATCCAAAAATGAACAAGAGAGTGTTTTGCGTTGAGGCTTTTTTCGTCTTGTTGCCAGGCGGTCGTGGGAGAGGGACCAAGTCGGCAGGGTCGGCGCTTGAGTCTCGATGGAAACAATCGTCTGGCAATGGCTGGCACGTGCCCAATGCAGATCAAGCTGGGCAACAGGTCAAGGCCGACTGGACAATGGACGAATAAGAGGCAAAATTAAGAGATGCCGGGGAAAAAAGCCGCGGGGATAGGAAGCCAACGAGGCCTCGACGAGAGTTGTGGGAAGAGATGCGGGATGCAAGAAGGAAGAGAAGAGGAAGGGTGTGCGTGCGTGCGTGCGTGCGTGTGTGTGTGTGTGTGTGTGTGTGTGTGTGGCAGAGGAATGAGGTGTGGGAAGAGGAGGAAAATTTTGGGGGGTGTTGGGGGCAAGAAGGTACTGCGCGGGGGCAGGCAGGCCAGGGAGCCCCAGGAGCCCAGGCGGCGCAGGGCAAATTCAATGATGACGGGTTTGCTGGGAAAGAGGCTACATAGGTACCAAGGGAAGGTAGCACTCTAGGCTGTAAATAGGTAGGTACCTCCTGGGCGGGAGGTCAGTAAAGAGGCTTCTTGGCGTAATTGCTCTGATTTGCAGGTGAGGATTGCGCTGTTCCGCAGTCTCCGGGGGGTTGGTCTCACTAGAGGGATCCGCTGAAGGTGCTAAAGGCACGACGACTTGTGCTACTTTTGCCTGTCTGCTACACAAAAAACTGCACTATCCAGTACTGACTGGGATTTGGTAACACCGGAAGCGGCGGGTCAGAAAAGATACATTCACCTGTGGGCCTAGGTACCTCGACTACAGAAACTTTTCCCCCCACATATTTTCAGCCTTGAAAAGCCACGCCAACCAGTCCAGCCCGAATTCTCCCCCGGCGCGGTCGGTCTCTATCAAACCCCCGGCGCGGCGTGACGCTCCTCGGACAACTGGCGAGACGTGGCAACCCTCCCGAACAGCGACGGAGAATGCGGGTGGCCGGTGAGCTGTCCAGATGGAGTTCGATCATGGCACACTCACGCATCGCATTCTTCGTTTGAAACTTTTGCCGGGCGACGCGGCGCTTTCCAGCACGGCCTCTCACTCTCTCGAGGACCCTTGATCGCTTCCCCCGTCACGAAACAAGTCAATTACGTAGTCTTGCAACGGCGCCGCCGCCGCCGGCATACCTTGTTATTATGGTGCAGTCCGGGGAATCAAGTTGAGTTTCCCCCGCTATATGCCCGAAACTTGCCAATAAGTCATCCGAAATACATCTCATAGTTTATGAGTATGGTGTAAGGAAACCAGTTGGTGTTTACATGACCCTAGCTTCCTGCCCCCGGGAGACGCGGACGTAGTAGTGGTCCGTGGATGCCAGACGACGAGGTCATGGGTCGAGATCCACAGAGCCTCAGCATCAGCTTGTGGCTGGCCAGCTAGTTAGAGCAGAGAGGCAATTTGCACCTGCGTCGGCCGCCACGTCACGATGGGCTCGCAGAGCTGAACACGACAGCAGACAGCGCAGACAAACAGCTGCTGCGTCGGTTTCGATCCCCCTGGCTCCCATGCCGAACTCGTTGCACAAGCTAGACTTTTGGCGCCAAGCATGCAGTTGTGCAGCAGTATACGGAGTACTCGGTAGTGCAACGGCGGGATGTGCAGAGATGCATCACCGTCCAATGCGTCATAGGAAGCAAAAGGTACGGGGTATCTAGTCACGAGTCACGGGCTCTCGTTTTAGTTGCCGCTCGTGGCTGAGTTACATGTCAAGAAGCAAGCCATTCTCCGTGCAGGCACAGCAAAGTATGCCGGCTGCGATGCATACATGGCGCGGTGGTGCGGCCAAGGGTCTCTCCTGCGCAGAGAAATTGATTAACGGTTGAGAAGCTGCACAGGTGAGCAGACGTATGCAGCTAGAGGTCGTGTGCGCAGTTGCCGAGATGCTGCGGCATGGATCGTATAGCGTCGCCTATCGAGAAAGGCCTGCTGTACACGGTAGCGGCGGTAGATAGGGCTGTTGGGGCTGGCTGACGTTTCCGACAAGTCGGTGAATCATAACAACGTTGCCGACTTTTTCATTCTCAATTAATAAATGGGGTTGTGTATCCATCTTGAATTCTTGGTTGAAAACTCACACAAGCGGTGAAGCACATCGGTAATTAGACCCAGCGACTTTGGTCAAACAGACGGTGTATCGGGCTGTTGATTTTTGCAGCAGTACGCTAAAGAGCCGGTTTATAAAGAAAAGAAAAATAAGAAAGAATACGCAACAACCCCGCAAAGCAACCTAGGACACAGGTTACAATGTTGGTCACGCGGGCATGAAGAAAACGATGAGCCTTTTGCGTTTGATGGCGAAAAGGGGTTCAATAAAAACTTAGCTTGTTACGATTACTTTGTTTTCATTCGTCGTTTATTCTGTCTTCTAACCAACTGAATAATAATACACATCGATCACGATGCCGAAAGCGATGCCGGCTGCTGATTGGCTGACGCTGGGGCCCTGGGAAATAACGCCAAGCATTTTGGCGTCTCATCGTGCATTCAATATTTTCTGATTTTGATTTTCTCCTTCTCTTTTACGACTATTCAGATTATTCACGCTGCAGCAAGATGCTGTTTTGGGAACTTGCAGCTATTATTGGTGCATGGCAGCAGGCAGAATCTTTCGCGGCAGGCAGAGCTCGGCTGGCGCTTGGCTAGGTTTTTTTTTTTTTTTTTTGGAGCTTCAAACAAACACATGTCATGACGTTGCCTGCAGGGCTTCTTTGTGCTACAGCACTTGTGTGTATGTACGTGCTGGTGGCCAATGGATGGCATCTATCCGTATCTCTCTACGACAAGTACGTTTTCATGATCTTGAATAGATGTCTTTTTGTCTTTTTAATTAGCAAACACGTTATGAGGTCGCCAAGACATGTTGCATCATCTGACGGCTGGTCGCCAACAAACTAACTAGCTTCCTGGGGTCCAAGACATTGCTCTGCGCGGACTCAACTCCTTCATTTCCCCAATGTCCCTTTTTGCTGAATTGGTTGGTCGATCAAAAGAAGCAGAAAAAGGAAAAAAGGTTTAATTTACGCGAGACATCTGATTGACGTGGCTGGTTCTGCCTCGCAGCCCTAACTACGACCAAAGCAAGAAGTTATCCAGACAGACTGAGCAAACGCTTGGTGCTGTGGTGCCCCAGCTTTTGGGAGGCCGCCTTGCACCTCCTACCCCAGCGCTCGCTTCCAGTCCGAGAGCGTGTCAGAGACATGCAGATGCTCCCTTGCATACTCACAGCTCCCGCATCAGATTAGGCAATCCGCAGCTTAACTCTTGAACATTCCTTTGCCCTATTTACAACCCAGAAACCGAGCTAGCTTTCTGGAGCAAAAAGGAGGTTAATAATAGCCATCCTGGCACCCGGATGACACGGATCAGTGGCGGCGTGCAGGGGAGCCCTAGCTGCGTCTCGGTAATTTCCCATGGCCTTAGCCTTTTTTTTTTTTTTTTCCTTTGAAGCCATCGAGCCCCTGGCCTGCATGTATGTACATGCACCCCCAGTTGCACACGCTACAATGCTAGCCTGGTTGCTCGCACGAGAGAGAGAAATGAACTCGAGACTTAAGAGCTCAAATCCTAGTCATTGTCGCGTGTTCAATCGTTGAGTTAATCCAAAAGAAAAGCAGCAGCCGTCGCATCGACGTCTTGCAGCCCAACAGCTCATAGAGCTTCCGGGCGGCCGCCGCCAGCCCAAAAAAGAGAGGGTTCGGTTTACTGCAACGTACCAGCAGGTAGGTAAGGTAGTTACCAGGTCGGGCCATGACGACATTGCTCTCTGGTCTGCATTCCTGTTCCTGGGCGCCTCAGACTGCAGCAGAGTTGACTTTCGGAGGGGGGGGGGGGCGGAGGAGGGGCCCCGCCCGTCAGAGGTACTTGGTCTTGGCATTCGAGGTACTTTGACCACGCGAATGAAGCCTCGGTCCCAAACAAAACGCGACGGAAAACCTCGACCAAACTTTTTTCTCTCCCGACAATCTTGATTCTTCCATTTTTTTCTTTTTTTCTTCGCCTACGGAGTACTGTATTCTCAAGCGGACTTAACAGCACTCAGGAGGGGGGCAGGATGGGTCAGAACAAAAGAAAAAAAAGCGGACTTTAATCACGCGGCAACAAGACGACAAGCCCGCTCACGTAAATCGCCGGAGTTTGCAAACACGCCATTCATCGTGATGCACGTGCAAAACACCCCCATTTTCCGCCTTGGCATAATTAACCCGGCACCCCGACGATGGGAAAAATTGAACAATACGCGTTCAAAGTCTGCCGCTCTGTCAGCCTATTCACTGATATGACACTGCTGGGTAGCAATTGAAATGAACAAGAAAAAAAAAAAATCCCATCCTATCATGTCAGCGTTGTTGGGATCGATGGGGCATGCAATCTCCCCACGCGACCTTGCGTTAACTACTTGATAGGTGCCTAACCAGAAGAAACCAAAAGGCTAGAACAAGCCTCATCTTGGAAGTTTCTTTCACGAAATGGATCAAAAACCAACAATAAGGTATTTTCGTAATTGTTGTCCGACTTTCAACATTTGTGGATATTTTTACCCACTTGCGCATTCAGGTACCATCTCTCCAGCCCACACAAATTTACCAGGCTGTTGTTATTTTCCCGATATATGCCAAACACATCTCATCTTTCTCCAATTCCCGTATTTGCACCCAATGAAAACATGTCATTCGTCCATCTCCAACTTTTTGCAGACAAAGAAACATCCTTTTTTCTGTTAAATCTCCTTTCGAGCTTTTGCCATTCGTAGTCACCGAGACGCTAACTCGAAAAGGCCAGTAACAAACGTAAATTGATCCGCCCGCGAAGCCCGTTGAAATGTCGATGATGACTTGCAAAGAAAACAAACCCTCGGCGAAGCCTTTACAATGACATAGTCGCCGTGTTGAAACAGCGTCTCCACCGCTTCCGCCTTTGCTAGCACTACCGGCATCGTGGTGGTCATTGCGATTGAAGAGACATTTTACATGAACTTGGAGAGATGTGAGAAAGTTTGCCGCAGTCGCGTACGATGCTGTGTCAGTGACAGAACCAAGCAGATGGCTCAGCATGCCAACAACTGCCTCTACAAGTAGTTACAGGGGGGGGACAGGGGAAAGCCCTCTCGATGCCTTGTCTCGCTCGGGAATCTCGCGGCCTTGACTCGGTTTGTCCGTTGTAGAGTCAAAGATCAAGAAGAAGAAAGAACGAAAGAAAGAAAAGATTGACATCTACACTAGCTAGGATCTTATCCAGCGGCCGATCTTCAGATGCACGAATCGTAGCCAGCCAGAGACGCATGATTCGGGAATTTAAAACCACGTCAACCTCCAGTGGGCCGCGGCCGCCGCGTGGGCGGTCGTGGCTGTGCATTCCCTAGAATCAAAAGGCAAAACGTCATGGCAATGCGTAACTAAACTACTTCACTGCGCCCGAGATCAGTCGCAATAGCCATCACAGTTTTCGGCAGTATAACTAAAATCGGGGGTTTGGTATTCATAAAACAAACGCGCATAGTTCTCTGCTCTCATTCCCACTCCAATACCTCGAGGGTCTTCTGCCACCACTCTCTCGTTCATTATCGCCTGCTGCTGTCCAACTGCAAGGTGAAAAGAAGAAAAGAAGAAGAAGAAAACAATAGCCATCAGCAAATACAACAAAATCTTCTTGTGTTTAAACGCCTTCCATGTAATGCCAACTCAAGAGCAAATATTCTCCACCGCATTCCCTTTTTTTCAGCTCTCATCTTTCGTCCAAACCAGTTCATGCGGGTATCAAATGTACCGAACAGGTTCCAAGCCTGTGAATAGTTCCGTCTTGCCAGCCCACCTATCCCCAACATCGGCGCCTCATCATTTCGATCCAGTGATCGTGTCGAGCTTGCTGCGTCTTTCGGTCTCCCTTGATCTACAAGGGAAGCTTAGGATCTGCCTGCTCGTGCCGCTTTGTCTCTTGCGTTGCCTTCTTCTTAACCGGCGTCTTGCGTGACGCGGCAGGCTTTTTGAAACCAGGCAACACAGGCACGGGAACTGGTGTCTCTTTCTTGGCGCCGCTAGACACTTGCGAAAGAGGGGTTGCTGGCTTGTCTTCAGATGATTTGCCCATCTTCGTCTTCTTGGCGGGTGTGGGCGTAGCAGGAACAGTAGCTGATGAGGTAGGAATAGCAGGAGGCACCACAAGTGTCTGCTTGACTGGCAAATGCCCCCCTTCCGAACCCAAATCGGGACTGCCAATGGGAGCAGTCTTCCGCTTTTTTGGCTTGCTTGACGCAGAGACGCTTTCTTTCATCAGCTGCTCGGCAGCAGCAGCATCCTTGTCCTCGGAAATAGTGTGATCTCTTTTGCTCTTCTTGCTCTTTCTGGTGCTCTCCTTGGGGTCTGAAGCTTCCTTGCGCTTTTTGTCCTTCTTCTGACGAGCCTTCGGAGAAGCTCCAGTACGCTCTATATCCCTCATCTCAACATCCTCCTCACTGTGGGCATCGGGATGGTGTGTGCCCACGTCGCTCTTGACACCAATCGGCCGAAAGCGCGCCGTTAGACCCTTGGGCTGTGGACGAGCAATCTTTGCTGACGACCCAACATCCGCCGGCGTGGCTGTTGTGACACCGATTTCGGTGATGCGTCGGATTTGCATGACTTCATTGACGGCGTGGCGAGCTAATAACTTGTTGTCAGTTATGTATCTTCCCCGATTTCTTTGGAGGAGAATTGACTTACACGGCTCGTACGTGGAACCGTCCGCAGGATGAATCAGAATTTGAATAGACTTCGTTGGTGGCATGCTGTCAAATGAGACTCCGTAATCTTCACCATTCTGGCGCAAGATGCTTCCACACTGCTGCGAGGAATCCAGAGGGAATTCAAGATTCTCTACAACAGAGACTGGAACATTAGCGGGCAAAGTGAAGTACCAGAGTTGCTTCCCCTGTTGATTGGCCTCGCTGCAAACCCGAGCCACATCTTGGCCATTGCTTTGTTGTTCGCTTTTACGGAGCTCAAAATCCGGAGGCAGGAAGGTGGGAAGTGCAGCCTGGCTCCCCTGCGCACGTTCTGCGATGTGCATAGATTCGTCCACTTCCTCGTCGTCGCTGGATTCGCCACCGTCTTCGGAGCCACTGCTGGATTCTTCCTCACTTGAGCCGTTGCTTGTAGCGTTGCTTTCCGTCGGCTCGGCCGTCGCGGTCATGGGCTTGGTACCATTGACAATTGGCTTATTCTTTGGCTTAGCAGCAGGCTCTGACTCTTTATCGCTCTCGGACTCGCTTTCTCCAGAGGTTGAGTCATTGCTGCTAGACTCGCGCTGTTTGGCGGGAGAAGTCTTGCTGGCAGGCTTCTTCACAGGGGCGGTCGGTTTGGCGAGGGCGGCTTTACCCTCGCTCTCACTACTCTCCTCCTTGACACTTGAAGAGTCCTCAGAGCTGGAGCTAGAGGCTGAATCTGAGCCGCTATCACTGGGTGAACTGGATGCGCTGGTCGAAGAGGCCTCCTGCTTGAGTACAGGCTTTTTGGCGCTCACTTTCTCGTCACTGCTCTCCGGGTCGGACCCGCTCGGGTCATCATCTGAAGAAGGGGGGGCCTTGACCTTGACAGACGCAGATGTCTTCTTGGAGGCCTTCTGCTTAAGTACAGGCTTTTTGGCGCTCACTTTCTTGTCACTGCTCTCCGGGTCGGACCCGCTCGGGTCATCATCTGAAGAAGGGGGGGCCTTGACCTTGACAGACGCAGATGTCTTCTTGGCCGGCTTCGATTTATCTGCAGTGGAAGTTCGCTCGACGTCGCTATCGGCAATCTCATCGTCCTTGCTGCGCCGTTTCGGAACCTTGGGCTTTGTCAGATTCTTCATGTACGACGGGCCGTCCGAGTCGCTATCATCCGAGCCGCTGCTTTCGCTGCTGCTATTTCCAGAGTCGGAATCGCTGTTGTCGGGGAAGATGCTGGCAGCAGCAGCTGGAACGGTCTTGTTGATCGCAGGTCGGAGGGGCTTCTTGCGAACGGGATTAGACGTCAGGCCCTTGTTGGCCTCCTGAATGTACTTCTGAAGCGAATGAACTTTGAAAGGCTCCTTCGGGGCCATTTTGGCGCGATGCGGGAGAGCCGCGAAATGCTGTGTCGAGGTCAATTGGTTGTTGAAGGAGGAAACTGAAGCTCCAACTTTTCTTTTCTTGCGCCTCCATCAACAATTCACCTTTCACGGCCCGCAAATTTCTTCTGCACGTGTAGAAGTGGCCCGTGCGTACAACTTTTTGACCGCGACAAACACGTCCTCGACTGCTTCATCACAATATGCAGGAACCTCACCCACCATATGCAGGTCAAGCTAGAAATTCGGCAGACCCAGTAATGCAGCTGGTTATTGTACATCAAACTGTCGCTTTTGTATCATTGTTCTCTTTGGTTCTGCCAAGACTCATGCCAGTAGCCAACATGAAATTTTGGTGGGGACAGTCTATCGATAAGATTAGCTTAAATCCGAGTTCGCTTCCACACCAGTTGTAACAACTGACAGCCAGCACTTTTTAATAACGATACCTGGTGTGAGATACATGCACACTGGCCGAATGAACTCTGGCAGTCTGTTGCGCGACTGCTCGAGCCGAGGATGTCGGCTAGTAAGCGCCGAAAGCTGGAGGAGGGGCGAGAGGTCCCAAAACGTGAGTCTGAAGAAGCCTCCGCCCGGCGCGTTAAGTAAAATAAGATATCTAATTCTCTCTCCTCAAGCTGCCTTGAGCGCTTTGTCTGCTCGCCGTCAGCTTGCTGCCGCCGCCGTGTTGCAAGAAACAAGCTTATCCATCGAGGAAGCACCAAAGCAACGAGCCGGCAATCAATTCAGTGTGCTCCAGCGAGCAGCGCAAGCAGACCGTGGCTCACCCAAAAGCCCATGTACGGCCAGGAGTGTGGCCACCCGTCAAGGAACTACCTCGAAGCGCAGGTGAGTGCAGTTCATCGGCGGTCCGGCTACGGTCGAGAACTAACAACGAGCAGCACCGAGAAGGGCGAGGCAACACCAGAGAGTGGCGCCTCGACCCCCAAAGTCGCTTCATACTCGTCTTTTCGTCTGAATAAACAAAATTATAAGAAAGCCAAAGATGGACACTGCGAATTGCGGCTATCTGACAGCGAGGTAAGTTTTTCGCTACACCTGCGGTTGCGGCAAACTAAGTAAATGCAGCGCTTTGTTGTGCTCGGCAGTTTCGGCATCAAAGTAAGGTCTGGTGAGGTTGCTGTCCTCGGTGCAACGCTCACTGCTTCCGAAACTATTCATTGGGTCCATGCTCCAAACTGTCACGCGATTCCTGTGATTCGAACATCCGAAAAGACACGCCTAGAGCTGCACCACGATAAAGCAGACAAGCCACTTCTCCGCCTCTCCTCTTTATCGCCACTGTACCAGCGCATATGGCATGCGGACGACAGAAGCTCTGAAGAGACAGACAATTCTAGCGGAGATACCTTCAGAATAGTAAGTCTTACCGGTGCACAATTAGAAAAGCATGCTAACCAGGCCAGCTCTGCACCTCGGGAGATGCTCCTAAGAAGAGCATTATACGGGAGCTTAATTCACCCGCAGAATGGAATAAAGCAATTTCGGATATAACGAGCTCGGCCGCATTTGACCAGCGAGCTCAGAGTTCTACTCTTGTTTGCGGCCCCAAGGGCGCCGGCAAGTCTACCTTTTCAAAGCTGCTCACGAATCGCCTTCTTACGACTACGAATCGAGCCAGCACAGCACAGCCTGGTCCGGGAGTCGCAGTCATCGATCTAGACCCTGGACAGCCCGAGTACGCACTGGCTGGGACCGTATCACTCGTCCACATCACGAGACCCAATCTCGGCACGCCTTTTTCGCACCCCGGTTTCCATCACGCTGGTCACAGAATCCTGCGCAGCCATGCACTGGCGTCTGTATCGCCGGCCATGTCCCCTTCTCTCTATATTCAGTGCGCGATGGACTTGTACGAAGCATATCGGAGAACATTGCGGAACTGCCCACTACTGATCAATACACCGGGGTGGATCTTGGGAACGGGCTTGGACTTGCTGGTTGACCTGATTACAAAAATATTGCCCTCCCGAGTTATATATATGTCGGAAGATGGCCCTTTTGATGTGATTGATGGGCTGCGCTCTGCTACAAGGAATGAGTTCTTGACGATGCCATCGCGGCCTTCGGAGTATACAGCCAGAACAGGATCCCATTTGCGAGCCATGCAGGCCATGGCTTACTTCCATTTGGCTGACAACTCGGCAGCCTCCAGTCTACCAGTCTTGAGCTGGGATCCCAGACCAATTTCCTCCATGCCACCGTGGGAAGTGCGCTACGCTTCGAAGAGGAAGGGAATCCGTGGTATCCTATCCTACGACCACCAGTCACCACCCGAGCTGTTCAGAGCAGCAATTGATGGTATGGTGGTGGCTGTGGTCGAAATCGAGGACGTCGAGGCGTTTCGCAACATCATCGACGGTTACGACTTGGAGTCTCGGCAACCAGATGCTGTGAACATTGCAGCGAGCAAAGCACAAATAGAACACAGCACTGCTGGGAAAACCACGACGAAGGATGAGCTGAGAACTGTAGTATCACCAGAGGGGCTACCGATGATTTCCAATGCTTACGATGCCACGCTGGATCCTCGTTACTGCCAAGCCATAGGTCTGGCTCTCGTGCGAGGCATCGACACGGTGAGCAAGACCCTGCAGCTTATCTCACCTATAACGGGATCGCAAATACAAAGTGCGCGTTCCCAAGGTCATGATATAATCCTTGTTCACGGAAAGTTTGACGCGCCTACCTGGGCGTATGCCGAGGACTTCTTCTATCAACGCGGCACGGCGTCGCTTGGAAGCAAGGCAGAGCAAAGAGACCTTGACGTGACATATGAAGGGACTGATGAGGATGGCCTCAATGCTGAACTGGATGACACCGAAGATGTGAACAGTGTGTCTGCGGTACCGTGGCTGGAGATTTTGCAGGGCAACCAGAAACGGCCTGTGGGATCAGGTGTCTGGCGCGTACGCCGGGATCTTGGCCGAAACACGGGAGACTAGCTCGGCCGTTGGGCAGCGATATCATATTATACGGAACATGTTTCATCGCATGCCAAAGCTGTGTATCTTTCTGAAGCTTTGACCAAGCCAAGTCCAGCACCTTTTCCCTCTTGCATTCATACCAGGATGCCGTTTAGCCCTAAAATAGGGTGCACCTTTTGCATAAGCTGCTTGCCTGCGTACTGAAAGAGCAGTAGTGTTTACTGCAATCGGTCTTACTCTGCGTAATACACTGTATCCGAGTTTTTGAATAGCGAAACACTTGAGTCGCAACAATTGCATGCATCTGCGCGCCAACCACCGTTGACGATGCAGGGGGGCTGAAGGATTCATCACCTGCAACCTGCAAGGCTCCAGCAACAACGGTCTGAATCAAGATCGACCTCGACGCCGAATGCGACGCCACGGAACCTGCCGGTACAGACACCGTGGAATTTTAGTGGCATTGCGGGCTCATGTGAGACGGACAAGGGCCTCGGCAAGGATTTTTCATGCGAAGAGCGATACCGGCCCCATTGAGCCGTTGCCCGATTATGTACTCGGTATCAACAGCAAGATCACTCAGATTATTCCATCGACCGGCGCGCGCTGCGCGATCGGGCGTGATCGGGACCTTGGTCTTCAGGAAGAAAGTTCGTGTAGTCGGCGTTTGAAAAAAGCAAAACCCGGTCGACCAGCGCGCAACACGGACTCTTCCCCAGCAACTCGGGTGGGACTCACCCGGCGCAACGGTTTTTTGCGAACTAGATACTCCACGTACTCCGTAATTAACAGTCGAACGGACCCCATTGCCGCATCCCTTGCCTTGTACGGATACTGGTAGTTACGAAGTGATAACGGATTGGTGCGGACGACAGTCGTTTCACATCCTTTTTACGAGCTTATAGAGCTGTCCCGTGAATCGTTTTTGTGTCATTGTATCCGTCTTCGGGGGCAAGTTTAAGAGACTCGTGCGGTCGAATCACTTCTTTCAAGAAAAAAAGACCCTCATTAATTGGTGAGACTTAGATTTCAGCTGTCGGTAGATGAGCTAAATGTGGTCAAGACTTGGACATGCATACCGTAGACAATGCAGCCACATGCATATGCTGGACATGGGGCCCGGGCCCGGCGCAGAAACAGGTGCAGGGATAATCCGTAGGTAATATTGATACATTGTGCAATGTGACAAAACGGTTGTGCTTCGTGACGTGGAGAGCATGGCTGCATGCTACATGACACGCTACAGGTGGTACGGTGTCGCTAATGAAGATTGAAGTAATGCTCCAGCTGTTCTTGCCAACTGGGCGCAAAACCGCGCCTCGCGTTGATGAGCGGGCATTTCACATGTTTGGTTCAGCAGCGTGCTATGTGCATTATAGACTCATCTACGGAGTAAACTGTGCCCAGTATCGTCGGACAAAGTCGAAAGAAGCAGGCAACTCGGTTGGGGCAGGCGTGCGTTGGATTGCGGTTCATTCGAGTGAAGCCAAAGGGACCTCAGCCAGCCGCGGTGGCTTCGAGGCGTCGCATCACGATTCACTGGTATAAGACAATAGGGTTTACCAGTCACAATTGACCGATGGTGAGCAAGTTGATTGGTAGCAGTTCAACCCGCAGGTGAGCAAAGAGACAACAAGAACGTTGGCTTTTCAATAGACTTGGAGGATGCTGGCGGCCACTCATGATGTACCTGGTCATTTACACTACTGTCCACTATTCCTACATACGTCGGGAAGTATGCTTTGTAGGCGGAATTCCTTTCGTAATTCTTCTGCTTTGGTTTTCTAGGCAGAACAGGCTCGAGCTCAAAGCAAAAGTTGGTTCTAGTGATCGATTCCTTTATTTTTATTTCATTTTGTCTTTTATTTTCTGGCTCTTCCAGAAGAGGCCCCAGAGGAAAAGCAAAGGGATGTATGTGCACAAGAAGTCGCTGCCAAGTATTTGTCTGAGTTTGTGGGTGGCCAGCAGGCCATGGGACATGGAAGTCTCAGGTATATGCAGCCCATCCGAAAAGAAAGAAGACGGAAGTTTTGAGATTTTTGTGATTTGTGAACAAACAGAGAGCCCCAAGTAGATGAGCACTGGTGGCTGCAACGGTGTTGCTGGGATGTTGTTTCACGCGTGCGACAGCTGATGGGCCTCGATGTGTTGTACTGGTATCCGTATATTCGCCGCCGCGCTGAGAATAAAGCAGATTAAATATTTGAGAGCCTGCCATTCCGAGCGCAACTTTTTGGGGACAACTACGCTCTTCTAATACTCGTTTCATAGCAGCAACAGCATCACCAGCATGACAACACTGGCATCATTACTAGAACTACATGGATAGCATTAATAGCACCAACATCACTAGTAGCATCGACAACACTTTGAGCCTATTTTATTTGCTCAAAATAAACCATTGTTTGCTTTTCTTTTCTTTTTCCGTCTTCATCATCATGGCGAGCGGTAGCTTGTCACTTGTGTGCTTGGCCGAGGCTGAGAGAGAGCTCTGTAGCCCCCCCTGTGACCCCTCCGTGGACTGACTGCATGGATATGCCGATGTAGGTCTGGGTTAAGCTTTTCCAGCATCGGTATGCAGGATAAGTCATCAAGGGAACGAGCACCGCAAAATCAGTAATTAATCTACGATCGTTTTAGTTGGTCTCCTCTTTTCGGGCTGCCCTAGCTCGGCCTGTTTGAGCACCTTCATTCGCCGTCGCACTCAGTTATCAAGTAAATAGCGGGTCACCTGGCACTATCGGCTACTCACCGCACTGAGATTATCTGCATTATTTACAAAAATATCATTTTTTTACATACAGATTCAAACTTGATCAATTATTACGTATGTCTCTTCAAGACAAAGATTCGGTTATTTGATCAATGCACAAATGTAGTCAACAACAGATAGCGGATTTTACTCCCCCCCCCGTCCCCTTCGCGGGGCTGCATCCTGGACCAACGTGTACCCGGTACATGGAGGCTCGGCAGTACGAAGTGGGGGAAGGTACAAGCTCGGCCGCCATGAATGACTGCGCCTCTGTGCATCGCAAAATGCTCAAGGTACAGCGGCTGTGGGAAGACCGAGGACCATTTTCCATGGCACAGAACATGGTTGCTCATGTACTCAGTACTAACTGGGACTCGCAACTCGCTCTCATCATTCCATGGACTGTGTTACGCCTACAAATTACAATGGAGTACTCTACAAGGTTTATAACGAATCGGAAAAGGTACGGCAACGGGCATCAAGAGTATCACGTATGTAGTTAGCGATCAGCACCAGATTTAAGCACACAAATGCAAAGAATTACCGCGCTACAGGGATTAATGGGTAAACCCCAACTGTACGAATAAGCAAATCACATTCAAAGGGATGGCGGCACCGGGCGGGAAAGGCCTTGGAGACATCAGCCCACTGCAGCCCCAAGAGCCCCTCGATCCTGCTGGAACCCCGCCCAAGGGCTGTTGCTGACACCGTTTGCCGCCCCTCCCACCAGTCCCTGCTACCGTCCTACCTAGGCAATACCCATGCAATTATCAATTGGAAAGGTATAAAAAAGGTACCTGCCTCGCCTAACAAGTATTGAAAAAAAAAAAAAAAACAAGGGTCTCTGCTTTAGGTACTCCGCGACTGCCTGTATTTGTTCGCCAACGGCCAAACCCACCTAGGTACCTTTGTATCCAGCCCCATCTTTCCCAACGCTTCGCTCCCACCTGTTTGCACGTCGTCCAACGACATTTCCACCTTTTGCCGCTTCCTCCCACAACCTCTATTTTCTCTTCATCATACCACACAAGCATGTTGCTGCAACGTCCATGATTCCCGTGGAAAATGGACGCCAGCTCCGGGGACAACGGCCAGGCACGCTCTTCATGTACCGAGTGTCAGCGCCGCAAGCAAAAGGCATGTTATATCCGAAACCACCGTTGCCACCATGAACAACCACTACATCTACTTTCAGTCTCTATTACCCAACGACGAAGCGTCTTTGACACACTACCCCGCCCTCTGCTGCTCAAGTTTTCTAGAGACATCATCTAACGCGCTTCCAGTGCAATCGTCAGTGGCCATGTAATCACTGCCAGAAGCGCAAAGTCGCCGATCGTTGCCGCTTTTCCCACGCCACCACCGGATCTTCAGAGCGAGCGCCCTCCAGCGGAATCCGCAAGCGCAACCGTAATCGCGATGAGCAGTCCGAGCCCAGCTCTGATGAAGATGACACTCAAGACTTTGCCGCCATCGGTTACGGAGGCGCGCATTTCTTTACTAACCTCGAGGTTCAAAACGAAGTATGACCGTGCCGCCAATTCGGCCAGAGACCCGCCGTACCCTCACCATCTACCTTACGCTTGCTAACTTGTGCTGCATCTTCAGAAAAAGCCAAAGCCTCCTGCAAAACAGCACTTTGTGGCTGCCTCGAACTGTCATCAATTAGAGCGTGCATTACAAGTGCTTCCACCCCGCACCACCACAGGCAAGTTTCACATACCAAAATAACAAAGCTCACCTTTCTGTTTTTTTTTTTTAAATATGCAGAAGTTCTGACAATTGAAAACAGACTCATTGGTGCAAAATTTTCTTTCCCGCGTCAATTACCATTACTACATCATCTACGCTCCAGCCTTTCTGCAGGAATACCGCGAATGGTGGATAGCCCGCTTCGCGTTGCAACCTCTTGGACTGCAATGGACCTGTCTTTTGCTCACGGTCTGCGCCTGCTCGGCCCAGTATACAGACTCTGACCTGAAGAGGAAGCTTGAAATGGAACTCGGCGAGCCCGTCTACCGCCTCTCTAACAAATATCACAACGCGGCCCGCGAACTTAACTCCGTCATCCCCATCAGCAGCAACCATATTTTCAACGTTCAACATCTCTTGCACTCCAGCTATTGGTACAAGTCTGAGGCCCGCTTCGTTGAGGCCTGGCATGCGCTCAGCACTGCGATTCGTGAAGCTCAGGCTTTGGGCATGCATCAAGACCAGCTTGCCGGCTCAATCTCGGAATTTGATTATGAAATGCGCAGGCGGCTTTGGTGTGTCTTGGATACGTGGGATTGGCAAATCTCGGCGCTTCTTTCTCGGCCCAAGCTCATTGACCGCTCCGAATGCAAGGTGTCGCTGCCCGCACTTACATTGGAAAACTATTCGCCTTCACCACTCCTCCACATGAAGCTGCAGTCGGAAGTCATTGGCGAGTTGGCAAGCCGCTTCGGCTCCCCACGAGAGGTAACATCCCCTGCCCAAATTGACCAGTATACCCGCGTCATCCTCAACTGGATGCAGAGGTTTCCGCAAGTTTACAATCTCGACAAGCCCGACACATCAATCGACTCAAAGTACTCTTGGGTCACCCTGCACCGCCATTACTTACACACCATGGCCCATTCCATGTTGATAGATCCTCTACGCGCGTACATGGCCAGGCGAATGACGGCGAATTCACACCCGGACGATTTGAGAATACGTGACCAGGGCATCATCTACACAATGAAACTTATGTCAGCCTTGACCGCATTCTTCGACTTCTTGTATCCTAAGGATGCCAAGTTCCATTGGGCTCGATTTTCCATCTTTGACACTGCCGCCGTTCTCTGCTCCGCCATTCTGCACGATGAAGATCACTGCATCCCGAACAGGCATGAAATACTCATAGCCATTGAATCTGCAAGATCCATGCTCGAGCGGTTGGCATTGGAAACCCGCACTGCGAAAACATCATTCGAGATATTGTCCAAATTGGCAAAACGCATCGAAAACCCATACTTGCCACCGAGGATGGCTGACAGTCACCACAAACGTATCAGGGTCGCCGAAGAATCCCTTACACCGCCATTCTTCCAGCACGGCGACTTGTTGGTCGGATCTAGCGACGTAGGCAGCATCGATGGTATTGACGCATACTCGGCCTCACCTGCCGGAAGCGGCGGGGTGGCGCAGAGCATCGCTAGCGCGTCACCCGCGTACGGCTCCGGCTTTGCCGATGTGTCGGGAGGCTACGCGATGCCAGATACCATGACATTCGTGAACGATGGATATGATGTACCATATTCTATACCACCGACGGCGCAGGCATATCCCGATTCCACCTTGATGCCCGCACCGCCCAATCCATACATGCCGCCGACCCCACGCGAGTCGTACGCGCAGCTCTCTCTTGATGGATTCTCAGAGGAGCAGCTGGGAGATTTGGCAGCTCTTTGGAATTACCAAAGTTTGGATCTTAATTTTGTGCCTAATCAAAACGGCTAAGGTTTCATATTGCCCGTGAAGGGTGCATACATTTGTTGATTTATTTTTTACAAAACGCATACGAATTGGATGAAGAGCGTTATTATTACATTTTATTGTATACCCACATATCCGGCGCTATTGTTCTGTTTACCATGGGCATGATTCTACTTTTGAGCTACAGGTGGTTGTAAATCTTCAACTGGCGTTGGAGTTGCTCTAATCATGCAGTTTTTGTTATTGAAAGGTAGAATAAAAATTATATAAAGCTGTGTGCGATGAAAGACTTTGCCACCCTGACTTACCTGCCTAACTTGGAATGATTGTGCCTCAGATGCCACAAACGAACAATGGTGAGAATGTGCGGCACGACATCGACCTGTACAATGTACTATATCCCACGGGTGACGCTGACATGTTGTGAAAGCGACTTTTCCACCTTGCTCTCCGACTGTAGGAGGCCATGTAGCCGTCAATCTGTCTATTTCTGAAAGGTGCGCAAGAAAACAACAAAACGGGAAAACGGAATGAATGCCACATAGCGTAGGATACCCAGCCTGCGTCATCAGTCGTGCAAAGGGTGGCCCAATCGTTTACACAACTTGTCGTTCATCACCACCTCTCCTCTGCCCTCCTCTCTCTCTCTCTCTGTTACTGTACAGCCCGCCTCATTGAGCCTCTTTTGCTCTCGCTCTCCGTTACTGACGCAGCCCGCCTCTTTGAGCTTCTTAATCTCGTCTTCCACGGCAACAATGTATCGTTGCGGCTCTCCTTTTTGCCTCGGCTGAGTCCATTGCGCTGGTCCAGTGGCGGCAGAGGCACGCACTCGCGCTTCTGTGGCTTCAAACCCGGCGGAAAGCGTTTCCACAAGATCATCTACAAAGAGTTGCAGAGTCTCTTGTCTGTCATTTTGGGCAGAGCCCATCTCCTCACACCGATGATGGGAGAGCAGACTGGCCAGTGGACACGTCTCCCGCCACGCGGCGATTCCGTCGTCGCGTTTGGCTTCCAATCGCGGCAGCGACGACAACAAGACCGATGAGCACAAACTAGACGTTCCGTTTGTGGTATCATCAGAGCACTGGGCTGAGGGTGAGACTAGGGCAGTGGCGGTGGTGGCGATGGCTTCTTGCGCAGTCTGGCTGTGGCTTGATTGTGTAGGCACAAGGGCCTGGCTGTTTCTTGTGAGCCCGTTTCTAGGAGACTCGCGCGGGGTAAAGGGGGAGAGACAAAGAGAAAAGAAAAGGTCGGATAGAAGCGACGGGCTTACAGTCTGGGGGAAGGCGGATGGGCGTGGAGGGATGACAGCGACTGACACGATGGCATTCTGACTGCTGAATACAGTGATGCTGGTGAATGTATTGGGATGCATGTGTATATTGTAATGGAAGCATATGAAACGCCGTGCGATGTATAACACAGAGAAGAAAGATACAAGAAAAAGAGTAAAAGTTTTGAAAAATACGCAGAAAAGTAATGTCATGTAGAAAAAATGAGGCGTCTGGCAAAGGTCTTGTACGAAAGGATTGCCGTTTTTTTGCGGAAACTGGCGGCGACCTCATGACTTATACGCAGCTCTCTGGCCCTCCCCTCTAGGCAGACTCAACCTGCGACTCGGCTTGCGTACCCAAAAGATTTGCCAGCCAGAAAGAGCTTTGGGGCCATTTTCTTCCACTTTTTTTTTTTTTTGGTCGGGCAGGGAAGCAATATCTTTGTTTTGCCAACCCCCAACGCAACCTCTTTCCCCCCCATATTCCATTTTGTCTGGTGTGGCTGGACAACAGTGGCAGGTTTTTTTTTTCGATGCCTTGAATCGATATCTGAAATTGGGGGCCCAAATACCAGGTCACCGTTTCGGACTACTTGGGAGAAGGAGGAGGGTGCAGAAAGTCGACACATGCATAAAAGCAAGCCAGCGTCAAGCGTATGCAAGAAGAGCGCAGGTACCATCTCCTGCTTTTGGACAAGCGCACGACGCCATCAAATAGTCAAGACAATAACTAGCTGTTGGATGCTTTTTTTTTTTTTTCTTCATGCTAGCTCTCGCCTGGGAAAGAAGCCGCGTGTTCGGATGGGCCGCGCAGGACATGTTGGGCACGACATGTTGGATGTTTTGCGTTGGGCGCTCAAGATACGAAGTGGTCAAACATGTGAAGAGAGAAACCACTGACGACAGACAGAAATCACTAACCCTCCCCGGCTCTCAAGGCACGATGCGTCGATTGATTTGCTACTGGCCACGGATCCTGCATGTCGACTTGGGGAAGCGGGTGGATGCCCAACCAGATTGCTGAACTAGGTCGGCTCCCAGTTCCCCGGGGCGGGGGGGCTTGGCATCTGGTGATCTCATGTGTAACACTGAGCTTGCACCGGTCATGTTGGCTGCTGCATGCTTGATGATTGCGGGAGATGCATTTGTGTTTTTTTTTTTGATGTGATTAGGCCCGACGAGGGTGGCTGAAAGGCAGCAGGAGACAAAAGTCCAGTTCCAGATACTCAAGAGATTTATTTATTGGACCCGGCGATGATGCCCAGACGAAAAAAAAAAAAAAAAAAAAAAAAGTCGGCCTATTTTAGTACCCAACATCAATAGACGCTCCTCGGGATACTTTTTCCGTTGAGCACCTATGAATAAATGCAACTGTAAATACTTGCACTGCTGGGCAGAGACACTGATGCTGGCAAATGCAACACCCGCATGCAGATCATCACGCCCGCTGAATACCGCAACAGGCGCTTCTCTAGCAAGACGAGACGGCTGTACGAATATGTCAAGTTTCTAAGGGGAAGAGGAAGACGTCTTTCCGCATGAAATCATTCTGTCAGCCTCGTTGTAGCGGAAAGACGTCCGGGCAAATAGTGTCATGTCCGGGGAAGTAATGCCGCCAAAAATCCCCCAGCCCTTGTTTTTGCTGCCCAATCCTACCACATAGCGTAACACTGAGCATGCTTCTGGACTCGGGGGACGGGGTTTACCATAAAAAAAGGACAAGTTTGTTACAGACAATGTCTGATGTTGATTGTTTTTTTTTTTTTTTTTTTGCCCTATTCTGCTTTGCCATTTTTCTCCGGGGCAAATCATGCATCTAATACCCGATTTTCTGATGCAACATAACAGCAGGGCTCCTTCAACTCCCGCTCTCGGGGGGAAGGGGGGGAGGGAATGCTCCGTCGTCGTCTTGTACATCTCGCGGATGCAGGAAAAGCAGCAGTACATTGGCGTGGTGAGAGACTCGCCATTTCTTCTTGCGCCCAATCAATATATAACTTCATGGCCACACGGTCACATCCGCTCAGTATTGCCCGCCTTTTTCCTAGTCTGCTACCGGGCAAATGCCATTTTTTTTTGGCTTTTGAAATGGCATTAGGCCGCCGGGGGGGGGGGGGCCTGTTTTCCATTTCGGTGTCAGATGATACGTTTCCATGTACAGGTGTGGTGGCAGTCAAAACTTTTTTGTTCCGATACGTCGGTGGACCGGCGCTTGCCTTTCCACCCCCCGGCATGGCTTGCCATGTACAATGATTAGCTACGGGGACTTTTTCCGCCCCCAAATAGTGTATCTACACCGCTGGCGCAAATCATGATGCATGCAGATCGATTCCGCTGGGCCTGTAGTCTGTAAAAAGTGGACTTTCCATTTCAACTGACGACCAAACCCCCAAGCCTGAAATCGACCAATGCGTGTGTATGCACGTACTTTATTATAGAAGACATATTTCCGAAAGGCGGAGCTCGCGATTTGTGCTCGGGGAAAAAAATGGTCCCGTCCCGTTGCAGCAGTTGGTCGCCGGGGCCCCTTTCGCGCAGCAAAGGATAACTCTTTTTTTTTTGGCTGAGAATGATGCGCGCGCGCGCGTTGCGTACGTGCCGCCTAGTTGGGCTATCCTGGAAATGTTTTGATTGTCTCGCGATTCTTGGCCCAAAACAGAAGCAGCTGTTCATGTAGATTTTTTTTTAAAAGTGTCGATGGGTGATACACTTTCCATTTTGCCACTTGATGCCCAAATTTACACCGGATTCATGACGAGGTACGAGGTGACGAGACGTGATCTGGGCCCAAGGCTGAGAGGAAGCCGAGAAATTGGTGGCAATCTGCACCCCTATGAAGAAAAAAAAAAGAATGAAATCAGCCACTTGAATGGGTTCTTCCAGTTCAAGGTATTGTGTCGAATTTTTGATTGAGTGACAGTCGTCGCTCTGCTCAGTCTGGGTCTCGGCGTGTACACTCACTTGATGTCATGGATATGGACAAGTGGCATAATCTCTCTTTGCATGTACTATATTGCTAATAGTAAAACTGTTATAAATTCAATGGGAAAGATTAGGCTCAGATCTGCAGTTTGGTAAACAGAAAAGATGACACTGGCAACATGGCTGATTAGGGGACAATCAGCACACGTCCTAGAAACCGTCTTTTGTCAAGCAAAGGAAAGCCGTATGCAATTACACTCATTGTCTTGTTCCCTCGGAACCCTTCTTCTCACGAGCAGCGGCAAACAGCCTCTCGTTTGTGTAGGGGTTGGTGTCGCTGAGCCGAACCATGTTGGCCGACACTCCGCCAGCGTAGTTTTCCGTCGGATTGCGGCGCATCTCTGTTCGCTCAGTCACGATTTGTTCCGTCAAGGTTTTGGTTCTGTTTTTTTTTTTTTTTGTTCAGTATCATTAGAGATTGCGCGTCTTTTCAAAAAAAACTAATCAAGCGTTGGTGGGGGTGGGTGCGACTCACTCTCCCCGTCCGTCCGACACCTCTATAGAGGTGAAAGACGCAGTCAATTTTGCATCTTGGCTTCTGGTTTTGAGTCTTTGTCAATACATAAAAGGACTAATGGATATAATATTAAATTACCCGTCACTGTTGGTTTTATTTGCCTGGTTACTGTTTAACTGGTTGTCGTTGACGTTGTTGTTGTTGTTGCTGGGGGTGGTCATGTTGAACAAGATAATGTGCAGTGTGGAATTGCGAAAAAGAACTTTTTTACCGAATGATGGGCTTTCTTGTTATAATGGAGAGTAACAGAATAGAGAAAAAGTTTTTCTGATTCAAATCATGGCCCATGTTTGCCAGTTGAGAAAGGGAAATGGCTTCTTTTATGTATAGTCGTAAACCTGAGCCTCGCCAGTCAACACCAAATCTCATTTTGTGTAACACGAGAATTGATGCCCGACACGGCAAGCCGCCTTCTTGTCCAACAATGACCAAGCCGACCTCTCTTTTTGGCCCATCCAAGTCATTCCCTTTCCCGCCTTGATGGGATTGGGATCTGCTCTGGAATATGCTTGCCTTTCAGGCCGCGCATTATCAGCAACGGCCTATTTCGAGCGACTGGGTGAGTGCGCATGTGGTTCGCAAAGGCCTGATATTGGGGCAAGCTATATCAAACTGCAAGCCTAGAAACGTCAATCTATACACTCTGGGTAGATGGCGATTGCAAATCCCCAGGTTGTGCCCAACTAGGCTGCTCCTTTTCCCTTTTACGGCCTACTTTGGGGCATCAACATCCTTCTCGCAACGGAGCCTCACGGCGCAGCCATGAGTGGTAGGTAACCTTGCTAGAACCCATCGATCCTACCAAAAGGAGGCATCGAGCAAGTCCTGCCGATAATATTCGGTGGTAAATCATCTTGACATTTTTCAGCTTATTGCCTGTTTCCCCCCCTCCCCCCCCTCCCCCGTCAAAGGTCCCGCGTGGACGGCCAAGAAAGACACACGCAGCCCGCCCCCCCAATGCAGTCGTTTCTTATTCCCCATGCAGCTCGACCCCGGACACGTCCCGGCTCTCTGGGTACACTCAAACTTTTTTTAAACAAGGCGCTCCAGCCGACAATGCGGTTCGAGTGAGCGACCCTCCCTGGCCTGCAACGTGGTCGCAATCTGCTTCTTCCACCCCTTTGTCAGGGCTGTGCACCCATCGAAAAAGAAAGTGTCTGGCCCCCGGCTGGCTAGTTGGGGCGGGTGGACATGTATATTGCGCCGTTGATATGCTTTGTTCATCTGAACACTAAGATGCTGCTAAGACAACTCGTCTGGTAGCGTTGTTGCCGCTTCCCCGATCACCGTCCCAAACTACCGGGACGACCGCCCCCCCCCCCCTCCCCTCTCGCTCTTAGACTTGCATGGCTGGTAATGTAAGACGACAACCATAATCTTTTTACGCGATTTCTCGATAGCTCGCTTGCATATGCGTGGGAAATGAAGCCATGTGTCCGTGCAGGTTGCCGCTTGGCTGAGCCAGTGATCTTCGTCTCGGCTTGCCGGGGGGTGGTGCCCATAAGGGAAGCCGGTTGTGGACGTGAGAGAAAGGCAAAGAATTGTGAAGAAAAATAGGGAGAACTGCAGAAATGGAAAACATTAGGGCAACAAGAAGAAAAAAACCGGAAGCTAGAGCGTCGTCTATTTCTTCATCCACTCGACAGGGCAACGCTCTGAAAGTGGCCGTCGAGATTTGTGCCTCGAGCTAGCAGAGCGACGTCTTCGGCGAAGCCTCCGAGGCGACTCTGCTTGCGGCACCATAATTGGACTCATCTTTTTTATTTATTTTTTCCCCCTTCGACCCGTAAATCACACAAAAATAGTCCAGTTACGGCTGCAAGAGAGGCTGCCGCGCGTCGACGACAAGACATACTGCACCTAATCCGCGAATATGTCGGAGTGTGCCCTGTGCTATGCGCACACCATATCAATGGCAGGAAGAGCCTGGGTCAGAAATCAAAACTTGGTAAGAAGAGGCGTCTGCTTTTTTATTTTTTTTCTTTTTTTTCTGTCCCTTTTCTACATTTTACTAGCAAAGAATTCATGTGGCTCGCGTGTACTTTGCACTGAGCTAGAACACTTGTCATCATGGCATTCACGACTGATGGCTCACACAAGTCAATCAGAAAATTATCTGTATCCGGTATATTCGACTCTAAAAGCAGACAAAAATTCAATTTGTCAATACTATGAAATTAGTCTTGAACTGCTGCTGTAGTGCATTGTCCCCGTCACTGCCGCAGCAGCCTCTGTATCACACCATGGGCTGGAGCACCAAGGCCGTATTCTTCTTCGGCACGAGCAAGCCCCAGCCTCTTCTTCTCATAAGCCCGGTCATTATCTGTACAGTTGTTTCTACAAGCGAATCACATTAGCTTTGAAGAGCCCTTGACAGCATGTCTCGGCTCTGGCATAAGGCTTCAACCATTGATACCCGAGAATATACTCACTTTGGATGGCCATGCAAAAGCGTTTCTGTCGAGGCATGTAGACTGCTCCTTTCGAGATCCCCGAGTCTACTCCGTTCAGTTTCAAAATGGCTTTGAGCACGTAAGCTGGCGGGGACATACTCGGGACGGCAGCTGTTGAAAGCTTTGGAATCGGGCATGGCAACACAAATCGCAAACAAATTCCAAACGAATAGACACTGCTGAGTACCAAGTGAGACGAAACGTGTAATGTGGTAGCAAAGTGACCGAGTAATTTTTCCCTCTCTGTCGTCGAGGACGAACTGCTCTTTAAATATAAACACTGCCGACGTGGTGGGAGAGGGCAAGTCGCAGGGATTCGTGGCAGGGCTGCAATGTGCATTACAGTAAAAAAGCAAAGGTGCAGCAAGCAACTCTGTAAATTTCGTCAAGTACATTGTATTTCTTTTACGTACCTCTTTGTCCATGAGAAAGAAATTTTTCATCACAATCAGTCCGTCCGGGGCCGCTCCAGTAGTTCTCTGGGGATCTTGTTGTCTCTTGCCATTCTCACAGCAACACCTTTAAGGCGGATGTATTTTTTTCTGTCAAAATCTAATGAGCTCGATGAAGTAATATTGTGACAGCTATAGCGCCTTTTGACTGAAAGAAAACGCAGAAATACATAATGGTTAGACAGCCTTTCTGATGACGATTGCCGTGTTCCCCCCCATGTCCTCGACACTGCTGCTGTGCTTTACAGCCTCACGCTATTGTTGCAAGTTGATGTGTCACATAATCATGACGCAAGACACCCTTTCTAATTTTGGTTTATCCCGGTTCCTACGCTCGTTGCTTATTGTTTTCCTCCCGCAAGCGTGGTAGTACTGGGATCGGTGAGATTGTACTTGTCCCGTCACTGCACAACCAGACAAAGACAGGGCTACTGCAGGCCACAGAGAATGCCTCGTCGATCACTTCCTCTTCGGCCAGATTTGTGCTTTTGCACAAATCTGGCCGAAGAGGAAGTGATCGACATAAAGGTCTTGGCAGTGATTGTAGTCACTTTGGTACCGAGATTGAACGGCGGCAATGTGCATATACGCCAAATCTACATGCCAAGTTGCACGTCTCACGAGTCGATGGAAGCTGAGACTAGGTGAGTGAAAGTAGGCCATCGAGCAAGATATGTCAATTGACCATTATTATACTAGAACCCAAAGATTCGGATGGATGTGCATTTGCCGTTTCTCTCTCCCAATGATTCATTCGCCGTTTGTCCATTCGAATTACGAGTCAACACGTGAGTCCCATGTGTTTTGCAAAAGCCTCGCAGTCTTTCCGCAATGTTTCAGCCACGATCCTAGCTTGGTGCATCGCGAGACACAGTTCATTCCTGAGAATAACACATTTCGACATGCGGATTTTGCAAAGGCAACTCTTCAATCTTGTAGAGAAACGAGTCGGAATCGAGACCAACCGCTTCTCTCAGATCCTACTTCAACACCTCCATTATCCAGCAACGTTGAAGCAAAAAGGATTATTGTATTACCTCTATTCGATAACTTAATGATCAAAACCAATAATGGCAACCCTTGTTTCTTGATCAGGGCTCGGGTATGTAATCTATAATGGATGATGAGAAAAATGCACGCGAGCGAAATGGGGGGTATCGATTTCGGATCCAAGCAGGCCAACAAGAGCAAAAAGATGAGAAAAACAACAAGATGGCATCCATCTCTTGTGCCAATTCTTGTGCCGCAAGTCAACTCAAACGTAAACAAACACTGCAACTCTCCTCTTTCCGCTCCCTTTCCGCTTCCTTCACCCTTTCTTGCCGCAATCAATGAAATTGCAATCGGATGATTGAAAACATCATATTTTGCAAGACGTGCAGCATCACCGCCACGCACGTTGGCAGCAGCTCCGGCCACACCGCCAAGTCCAGCTTGCCCTCCAGCCCAACGTCTACCTTGAAGCAGTACCGGATCAATCCCCGGACCGCCACGCTCGCCACCAGCTCGCAAAGCCAGGTAATGGCCGAAAAATACACCGTCAAATTCAAATTGTACGGCTCCGAGTCGCGATCAAACGCAAAGTACGGGTAAACATCCTTGTTGGCGCCATAGTGCAGTACCAGCACGCTCCCCAAGAACGTCGCCATCGATGCATTCTCCGCCAGGAAGCGAATAAAGACGTTGCGCGTCTGTAGCTTCTGATACGACCCGTACGTTTGCCCGTTAAGACCCAGCACGCACATGGCTTTATGAAACGTCTGCGTCATCATCAGCGGCGTCAGAATCACCAAGCTTGTCGACGACAGAATCTGCAGTACGATGAACTGTTGTGGTGTGCGTAGTCGAGCGTACAGCGCACGCACGTACGTCTGATAGGTCAGCATAAAATATCTGCAAATCCTTATTAGCAAAGCCATTCAAGTTGCGCCTGGAAGGGCACCCACAGCTTAAACACCCAGCTCAGCGGGTAGCTTCCCACTCGCTCGCCCTCTCTGATTCCCAGAGCCCAGCCAGTAAGTGCGTCCAGTAGATGCACAGTAATAATCCAGCCATAGACATACACTACTGTCTCCAAACTGTTGTGCGGCAGCGTCTGCAAATAGAGCTCAGCGTATGCCTCTCCGAGCACATACGCCATCAGTCCAACAAACAAGGCCACACAAAGCCACAGGAATCGTATAAAGCTTGCCGGAAGCCACCTACGCCTCATGACTACGCCTTGTGGGCGCATTGGCCCATACGAGTGCAGCACGTCGTGCTCCCACAAGTCGCCCGGCACGTTACGCCGACGTCGATCGGGCCGTGGCAGCGTATCAGGTTCCCCTGTCCACCAAGATGTGGTGAAGATGCGCTGCGTCTCGGACAACGAGTGTCGCAGGCCAATGTGCCGCTCATTGGTCATGAGAATCAGAAACGCAATGGCCACGGGCATGGCCATGACGCAAAAGGTCCACGAGATCCACGAAGTGTTGTGATTTAACAAGAAGCGTGTTTCTGATCTCAGGTAGATGGGTACCGGTACTGCCAGAGATATAACGGCAATCAATGACACGGTAACGGGGAACCCTAGTATTCTTGGCCACCTAGAGCATGTAAGTAATTTTGTGCCACTACAGCGCCAACGCCCGGCTCAGCTTACCAGTTGAGGCTGTAGAGGTTAAACACTTTCGTGATCCAAACCAACGCGGTAGCATTGTAGAAGCCATAGTAGATGAAAAGAAAGAACCAAAAATTGACCTCGACGTTGGCAGAGCCATAGCCAGGACGCTTGCGAGGCTTTGTCGGATCTTGCAGGCCGCCATCATCATCTCTTGGCAGGGGGTATTGAGGAAAAGGTATGGCACACCATACGATGGCCTGGGCATGTCGAGGTTAGAAGGCGCACAATACACACACTACAGCCAGCAACATACCAAGATGGCCGGCATCAAGACCAACAGCCCGTATCGACTCCACCACCTGTCGACGACCTTTTTGACGGCCGACTGCCTGGGCTCGACCCAGAGATCAATGACGCCCTTTTGCCAGAGACGATCCCAGACGGTGGTATTCTCTCGGAGCTCGAGGCGGCCGTCGCGGCGAATGCACTCGTCCTCACTGTCGCTGTCACCAAGGTGGGCGGCAATGAGGGCTCCGTAGCCCACGTGCACGCTGCCGCGTCCCGCCGCGAGGCTGTCCGAGAGCAGGCCGAGCTGGCTGTTACGGCGAAGGCCAAACTCTGGTCGGGGTGGCACGGCGCGGAAGCGGCCGAGGAGCGGCGACGAGTCGGCAGGCTGGACGCGGGACTCGCTGCCCTGCGTGAACTGGAAGAAGCTGGCCATGTTGTCGAGGGGCCGGCCGTCGGTGTTTTGCGGGGGGGACAGAGAACGAAAACGCGCGTGTACAGCAGATGAAGCTGCTTCGGCGAGCGTGCTGTCGAGCTCCCTTGCGCTGGGAGGGCTGTACTGGCCAGGCAGCCCAGTGCGATTGGGGGAGCTCCGCGGGTGCGGCCACGACGAGGGCGACGCAGGTCAAAGTCTGGCGACCGTTTGTATCGAGTTTTCGATTTTGTTTACGCAGACATGACGCGAGTGGGCTTTTCGGGATCGGTCGTCTGTGCAGCCCGCGCGACAGAGTGTGGCTTTTTTTTTTTTTCCCGCTTCCAGGAAGAGAGAGAGAGGATGGAGAAGCAAACAGCAAGGCGAGCATTCCAGGGGGCCTTCGAAAAGGGCGGCTTGTGGAGATGGCAGGCAAATTAGCGAGTGCCTATCCTAGAATGGCCAAAAGGGCAGGCAAGCAACAAGCTGTAGGCGAGTAGATCTTCTTACCTATGGTTAATAAATTACATCTAAAACGTATAATTAGTTTGACGCTTCTAGAGGCCCTTTATTTTCTTCTTATTTGTACCTCCCCAAGTGCGAGCCACAACTTTCCCACCTACGACTACTTTGACACCTCGGAGAAGAATCCTCCTTTGTAACCAGCGATTGAAAGAAAGCAGATTTCTAAACCTATTGAAAGAGGTAGTACCAGGCCTGAGAGTTACTTGTAGCATCGTCTACTCTCATTCTATCAACTACCACAAAAAGTGTTTTCAGAATTATTAGCGGCATAATTTATGGTAAAGCGGGATGTTACAGACCGGCTAGCGCGGCACATGGGGCTACGCTGAGCCCAAAGTGATATAACTCACGGATTAATGTTCCTTGCCATCGGTTATATAGATGCCTAGTCATATTACAATGGCATTTGACGAATATGATGATGTAGGCAGGACTTCTATTTCGTTGTCTATTTCGTTGTCGAATAGTCTTGGCCGTAGCGCACTAAACTTAAGTGATTGTCAATTGAGGTACTGCGCACGTCAGCAGAGAAATGTAAGAAAAGACTCGACACATCAGAAACACTCAGTGCCGATCACGCTACTACGTAAAGCATTTGTATGTGCACTCTAGAGCTACAAGAATGTCACACAAGATGGTTGGATATGAATCAATTTGATTTAATGCAATACATGTCTGAATACCACTACTGAATAAAATTTATGGTAATCTTTCATCATCATCAACACTGGTAAAATGAAACTCACAAGACGGCAACTTAGTATGTCGTGTCAGAAGACGCTCTGGGTGCTTGTTACTGGTGCGCTCATGTCGGCAGGGGCGCCGTCAGCAACAACAATGCACACGTGCCGAACGGCGCATACATGAAAATCGCAGTGTGCTGTTGCATTTGGTTTTCCCTATCTGCATAGAGACGCTGATATAAATGTTTTGACAGCAATAAAGAATATTGTTGCAGCATTGATATGTGGGTCTGGCAGTGATACACCTCGTAGTCAGCTGTCATCGTCACAAAGCAACAGCTGGGTTGATCACCATCGCAAGGGCAAGGGTCGATAATGCCTTGCAGCTTTAGCGTTTGCCGTCTGATCAAACAACAAAAGCTAGAGCTGCAAGAGTCGATGGCACCTAGATGGCTGCAAGAATGAAGAAATTATTCATCACTTCCATCTACACCTGGTATATAGTATTGGTGTGTGTAGTTTGGCGATGCTGTAGACTAGTGCCTTAGGTCTTATGCAGAGGTCTCCTGAGTAACGACGAGCCACTACCTTGGTCGATTCTGTCCAACAGAACTTTAATTACGCCTCGATGGCCTTCTAGAAGTCACACAGTGCCGATCGCGGCGCTGTCGGCACTTGACGTTTATGCTTTTCATCAGACCATTGAACATCAGGCCGTATTATGTGTCTCGTAACTTATTCCTGGCAGTCTCATCTGACGTGCTCACAGGGGGGGGGGGCATGGAACACCGTGCGCCTGTTGTTTTACAGCCAAATGGTGGCACGCATAGTTTGACTGGAATGCGAGCTTGAGCATGCAAAAAAGCCTTCTTTACGCCTTACGCACGGGTGGCGGTTCCCTAGTGCGCCCCCCCACGATATTTAGAGCCGTAAAACCCACCTAATAAGATGCTCTGACTTTTTTATCTCGTGCAGACCCCACCTATACTTTCTGCGCTAACTACCTACCTAATTACCTATTTCTGCAACAACACGCGAAAAAGCTAATTATTTTGCAACAACATGCGAAAACAATACAAGCACATTACGAGTTTGCAAATGATGAAGAGGTTCTGATATCGACGTCGCTGATTGACTATTTGTCGTGCACGCTACGCTGTCAAGACTATATGAATTGCTAAACCAACATAACCAATCAGGCCTTGGCATCGCGGTAAGTACTCAACACGCGCTGGGGGAATATTGGATCGGCACGGATACTGACTCGCATCAAGGGGTTTTCGGTTACACGGAACTTTTCTGCATGACGGTCTTATCCCTGGACATTTCAAAGAGCGCCCACGACCTTGCCGAATCTAGAAGCTAAAGTCGAGAATTGGCCGCTTATCAATAATTCGACCCCGTCACTCCTGTTTCACTTTGGTCCTTTAATCTTTTTTTCACTGGCACAGGCACCGAGAAGAGCCGTCGACAGGAAGGGCGTAGCTCTTGGACAGGCCAACATATTTTTCTAGGCACATATTGCAGAACTGAAAAATTATGGTTCATGGTGATAAATAGAACCTCGCTCGCCCTCGACATAAGCTATTCACCTATATTACGAGTCATTATCTGCCTCCAGAGTGTAGCCAAAAATGAGTCCAATCACTCTTTGGTTTGCCCTTGCGGGACTCGGTTCCGCCGGCGCCGTCAACCAGTATACACTTGTTGAGTCTTATGATCACACCAACTTTTTTGACAAGTTCAACTTTTTTGTTGTAAGTGGCAGTCTTGACTCGCGCGCGAATATAGACAGGACTCCAAGCTAAGACAATATTCCAAGAGCAAATATGGCACTGGCAACTACAATGATGTCGACCCAACATCGGGGTACATCAACTACCGCAGTCGGGAAGATGCCGTGAAGCTGGGACTCATTGCGACTCAAGGGTCGGAAATGTTTCTCGGCGTCAACCACAGAGATAAATTGGATCCAAAAGGCAAAGGCCGCGACAGTGTTCGAATCGAGAGCAAGCAGCTGTACAACTATGGGCTGTTCATCTCAGAGTTTACACACATGCCCAAAGTCGGCTGTGGAGTTTGGCCGGCATTGTAAGTCAGCGCAGTAGCCCATAGTGGCGTTGTTGTCAATGCTCGAAACTTACCGTCGTCTATTCTTTTAGTTGGACATTCGGTGATCCGTGGCCCGTAAAGGGTGAAATGGACATTTACGAAAATTGGAATCTGGCGCCATACAACATGATGACACTTCACACAGGCAATTCAAGCCAAGTCGGAAACTGCACAATCAGTCAGCACAATATGCTAAATCCTGTCATCACTACCAATTGCGATGTTACCTACAAGGACGCGAAGCAGAGCCTTAACCAGGCGTGCGGCACAGCCGAGGACCGCGGGCAATGGGGCTCCAAGTCTGGCGGTGTCTGTAAGTACAATCCTGCCTTGACCAACTCTGCTGCCCCCCCTCGTATCACTAGAAGAGTACTAATCGTAAGCGAAAAAAAAGACGCCATGGAGTGGACCGCCGACTACGTCCGGCTCTGGAGCTGGAGTCGAAGCGATACCCCCGTAGATGTCAAGCTCCAGCAACCGAATCCTCAGCTATGGGGAAAGCCCTTTTTCTACGCCGGCGGCTCGTCTTGCGACATGGACGCCCACTTGCGTGACCAGAAACTGGTGCTCAACATTGACTTTTGCGGTGTTGCCGCGGGAGACGCAGCCCTTTGGGGCCAACAGTGCCAAAATACGACGGGATACACAAATTGTACCGACTATGTGGCAAATCACCCCGATCATTTCGCCGATGCATTCTGGAAGGTCAAAGGAATCAAGATTTACCAATCACAATCGAATTCCACACATTCGACCAAGCACATTAATAGGCACTTGCACAGGCTGCGACACCATCAATAAGCTTGGCTGTACTTTTTTCTTTTAGCTGTTTATGTCTTTTCTTTTTTTTTTTTTTTTTGTAGCGATATACTCTTAATTTTTAAGCTTTTTACTTCGTTCTACTATAGAACGCCCTTGGTATGCTCAATATATAATAATATCGGAATTAGGACGCTACAAGTGATTTAAACCAGTAATGTACACCGCGTGGCGTTAGAGTACTGCCATTGTCTGGTCCATTGCTTAGAAGTTCCCGAGGACTACTGTAGCAGGCTTGCTTCACCGCAGGCATTGCAGTGACATGCTCTAATACCCGTTCTGTCCCGTCATAATCGCATCGACTAACTGGAAAACGCCAGTCACAAACTCTTGTATACCATCAGACAAAACAAAGGAGCTATACATCAATGCACAGTAGTCAAGAAATTATATATATATAAATATGTACACACCTCTTTTGGAATTCTAACCAAAACCTCCCCGCCCCGCCATGCCATGATTTCAATAAAGCAACCAGAGCTCATCTTGAGCTCCCGTATTGTATAGTACATTGCTCACGGCCTTTTTTTGGCCGTGTTCCGTAATTCTCATCATCAGACACCATAGGCGTCCAATTTTATTCCTCAACTTCTTCCTCGTCCATGCCACCAGTCACGTCGTCTGTAAAGGCCACCGTCTTGTGCCCTCCCGGCCTCGACCCAGCCGGCTCCACGACGTCGCCGTCCCACGGCCGGCACTCCTTGACGTGCTCGCCGCACCGCAAGCACGTAATGCCTTCGCCCTCTTCTCGCTCGAGACGCGTCGCCAGGCACACGAAGCAGTAGACGCAGCCGCAGGGAATCGTTTCGTAAGGGTTCGTCACGTCCGTCTGCGCCGAGCCGACGACGCCGCTCGACGCCGCCGCCGCCATAATCTCATTTTCCGTAGTCGCATCATTCTGGTCCTGGTAGCAAATGGCACACGTCCGCTCCGGCAAGAATCCATATTCGCCCGAGGCGCCGCCGCCACCGCCGCCGTCCTCCGCGGCACTCGTGTTGACAATCTCCTTAGTCTTGCGCCACGTGCGGCTCAGCCAGCGGCGCCAGCGGTTGATGCCAATGAGCGGCAGCACAAACAGCAGAAACTCGGTAAAGGCGTGCCACACAAGCTGCCGGTTCAGGTACTCAAACGACACCTCGCGGCTGACCTGGCTGGTCGGCGGCGCCAGCCGCATGCGCAGCACCCGGTCCAGCAGCGTGCGGTAGCGGCCGTGCAGCAGGAACACGAGAAACGACGCGCACGCCGCCGCCGAGTGCACCGTCGTCAGGCGCGCCGTCCACCGCGACAGCAGCCGCACGCGCGGGCTCGGCTCGTCGTACCCGTCGTCGTGCTCGGCCAGCCAAGCCTCCCACTTGCCCCACGCGTACTTGCCCACGACGCTGACGAGGCCGTAGAGCGACTTTTGCGCCCGCGACGGCGGCACCAGCACGGGGCCCGCGCGCCGCGCGTCGGTGTACCGGAGGTTCTGCAGCGCCGCGCCGTACGTCGCGTCGTGGTCCCAGACGGTCAGCTTGAAGAGCGCGGCGCGCAGCGCGAGCACAATCTCGTCGGTCCAGTCGTCCTGCAGGTGGCCGCCCGCAAAGTACTTGAGCGCCTCGGTCACCTGCGCCTTGAGCAGGCCCACGAGCTCGTCGTCGAGGAGCTCCGCGTCGACCTGCGCCACGCGAAACGCCGGCCGCGTGCCCTCGCGCGAGGACAGGGCGTCCCAGGCCGGCGCGAGGCCGCTAAAGGGAAACGGCAGCCGCTGCAGCTGGGCGCTCGTGCGGGATGCCTCGCGCTGGGCGGCGATGCGGGCCGCGGCCTGCACTTCGCGGGCCTGGCGGCGGGCGGCGACCCGTTGTTGGGCTTGCACGAAGCTCGATTCGCTCATCGGTGCGGCATTAGATCTTTCGTGTGTGTCGGTTCTCGGTAAATGTGGTATGCGTTAAATGCAGCAATGCGTGGCTCATAGATTAGAGGATGATGGAAATAAAGTAGCGAGCGTCGACGCACATGAAGCTTCGTTGAAGTCTGGCGGCCCCGCGGCCTGCCGTTTTTAGCGCATTCGCTGGGGCGGCATCAGCGAGCCGAGGCTAAAAGCTCTCGGTACTGCCCGTCACACATTCGGCGCTGCACACAGGCTACCTACTCATGTCGCCAGCTCATACAAATACATGAGACGATTACGCTACGGCTTGAAAGCTAACAATCAGCCTCTTAGCTTTCCAGACATACCGCTCCAACTGACTGCTACCGACAGTGAGAGGCGACTCGGACTGCGGGCTCTGGCGGGGGCAATCAGTTGCATCGATGCTACAAGCCCTCTCTGTCGTATCCGATGAGGTGCTTATATAACATGCCAACATCTTCAGTGCACAATGCAAAAATACCTTAGTTATCGATCGAGAGCAGTTTTTGGCGATGCATGGTTCCACACAGCTCCTCCCGTCCCAAACCTGGTACCTTCATTAGCGACCCACTGCCATCGCATCATCTAAACCAATTGACCAGCGGCCACAATCCAGTCTTGCACCAACAAACGGTACCTCATCCGTGAGGCACTGCTGGTCCCTATCTTGCCACGCTGGCGTCGCAAATGGTTCCAAGATGTGCTCCCGAAAGCTCCAGTTCTCCAGAGAACCAGGGGCCTCTGCATGGTGCAGCGGGCCAGCAGCATGTGCTGACTTTCAGCGCCTCCCCTGACGAGCCTTCCACGACGGCCGTCGTCCGGCCCAAGAGACAGAAGAGATTCGCCAACAAGGTCAAAACTGGCTGCATGACGTGCCGGTGAGATATGCATCCGCTTGACCATTTGACAATACATAGAGACTAATCTGAAATGATGTTGGAGACGTAGACGGATAAAGTGTGATGAAGTCAAGCCAGCATGTAAAAAGTGTGCGTCCACCTTGGATGCCATTTACTTGGCCGAGTCCTTCTCATTTATGGCTCTCTAAAATATGTTTCTGTAGGCACCTCTACTGGACGAGACTGCGAGTACCCTCCCACGGTCTTTCGCCTTGCCGAGAGCCCCATTCAAGCAGTGCCCGCGCAGCACAAGCCTTTGAACATCCATCCCATTTCACTCCTAGCTCCGCAGGGCATCAGAGTCGGCCGCCAGGAAGCACACGTCTTTGATCTTTTCCGCCTACGCACAGTCCATCAAGTTGGCGGCAGCTTCAACCAAGCATTCTGGACCGGTGATGTGCTGCGTGCTGCGCGTGTCTATCCTGCTGTCTGGCATGCGTGCCTCTCTTTCGCCGCCCTCGATCATCGAGCAAAGAAGCCTACAGCTTCCGAAGCCGACAAGAAGTCCCTGTATGCCTTTGCGCTGCTGCAACATAACGCTTCGATCAGGCACATGGTCATGATTGCGCAGCAAGCATCCCCGAGTTACGCCGACCAGGAGACGTTTATGCTCGTGAGCATGCTCTACACGGGCCTGTGCTGCTTGCAAGGAGATGTGGCACAGGCCGCTGAACACGCTCGCACTAGCATACTACTTTTCTATCAATGGCAGTTCTGGGAGCATCAGCAGCAAGGACGCCTGGATCACGTACTATCGCCCAGGGCCTTGATTTCTCTCATCTCCCTCTACGAGTCCCAAATCTTCGGTCGCACAAGAAATGTGCCGAAACCAAACTGGTATCTGCAAGGGAAACCACCAGCTGAGCCAGCAAAAGCGTACCAGTCCGTGAGCGATGCGTTTACCGACATCCAACCCATGTTGACGGCCATATTTCAGGCCTTTCCCATGGTCACTCTGCCTGGGGACATTGCCAGGGTGGTAGGGTATGATGACACAATCCAAGAGTACAAGAGCCGATTTGCGGTTTGGAGATCAAAATTCAAGGCACTCTTGGATACGCAGCCCGAGGGTGGTTCGAACAAGCATGGGGCAATACAGCTTCAACTTATGGAAGTGGCTGTGTATGTATGCTTGCACCTGGACCGCACCCTCGGCGAGGAATCTTTTGACCACTTTACAGAGTCATTCATCCGAATCAATCATCTTTCGCGGCAGCTCATCGATCTCGAAAAGGAGACCGAGGCAAGGCAGGGCATTGACGGCCAGGGGTTTTCGTATTCTGTTTCTGTCGCCGAGCTGCTATTTGGCGTGGGACGTACGTGCCGCGATCGGTTGATTCGACGGGAATCAGTTGCACTACTGCGACAGTGGCCTAGAAGAGATGGTATCTGGCGACCGATCGTCGTAGCAGACATGTGCGCTGCCGTCATTGAGCTAGAGGAAGGGGCATGGTACGACATTCGATCGATCGCGCCGGATGTATGCAGCTGTGTATATGAGAAATTCATTTGCAACAACCACCGAGTCGGTCGTCTTGAGTTGAAAATGTCTCCTCCAGGACAGGCGTCTGTTCACTTTCGATCAGTGAGCGACGTCCGACATCAGCGCGAGGGGCTTACCAAGGCGGTTTCGATGAGTTAGTCGAGGCTTTTCGCGAGAGCAAATTTATTGGGAATTGAGGGAAACTCGAGAGATGCTTGTTTCATTCTCTCCCTTCGTGTATCTATATGTAGCAGCAGCCGATTTAAACTAGCATATTATGATGCGAACGATAAGCAAACGAGGCTGTCGAGTCGGCGCCGTTTGCACCCCACCAATGGACCATGCGCCGCCGGGCCGTCACTCGGGGCTGCCAGCTGGCGGTCGGAGGTAGAACTTGGTCATGTGCCCTTTGCGGCGTTTTGGTCAGCCTCCCACCCATGACCTGGTGATGCAATCTGTTGAACCTTGATCGCAATCAAAATTGTCCTATCTTCTAGTTATTCATGGCCTTTCGCTCAAGACGGGTAATACGACCTCGCCGCATGGCACCAACGGACGTCGATACCGGTTGGGCCTGCCCCGCCAACTGCAAACCGGCCTCGATTAGCGTGCCGCCCCCCCCCCCCCCCCCACCTGCGCAGGCACCAGGATGTCACCGCTCCAATAAGTTGCCACTCAGCCATCAACAATCGCGACCGCGCCCTCCTCTCTGCTGCCTTGCCTTTCTGCTCTATCGGCGCCGCCTTCTTCTCATATCTCTAACGTCAATTAATCCCTATTCGCCGTCCCATACTGTGACTCATCCATTTTACGAGTTCCTCCTTCTGCCTGGGCTCGACTCGAGCATTTAAACCACAGTCCGCCGTTGATACCAACTACGCGCCGAGCTCTGTATCTCGAAAGCCTGCCGCCCGTGAGCGGCGCCAAACACCTACAAGAAGCGGGCGCGTGACTTCGCGTCATAAGCAGGGTGGTCACTGTACGCGACCCTTTATTTTTGTTTTCCGTCCTTTCTTGTGAACCTGGCAACTCTGAAGAAAAAAGGGAAGCATAAACTGAAGTTGCCTCGCCACCCTTGCTCCAGTCCTTGGTTTTGCCTCGCCCTTTTGGTCTCGCTTCATCAGTCGCACTTTTCTCGCTCATTTGTTTCGCCAGACTTTTGACTTGCAAAACTTCTTCTTTGGCGCGACGCCATGTCCTCGCGCAGACGACAAATTCCCGTCGAGGACTCGTGGCGCATGGTTGACGGTGAAAACGACAGTATCGAAACGACTCTCTTGCCCGGAACGAACCCCGAATACGACGGCGACATTCTCTCCCCGCTGTCCAGTGAGCAGCCTTCATCGGGCTTTCCCTCGCAGCAGCAGCAGCAGCCGAGCTCGCAGAGCCAGCCGAATTCCAGCTTTGGCTCGCAGGATAGCATCCGCGACTTTGCCAAGCACCAGGCCGACGACAACGTCATTCTGCGCGAGCCGTTTCGTCCCAGCATACCGCCGTCTGTGGTCAGCAGCACCAGCCATAACTCGCTCTCGGCGCACACTCACCGCACGCCGGATCCAGAATTTAGGATGCCGTCAGTCGACTTCAACAGTAGTCGCAAGAGCTCCGGCCAGAGCTCCCGAACGCTTCGCCAGGCCATGATGAGTAGCAGCCCCCGCGACAGCGAATCGACTGCAGTGCGACGACGGGGATACACATCACAGTCAAGTCCCGTGAAGCGCCGGAGCACGCGACAAAGAGCGGACCATGACGAGTACGGGACGCATCACCGAGACCGAAACAGCGATGAGCCTTCTACCCCATCGATTACGAGCGGCATAGCGCGGTGGGCAGTCGCCGTCATTGGTCTCGCCTTTCAATACGCCAAGCGACCCCTCGCGTTCCTTCTCGCCGTCTATCTCTTCTGCGGCGCCATCATCATGACGCAAAACATGCTACAACGGTCCATATACGTTTCCCTGTCGCCTGTCTGCCGCCTACCTGGTGCCTCGCTCCTGAACTTGCCGTTTTGCGCCGATACCACCGGTCGCGACGCACCAGACATGCTGGCGAACCCCGTCGAGTTTGACGACTTGATGGGTGTGCAGGCCAAATTTGAGGATGTTTTAGAGAAGAGCGTCGACGGAGCGTCACTGCCGCTGGAGATGAAGCGCTCTGAAGCGAGCCTGCGCGACCTGCGCACGCTCGTCAAGCACAGCGACATCCAGGCGCGCGACGAGCTTCTTTTTGAGCTTGACGGTTTTGTCGATACGGCGCGGCAGAGCGCCGCCGACCTGCAGCGCTTCAACACGCATGTCGGCTCGGCCGTCGACGCCGTCATCACCATCAACCGCTGGACCGCGCGCTACATTGACTCGCTTGCGCCCCTCTCCGACAATAACGGCGCCTCCTCCTCCACCTCGCTATCCCTCATCACCTGGTCCGGCTGGCTGTTCACTCCGTTTCAGCCCGCCGAGCAGGTCTTTAGCGAGCGCATCCTCCGCGACAAGTATATTGAGCACACAACGCTTGTCTCGGAGCGCATCGCTGCCCTCATCCTCGAGGCCCAGGCCGTCCTGCGTCTCCTCACCAAAGCCGAGGATCACCTCTCCCTCATCTACGACGTCTCGTCGCGCTCCGCCGCCACGCTCTCCTCGCACCGCGACGAGATCCTCTGGAACGTGTGGACGCTCGTCGGTGGCAACGCCCGCCGCCTCAGCCACCTGACACGGCAGCTCGCGCTATTAAAAAAGGTGGACGCGCAGCGCGACTCCGCCGTCGTCCAGGTCAGCGCCCTCGTTCTCGAACTCGAGGCCATCCAGGCCGGCCTTGGCGACCTGCGCGATCGCGTCGCCGAGCCTGGCGTCCTTCGCGACGCCGCCAGTCCCGCCGTCGCGAGCCTCCCCCTCACAATCCACATTGAGACGATTGATCGCGGCGTCGAGCGCCTCGAGGCCGCGCGAAGACGGATCCGCGCAGCCGAGGACGATCGCGTGCGCGAGGCGCTGGCCAGGAGTGGTCTGCGCGACGATCAGGATAGGTTGATTGGCGATTCTCAGCGTGCGTGATTGTCTCTGTTTGTTGGTTCCTGGACGCGTCTCCTACAGTCTTTTTTGTTTCTTTTCTTGAGAGCTCGGGGTGTGCAACGTGATAATGAACGACATGACCTAGGTATTTCCCTTTCTTTTTTTTTCCTCTTCTCAAGAGTCGGTGTTTGATGGTAGAGGCGTTGAAACACACATTAAACGGCTGCTTTTTCGTCGAGATCATGATTCGCTGCTTCTCCTTTTTTTACTTGCCTTGCGTCTGGACAAAGACTTGAACAAAGAGGGCCGGGGAAAAAAAGAGCTTGCCTAATTCACCAATGCAAAGTACAAATATTCAAACACACAAGACTCGTTATCAAATAAGTTGATTGTCGTCCACCAAAATCGTCACTAGATGAATTTCGCACTTCAACAGAGCAGTTTGATGACAGAGACAAAGTAGTGTAGTAGGTTGAATATATCCCATTGTATCCTATAGACCATTCCATCCGGCACATTTTTTCCCAGACAAGGCTCCCGGTTCAAATAAAAACGTTTTTGTAAACGAAAAAGACGTACCTCGAAATTGCCCCATTATATAATATAGAAGAACAGCCTGCATCTTCCAGGCCATGCAGGGGTTCCAACAGAAAATGAAAGATGAAATAAAAAGGCGATCCGCTGTGGATGGTGCTTCTCGCACCGGGCATCCCTTCATAACGTCATGAATAGAAGAAGAAAAGAAAAGAGGCAGGGTGTACACCTGCCTAAACGCCATCGCAATGCTTTTTCCTCCCATGCAGCTGCCTGCTACATCCGCGTGTTAATGCTACGCAAAACGCCGAGCCCAATGTGTGATGCAATTATAACCCCGGAAAGACCTTGGTGACCGCGCGGCGCCATTTGGGACGCGATTGATCGGGGTCGTCAAATGGCGCATTCTGATTGGCAATCTGCCGCATGCGCTCACGCGCAAACGAGGATGGACTGCTACGACCAACAAAGCCGGCGAACCCTGTGCGAAGTTCTGAGCCTTCGGGCTGCGTGGGCAGCACATGCAGGGGTCGGGCTTTGGACTTTCGTGCGCGGGCCTTCTTCGGGGGCGGGGCGGACACAGCCGAGGGCGGGACAAAAGTCTCCGTCGTAGACTGCGGCGCCGCAACTGCCGGTGCTTGCGTTGTTGCTGCTGCTGCTGTTGGGACAGCTTCGGGAGTTTCACCGCCAGCGTTATCGTCACTCCCATTTCCGCTCCTTCTTGGAGAATCGTCTCCGCCGGGACGTTCGGGTGACGAAGTCTGCCGCTTCTCTAGTTGGAGATCCTGGCTGTCTTCCGAGGAGGATATGGAATGGAAGAAGCGCTTGCCCCAACCTGGTCTGCCCCAGCCCTTGAACTTGGCATCGCCAGATTCAATCGAGGAGTCATCAAACTCGACTCGTTCTCGAAGCTTCCGCAGTGCACGCTCACGGCGGACCATGCCGTTGGTAATCTTGGGGCTATATCCCCGCGGCAGCATACATTGCTTACACATGGGACACAAGGAGCTGTTGCGGAGTAGGAACTCGTCGATACAGGTCGGGTGAAAAATGTGGTGGCAAGGCAGCTCGCGAATGATGCTCAGGCGATCTTCAAACTCGACAAGGCAAATGTGACAGCGAGGCTGGAAATTGGTGGCGGTTGTATCGGCTTTTCCAGTCACGGCAGAACGCTGGCTGCGCATTGTCTGCACGCTGTCCGAGATGACAGTGGCGGATGAGTTGCTCTGACGGTCGCCTCTTCGTTTCTTTCTGCCCTTGTTGGATGGCATGGTGGATGGCACATCGGAAATTGGCGTGGACAGGTCGTAGGCAAGTTCGGGCTGGCTGGTGTAAGTAAATAATGAAAAGTCCTTGACATGAGAAGCAGGGACGGTTAGGCGCTTGATACCCATAGCCTCTAGGTCGACTTCACCAGACTCGACACGTTTGCGCAAAGAGGTGCGGCGCCGTCGCTGGATGAAATGCATGGTGAGTGATACCGAGGCAACAATGAAGAGGAGGGCACCAATAACGATGAGAAAGTAAACCCATAGCGAGGGCAGGCTCGCGGGCCCTCTCATGGTTAGTTGGGCCCAGATTCTAACATAGTCTCTTTCGTTTGTGCCGTATCGCTGCATGATTTCGGCGCCATGAGGGACGGTATCGGCGGTTCCGGAATAGAGACTCAGTTGAGTCATCATCTTCTGGCCCTCGATGCCGGGAATGGCAAAGATGGGGAATCTGGATTCTTTCCAAGCGCCGCCATCGTCGAGATTCCATACTGCAGAGTCCGAATCTTGCGGCTTATATGTCGAATTGTTTGGCTTGTAAAAGATGAAGCCACGTATGGGGTCCAAACGGGCCGCGGCGAGGTAAGCCTGGACGCAATCTATGCTGAACCAGGGGGCGAGGGCGATGAGGTTGTAGTTTGCGGGAGGGAGCTGGGACCTGCGGGTGACGTTGTGGGGGATGAAGTCGTATTGTTGTGCGTTGCACGAGGCGACGGTGGAGATGTCGGGAACGTAAAGCAGACCTTGTATGACGCCGTTGAGAGTTTGGGCGCCGTTTGTGGATAGAGTAGTGAGGTTCTGCTTTATGTGCTGCTCGTAGCCAAGATCCCGGGCGACATCGGTAATGTTGCGTATCAGCGACGCCGGGACGGTGCCGGCGCCGTTCCAGGAGGGGTTGCTGAAGAGTAGCACTCCATTGTAGAGTCCTACGAGAGACATGGTGGCTGTGACATGCCAATCATTGGGCGGGGGACATTATAGAGAGCGCATCAGCGGCGCTGTGATAGGGTGATGGCGGCAACGGTACGAATCGAGACAATCCAGGCACAGGTCGGGACGACAGAAAATTATTAGTGATGGTATATCGACGTGCGCCAGTAGCAAGTGCGTGGCGCTTTTTTTTGTCTGGCGTGCTGTGCAAGCCGAGAAGTGTGGGTAGAAGCAGCGCGGCTGGTCGCGAGCAGAGGTCGCAGAAGTAGGGGCGGGTCGTGCGTTTGCCGGGGAGGGACAAGGAGATAAGGATGAGCCGTTGGGCGGATGAGTCGGAGAGGAGCTAGAGTCGAGGGAAGGGGAGCGCAGCGAGGGGATGTGCACAAAGGCGAGAGGAGGCGTTGTCGAGGGAGGATGAGGCCGACGTTGGAAATGGAGGGTGCAAGAAGAGGTTAATAATAGCGGGCGAGAGGAAGGCGCAAGAAAGAGGGCCCCGGCTTTGGCGTCGAGGCGTCGAGGCGTGGGCAGAAGGAGAATGAGAGCAAAAGAGGCACGAGAAGCGGGCGAAGAAGCGTAGTAATAAAGTAATATCACCCGCAAAAAAAAAGATGGGCAAGTACAAGGTACAACTTCCTGGAGAAGCCACTGCGGAGCTCTCTGCACCCAGGCCAAAGTACCAGGTTCCCAGGCAGCCCTGTCCTTATCGCGCCCGTTTTGCGGCGCAGTGGGTGCGAAGACGAGACGGGGTCCTGTCAAAAAGATACCTTGCTAATCGCAACGTGCGGCGACTTACTCGTAAGTATCCGGTACGCGTAGGTGCACCATCCACCCGCCCACACACGTCTGGCACCCACCACCACTCGAGCACCAAGATCTAAAGAGACCATGGTGCGTCTGCTGAGGCATACAAGAATATGGCAAATAAGAATGACGACTTGAAAGCTATTCGGGCCTTTTCTTGTTTTTCGTATGTCTCTTTCGACTCTGTACAACCCATCAAACAGGTTTGCCAACGAATGGTTATAGTGCCACCGTTTTACCTATTGCACCGCAGGGAGTAAGTAAGTGAGTGTTCGTGGCTCAGCAGTCTCTCCACTGTGGCGTCCTGTAGGTAGGTAGGTACCTTTAAACAGTCTCTGCAGAGTGCAGACAGCATGATTATTAGCTATTTAAAATCCGTACTCCGTCGGCAAATTTCAACTTGCCCGTCAGTCTGAGTACCTAATGTAACAGTAACTTGGTCACACAATGACGAACCACGACGAACTTTTGTCATCGCAAACATACCACGACAGACCTGTCTCGTCTCACTCAAAGATCATCGGGCCTTTATAGCTTCGCCTAGTCCGTACCTACACCCGACTCTTACCAGTACTCTCGACCATTTGACCCCGCCGTCCGCTCGCCTGCATTAGGTCCTCCTCCGCCGTCCCGAAGTCCTCCGTCTTCCGTCCCCTATCCATCGTCACCCGCACCACGATGCCTTAGCCTTGCACCGACCATGGCAAACCTGTCCCCCATGCGCACAGCGCCTGTTTGTCTCTGTGCCATGATACCTTTGCACAAGCGCGATATTATCACATACATCGGCTCTTTCCCTTGCTGACTCGGCTTTTTTTTGCCGACGCCACGAAACACTACTGCAATACGTCCATGAACGAATCGTCCTCCACCCCCCAAACCGTTACACTAATGGCTCTCATCTGCCCTCATTCAACTCCCTATTCTCCCTTTCCCTTATTCACTTTCCACTGCTAGGTTAGGTCCCATGCCATTCCACGGCTCCTCTTGTCAGAAAAGGGTGGCTCCACTGTCGTCTTGCAACTTTTCGGTCTTCCTCCATCCTTGACCGAATGCTTGTCAGTCGATTCATGACCAACAGCCTGCGCGCGTTTCTTTTTCAGTTCCCCTCTTCTCCTGTGCTGCTTTGTTATCGGTGTTTCCGCAACGCCATGATTACTACCGACACATGGGCGGCAGCTTCCTCGGCCGCTTCCAAGCTTCCTCTCAATCTCCCACAATGCGCCATCGAGTCATGCCGCCGAGGCTAAATCAATCTGGCTGCATCCGGTCGGTCGGTAAATGGTTATGCCGTAAAATAAGGAATCCCTAGGGCCATGTAAGGCATATGCCTGCTGCTGCATGTCGCATCATGCCGAACAAGTTCATTTGAGTAGCTCTCTGACCACAGCGAATAGCTCGGGTCTAGCTCCATGACTAGCCTGTTTAGATTCAGTAGCAGACTACGGTTTACTGGAATCTGCGTGGCAGTTCTAGATGCGCCTAATTTCAATAGCTCGCCAGGCCTAGGAAGATGGGCTCAGCCGCCCGATGATGGAGGTTGCTCTGTCCACGAGGAAATAGGAAACGCCACGCAGAGAGACGCACGGCGCAAAGCTAGAAACAAATAGGGAATTTCTAGGTTTGACGGGAAGATTGCATTACGAGCGCCTGGGCAAGCCACAAGATGAAATGTAATAGACGTGAAAGGAGAACAAGAGCACTTTGGCGCGTAGACGTCGTTTGGTACCAAACCGCCGTGCAGGCCAATATTGGCTCGCCCAGCTCTGATAAGCATCCCCCCTGCGCCATCCTGAGGAAGTTTTTTCGGCTGCCCGTCAGCCACGCAGCGCCAAGAGCCGGCCATCTTGGCCTCCTCGCCTTTGGGGGTGGGAGGCGCCGTTGATCGCGGCCGGCGTTGTAGCACGTTCTGAGACCTTGGGGGCTCGGTGGGCCGTCTTTTATTTTAGTTTTTGGGTTTGGTTCTGTAGATATTCCGGCGAGAGAGCCATAGAGCCTGTTGAATGAATACATATATGCCGCACACAAGACGGGACATGACCATAACCAGGGTCTTGAACGCGTCTCACAATGCAACTTTTCTGGCTTCCCGAACCACGGGCTCTTTATCTTTTCACAGAGATGGGAATCAAAGATAAAGTCGCCCCGACACCAGCGTGACTTGTTATTTCCAGGCGCTGAAACGTATCCTCGTCGGCAATAAAACCCCCCTCACGCCCGCTTGGTCAGAAGGGCCCCGTCGATTGCGCCCCCAACTTGAGCGGGCGCTCTTTGCTGCGAGCGAGATTGGCCAAACCCCAACGAAGCAGCGGCACCCGAGATTCTCTTGAAAGAAAAAATTGTTGAAAAAAAAACTTGTAATTGAGAATTCGACCATTTGGACATAAAGTTAAAAAAAAAATAAAAAAAAAAACAGGGACGGACTATAACGATCAAAAGTCCCTGCGCATCATACTCCATGTCATGTTTCTCACTGCACCCCTCAACCTCATTTCATTTCCGGATATAACTGTTCTCTCTTTTGAAGTCTTTTTTTTTTCCTCTTTCTTTTCCTTTTTTCTCTGGTTTTCTTTTGGCAGGCTTTCTCTGTGGAGGACCCAGCTTTCCGCCTCATGGCTGGCTTGGCAACTTGGCCTCGTGGGGGAAAAGCGCCGCTCCCACGACTCGGCCCGTAGGGGTAGACTCCAGCTAGATTTCAGGCCCGACGTATTCTGTGCATGCCAACTTCTTCGCACATCTCATCAGCGTTAGTATCATCGCGTGATTTCATGGTTGTCATATTTTGTTCTGTTTTTCCCTAGTAAAATATGACGATGCTATGTGTCATGTGTCACGTGATGTGCCTGTCATTCTCATCGAGAACGTTTTTATGATGGAGTTGGCCCGCAACTATAACCGGCTTCTAGGCTTCTCCTGTTCCTCAAAGCCTGCCATGTGGAAAACGACATATATCGGGCGCAATGTCGAAAATCGCACAAGAATCAGCGCCAGTGGGTGAAACTTGACCATAAACTCCAGAAACGGCATCACAAAGACACAGACCATTGCATACGGGCCATTTTCGCTACCTGATGCCGTCTGTAGGGTATCCTGTGATGCTTTTGACGCGACCATCAAGACGCGTCTGCGCAGACCCCACATGATTTTTCGGCGCGTCTTCATCTCAAATCCATGTCTCGAACAGGTCAATTTGATATATGCTATTTAAAGCAAAGAGGCTACCGCCCCTTGCAGCTAATCTAACAGTTGCCAATCTAGCGCCGCATCAAAACGCGCTCGCGTTCCTTCAGTACCGGTCGTCATTATCATATTCATCGTCGTTGCGTCTCTGGCGGCCATGACCACCGTACTCTCGTCGCCCGTATTCTTCATCTTGACCACTTTCGTCCCGTCGACCGTAGCCATCCTGTCTGCCGTATTCACCACGGCCACTGTTGCCACCGTGTCTTCCTTCGCCGCGGCCACCATAACCACCCTCATTCCCGCCTCCATAGCTGTCACCACCACGACCACCATAGCTACTCTCTTCTCCGCCATAGTTGTCATCGCGACGCGAGCCATGTCCGCTGCTGCGGCCATGGCTGCTCTCCTCTCTACCACCGTATCGCTCTTCTCTGCCGCCGTAGCTACTCTCTTGTCTTCCGCCGTAACTCTCATGCCCACCACCATAGCTACTCTCCTGTCGCCCGCCATAGCTAGTCTCCTGTCTTCCGCCGTAACTCTCATCCCTGCCACCATAGCTGCTCTCCTGTCGCCCACCATAGCTGCTCTCCTGTCGTCCGCCATAACTGCTCTCTTGTCTACCGCTGTAGCCACTGTCGCTTCTACCGCCATAGCTGTCTTCCTGGCGTCCACCATAACCACCGTTGCCGCCGCCACCCTGATAGCTACCGTCTTGTCTACCGCTGTAGCTATCCTCTCGGCGGCTGTCGTGGTCATCTCTCCTCTGATTGGAGCTCCCGTAAGAGTTGGATTCCTGTCGATGGCCACCGTCCTGTCTGCCACTGTCCTGTCGACCGTATCCACTACCACCGCTGCTGCTGTATTCCTGTCGGCCATTGCCGTCGCTTCTACCCTCAAAGTTGCCCGAGCTCTGACTCTGCTGGTTGTCTGTGCGGCCGCTGCTGTATTTCATTAGACGCTGCAGGGTTTGCTCAGGAGCAACGGGCTACTCATACCTGCCCTCGTCTTCGTCCTTGCTGAAGATGGATTTGATGAATCCCTTAAGGCCGCCCGATTCCTCACTCTCCTGCCTGCCCGGCAACTGTATACCAGTCTGCTGCTCCACAATGCTGGAAACTGCGCCGCTGGCGCTTGAGAAAATGGCAGTAGCTGCAGCACTGGCGATCTTAGTTTCCATAGTCTCTGGTGCACCATACAGCTTGCGCATTTCAAGCTTTCCAGCACATCCGTGACCGTGACCAGTATCGTAGACACCCTCTTTGTGGTTCTCTCCCTTAAAAACACCATCACGAGAAAGCTTCCGACGATAGTCATCGCGCTGGTCATCGCCCATTTGACCCCACCACTCCTCGACAACCTTGAAAATCATCTCGCGTGCCTCGACGACGCCATCTTGGCCCATGCTTCTCTGAGCAGGATGATGAAGGACACCATAGATCAGGCGGTCGCAGAGACGATTAACATCGACATTGTCGTCATCAATAGCCTCCATCAGCTGCGGAACGGCCCACGAGACCATCTTGGCAGCACCTCGACCAGCAACCTCATTCAAAATCTATTCAAGTTAGCACCTCCGTAACTTTGTTGCAATCCCGAGGCCATCTTACGTTGGAGAAATGATCCTTGGAAAGCATGGAGTGAGTTGGGTCGGTGCTGTTGTCATTGTCAAAAACAACATGCTGCTGGTTCTTACTGCTCTGAATAATCTCGTCGGAGCCAGTCTTGAGTTCGTTCCGAATCTGTCGAATCAAAGGGACAATAAAGGGAGCCATGATGCCAAAGACAAATTGTGTGAGCTGCTCTTCAAGCTGTTCGATAATCTTGGGCAAAACCGGAATCTTGTCCACGGCATTGCTGATGGTCTTCATAATGTCATCGTGAAGCTTGATGGCGGGCATGATTTGGTCAAATATGTTTCTGACATACAGAGTGAATTCCTCTGGGTCTCTTGGGGAGACAGAGGTGTTTTGCATCTGGGCGGCATTGGCGTTTTCCTGGATCTCATCGATCTTCTGCTTTTCGTTGCCGCCACCGAGAATGCCATCGGGAATCTTGTCGAGGAGTTCGCGAAGGAAGCTAGTATCGGACTGCTTATTTCCCTCAAGTGCTCCCTCGAGCTCCTCAATCTCGTTTTGAGTCAGCTTGTCGGAGACTAGCAAGGGTCAGCATACAAGCACAGACAAAGACAGACACAAGACGCCCAACCTTCGCCGGTAACGGAGTGCAAAAAGTCGACACCACCAAAGGTGCCAGTCACAATAGGATATACCGTGTCATTTGCGCCCTCGAGTTGGATCTTGGTGTTGGTTCCGCAGTGTGGAAAGACGTCACGCTCGCCCATTTCGATAAGTGCAAGCTCCGTGTAGTTGCTGTGGGCAAAGAAATCTGCGAAACGGCGTTAGCGAGTTTGAGAGCAAGCTGCAGAGGAAAAGTGAAGATAATACCCTCCAAGCAGTGCAGGCCAGTGCCCATGAGGCGGAGAGCCTCGTTGCGATCAGCCTTGTTTTGGTTGTCTTTGTAGCGACGACCAAGCTCGATGCAGCGGGTGAAGAGATTGCGAACATGCTTGGCCGAGGTCATGATATTATCAGATTCTGAAGCAATGTATTTCTTCATGCCGTTGCGCTCATCAATCGAAAGCTCAGCTTCCTCGTCGATAGGACCTCGGAGGCGGTCGTAATAGTCGCGCGCGTCGACATTGTCGGCATAATCTTTGGGGTTGTCAATGTGGTCCTCGGGACGGTAGCATCCAACTCGATCAGCGGTCACTTCAAACTCGCCAGAGCCATAGCCAAAGGTGATGAAGCCAAGAACGCAGAGAAGTAGGCGAATGGCCTCGGAGGAGACAGCCTTGACAGTGCCGACGTCAATTGCCTGGGAATAGTCGCGGAGCCAGTTGCCGAAATAGACACGAGATACGTTGTGCTTGCTAAATTTCTTGCCATTAAAGGCGCGAGCCATGGCGATAGAGAGCAGAGCATCCTCAATGTCACCGTGGCGCCCTGTTTTAAAGGTGTTAGTGATGCCAGGCTGACAAACGGCGAGTGCAGAGTACGCGGAGATTACGGACAATTTTGTCCTTCGACCTTGGAGATGGAAGCAATGTTTCCAGCACCAAACGCAGCAGCCGGGCTTGCCAAGACGGCAAGGACGACGAGACCCAGCAGCAGGCTCGAGAAGCGAGAGCTGGCCATGGCGACGGTGATGTGGTGTAACTGTGTAAGTTGTTCTCTGGGCGATGCGACTGTTCTCTGATAGATGAATTCTTTCGAGACGCTGAGATATTGTTGAAGAGGAGAAAATTCAGCGAAATGGAATGAAGAAGTAGGAAGAGGTGAAAAATCGAAAGAGGGAAATGAAAAAGTGAAGATTAGGGAAGAGGAGGGGGTCTCGAGCGAGGAGGGGTTCGTGCTTGGCGGGGGAGATCGTACGTCAGTCACAGGCAGAGAGTACTGGCAAAGCTGAAATTTTATTTTTAGAGAGCACAGCAGGCAACAAGTAGCAGCTAAAGCGTACTCATCACCAGATAGTGCTAGTCATTGCTCCATTAACCGTAGCACTAGACTTCGGGGCCCAACAGGCCGATGGAAAAGACCGGTGAAGCTCTCTAGGGCACCGCGTATGGTGGTCCAAGGCGCAAAGCGGCAACGGCACTAATCGAGGGGTACGAGCTGTGAGTGGCTAATGGTAGTCTGGAGCCCGAGTGTTGGGTCGTTTGGGGCAAGTTTTAGAGGGCCAAGAGGAGAATAAGGAGGCGCTAAGATGCGAAGCTTATACTTTAACTGTTTGAGCAGCATATTAACTGGAGGCGGTGCCTGGGATGGATGAGATTGTGCAGCTATGGATAGGCGAGGGATGTAGCCGGCCGATGGCTAACCCACGCCATGAGCCTATTGTCGTCCCCGCGGATGAAATCGGGCAGAGGGTTGAGTTGAGGCGAAAAAGAACAATACTATCTGGCGAGAATCAAGATCTTTCTTGGCCTTGTCTTGCCACTCGTTGCGCAGCACGCAATCCAAGAGACCCTGAAACAGCCCATTACCGATACAGGGGGTTCCATGAGCGGGCAGATTGTGGGGCGCCTGGCAGAGGGACTAGAGAATAGATAACCAGTAAATTAGTTAACATTTATTCTTTAGCACAGGTCTTGAGCTGCTGGCCAACCATGGCAGCCTCAGGCCTACGCTAACGACTTTCTGTGGGTGTGCACCAAAGCGGGGGCCATGATTCTGTTGGCTCTTTGTTTATGTACACTGTGACGCGTATAGTGCATCGACGTGTTTTTTCTTGCGCTCATAAGCAAGGCTTCCCTACCAAGCGAAGGGAAATATGTTGGAATAAACTAGAATACCTAATCTTGATCACTTACTGAAGAGTTTGCAGCCACGTGTAAACTCAGAATCTGATAGATGCAGGCCAGTCTCTGTCGCATCTGCCGCTGCTTATGTACCCCGCCAATTGTCACCAGTGAGGCGCCAAATCAATCTCGTCAATGTCTTGCAGGTACATGCGGCGCTGAGAATACCCGCCCGCTGCTGTTGATACAAGGACGCTCTTGGCTTGCTATACTGTTCTTCGTATTATTTTCGCTCGGGCAAGTGGATTCGTCTTCCGTGACCGTTTGTACTGCCGAGAATTGACAAGCTACGACGCTTTGTTGGGCGTCGAGGCAGGCAACGGCGAGTGCAGGCAGAATGACTGCGCAGAAAGTCATTTCCCGACAAATTCACGGATCTAATGGGCAGTGGATAGAGTCGTCGGTGTGGTGGGAAATTGATGAAAGACCAGTCGTTGCGGCTGTCGCGGGGATCGTCACAATGGAGGCGGACGGATTGTCAAGTGAAGAGCTGGCATGATTCGTTTGGAGACTTCAGGTGATACTCTGACGATGAACCATCTCTTGCTGCCACGATCCGTAGTGCTACAAGCCAATGCTAACTAGTAGAATTGCCCGGTGAAACGATGGCGTGGATGATTGGAGCCAACAACGGTCGGGAACTGGTCTTACATCGATTGATTGCCTGGAATGTTACAATTGGGGCAACACAAAGCTCTACAGATTTTAAGATGGACGCTGACCATGGCAGGCAGATCTGGCGGCAATGGCCCAGGGACGGCGAGCACCTGCCCATCCATTACCTAAATACGGGCACGTCTTAAACCTCTACCCAGGTACTGTTCAGATAACCACTGGTCAAAAGGCTCGTGGCTGCTCAACGGCTGACTTCCACGATGCTGACACGCTGCGAGTCGAAGGGAACTTGTCAATGCAAGTGAGGGGTAACCGTGCTGAGGTTTACACGTCGTTCCCGAAGCCGCTGGAACGACTGCAGTAAGAGCAGACCCTTTGCCGACTCTCTTCTGACTCTGGTCCAACCAGAGGCGAGCGAGGTACTTAGCCAAGTTCGCCTGGTCGCTGATTATTAGTGTTTATTAGAAGCTCTGTGCAGGAAAGCCACAATTTCACAAAGCCAACTGTAAAAGTCTGCAACTCTCCAGCCCACGGGCTTTATACTAGTAGTCGCTAAGAGGTCTCGCTGGACCAGGACAGTGTCCTGTTGAGCCGCCAAACCAGCTAGTATGGAGTCGTGTCAGGGTCAACACAGCACAGGCATTGCTGCAAATGACTGCTTTACAACATGATAATCCAATTCTGCACTATTGCAGACCTCTTTAAGAAATGCAACGGCTGTGTGAATGATCGGAATGGAAATGGGTTGTTAGCTAATTACTCGTCGTATACCATGTTCAGCTTACTTTACTGGCGAGTTGGCGAAGACTGGCAGGCCTTGTTTGCCAGCCAAATTGTCTGCAGCACTGGTGGAGGAGTTACGCAGCGCTGTTTATTGGATATGTCGGCGAGGGATGGCCGGTAATAAAAGTGCAGAGAGAGCTGGCTTGTACCTAATCGAGCAGGGGTTGTGGCAGCGGCGGAAAGACGGCGGAACAACTGCATTGGCGAGTTACGAATAGGTCATGGTGGTGGTTGATGAGGGCTACAGTGAATCACTACCTAGGTAGTAGATAGGTAGGTACCTAAATACCTACAGAGGCACGGAGACAGGTCCAGGCGGACAGTTGGAGACTGACCTTGCCTGGCGTACGGGATCATGAGTCCAGAGCATGTTACACGAACCAAAACAGCCACTGGCGAAGCCTGGCGAGGTCGCTGAGCATGTAACTTGAAAACACCCGGTTTCTATGTCGAGGCTGCAGTGGTGGTGGGGCACGGCCTGGAGGCCAGCAGCTGTAAGCGAATTAGCGAGCCGCAACGGCTGGCATTGCAGTGCCACCTGCTGTTTGCGGCTGGGCAGCTGCAGGAGCGCTGTGGCCTTGTGGTACAGTAAAGGCCGGTAGCGGGGGAGGGAACCTGGTGCTCTATTTTCTACCTACGCGGTGCGCTCCTTTGCAAATGGGGCTGACTGTTTGCTAACGGGGGCAGCAGTTTTATCTAAATGGGCGAGACCAATAGTACGAATAGCGGGCTCTAGGTACCAGGCGGCTACTGACCTAGCGGATGGTGCTGTCAACGGAAAAGCTGTTAGCTTGGGGGAGCGAGCGAGGAGAAGCGAGGAGGGATGGATAGCACAGGCAGCGAGCAAACCAGCAGAATGCGTACTGTCAGTGCCAGAACCCAGCACACAGTCAGTGCAAATTTTTCTTGCACGACCCCCCTCTCAGGCTTGATTTGTAGTTGCCTCTGGGCACCCCCCGCTAGCCCTCTTCCTCCCCCCCCTCCTCTTCTCCGCTGCTGCCCCCAAATAAACCACCACAGGGAAAAAAACAAAAAAACAGCACACACACACCATGCAACACCCGGGGTGCGGTGGTGCTGCGACCCCGCCGCTGAGCTGGCGTCGTGTGGTGAAATTAGTGATTGCGCGCTGCCTGTGGCTCCAGGCCCAAAATGTACTTAATTGGCACGCCACCCACCTGCCGCCTACCCTTCGGGCCCCCCCCAGCCCCCCGACTTTTCTTTTTCTTTGGCTTTCCCAAATCACTCGCTGTCTTTGAATTTTTCAGCACCCCTCTGATCCCCCTCCCCCAAGCCTCACTGAAGCCTCTTTTTTCTCCCTCCAGCACTCTCCCCAGAAGGCTTCACCAAACCTCCCAGCTCCACCATCACCAACGCCTGTCAACAGCGTCTTCCCGCTATCGCGTCAGTGGACATTTTAGGCTATTCCATCTTATTTTCAACGGCCTCTTCTGCCTTTGGTCGCACTTTTAGCTACAGAGCTTCATTTTAGGCCTCATTCGCCACCGCAATCCCGCCAACTGCCACGCCTTCACCTCAAAGGCCTGGCTTGTAATTTTTCACTCACTTTTACACCCACCGTCAACAAAAACCATCCATCACGATGCCTCGTCCCTCAAAGAAGGCCGACGACAAGGCCAAGGGTGTCATCCCGCCTCCAACCATGGTCATTCCGCCCGTGATTGCCGGGCTTGCTCCTCCCGTCAACCCCAGTGTCGGCCCTCGTGTTGTTGACAACGAGAGCTTTATGCGCGTCCGCGATTCTGTGAGTAATAACCATTTTTCTTCTTTGCAGCCTTGTATTTCACCACATCTTTTCACCCACGTTCCTCACCTGCTTGCCATGAGCTGCTGGCCTTGGATCGGCGCCTCATGTTGTGCATGTAAAGAGCAACTTGAACATGCTGGAGCTTCAGTAGCTGCCAGTGCCAGTGCCAGTGCCACTCGCTGCCCAGCTCCATGGCTACAGAGTTGCCAATGACGGCAAAATCGTTGCGACTGGCCTCGGAGAAAGTCGCACAATTTCCAACCCTTTGTATCACCTTATTCTACATACAATTTTTTTCCCCGCCATTTTCGACCACATATCCTGGCCAGAGCAGCACTTTGTACAGCTGGTACGAGACGCGACTGAGCACCTCTGTATTGTTTACATGGCGCCGCGCCTTGCCCAGACGCGACCCCACTGGCCGCCTGAAGCTCTGGCTGGTGAGCCGTTCAAAGCTTGGCTTCAACTCGCCCAGCTCACGAGCTTCAGCGCCTGGTGTCACAAGCTATGCTCGTCGCACACTTTTGTCTTTTTACCGTTTCTCATTTTCCCCTGCAGCCACAACCTTTCATCCCCTTTCCTCATTACTTACTCATTGAACAATGGCTTACACGAACAAGGCCGTCAATCGTCTCTCCACTATTCTGGAACTTCTTCGTTCCTTTACCAGTGACTACATCCGCCAGACCAGCCTGCTTCTTGGCGAGCAGCAAGGCGATGTTAATGAGCTGATTAACAGCTTTGATCCCGCTGCCGCTGCGGCCCAGCTCATGCTCCAGCCTGTAGGGGACCTTGCCGCTCCTCCCGTCGAGGAGAAGAAGGAGCGCAAGAAGCGTACCCACGACCCCAACGCTCCCAAGCGTCCCCTTACCCCCTACTTTCTCTACATGCAGCACGCCCGCTCCATCATTGCCAACGACCTCGGCCTTGAGGCTCCCAAGGGCGCTGTTCAGGAGGAGGGTCAGCGCCGCTGGGCCAACATGAGCCCCCACGAGAAGCAAGGCTGGAACAATGCATACCAGTATAATTTGCGTCTCTACAACGCCCGTGTTCATTCGTACAAGGCACAAAACGCCAATGCCAAGAACATGACGGATGAAGAGGCTCTCAAGTACGCCGAGGAATTTAGCATCCCCATGCCCGACCTCAAGGATGCCTCCAAGACGGACAATGTTCAGGCCGCCATTGCCGAACAGCTTCAGGATGATTCCTCCAAAACTCCCAAGAAAGCCGCTGGCGGTCGCAAGCGTAAGAGCGATGCACCCGTCACCGAGGTTGAGACCCCCAAGGCCGGCCCTGCCAGCCCTGACAAGAAGCGCAGACGCACTTCTACCAAGGCCGCTGACGACAAGGACGACAGCAAGAAGTCTGCTCGCAAGAACAAGAAATAAATTCTTCAAGTGGCACCACGCGCGATGCATCGCGCTTCGCTGCATCATTTTGTTTAGAGCGGCTGCTTTTTCCATGGTTCTTTTTCAACAGCACGTCGCTGCCAGTGACGCCGCCCTCTTGTTTAATGACCGGAGAAACAACACATGCAGAGTTGGCATGCCGTGCATGATCAGGAAATCATGCGAGGCCCACGCTAACCTACCTGTGTCCTGCGCTGTATTAATCTTGTCTCTCTTTTGACTCGTGTAGCGTGGCACTGGGCGTAGCTGCCTGCTACCCGCGCTTCTTTTTTACTATATTCGGCCTAGGACATGTTTACCGGGTTGCGTCAAGGAAAGACGCCGGTTGGGGAAAACCAGAAACTTGAAGTATATTTTTTTTTGGAGCTGTATTTCTTTTCTTGTCTTTTGGCGCGAAGTCTGGTGGGATGGAGAAGGATATATCTGGTTAGGGCTACTTTGACGAGGTTCGCTACGAACCCTTTTCATGACTGTATTTACGCGGGTGCCTTCTGGTTGTCGAGGAAGCCCTGTAATGAAATCAATGAATTTTCTAGTTTACCACTTGACGCTTGACATACTCTGATGTGCTCGCAATGAGATGGTTGGCAGATCATGTCACAGCTTGAGTGCTGACAAGAGTCCGTCTCATACTTGAGTGTTAACACGCATTGATCACATACCCGAATGCTGGTGTAAATATATATCGCCCAAATGTGAACATTGACCCCGAAAATTTGCTCAGTAGTCTTGAATAACGAATCAAGTTGGTATTTGCTCTAATTCTATTGAAATTCGCTCATGATGCCCTGTAATGCAATGTTGCAACCCCACTCTTGTCGCGTGATGCCAACAACCTTTTTCCCACACGCGGCGGCCTCGTTTGCCTCTTCATGACTCCCGCCAGTTTCCCCCCCTTTTTTATCCTTCTCCCCATTCTCCTCGGTACGCACGCCATGCACGCACCAAAACTCAATACACGTAAAACGGCTGTGTCAGCGGTAGCGTCTCAGCCGGCTCCGCCTCACACGCCACGCCGTCGGCCTCGACCCGGTAGCTCTCGGGGTCGACGCGCATCTGCGGCATGGCGTCGTTGAAGCGCATGTCCGTCTTGCGCACGGAGCGGCACCCGCGGACGGGTTCGACGCGCTTGCGCAGGCCGTACGAGGCGACGGCGCCCGAAGCGACGGATTCCTGCGACACGAAGAGCACGCTCGTCGAGGGCACAAACGAGGCAAACATGGGGCGGCCGATGATGGGCTGGACGGTGGGTATGGAGGCGTTGGGGTCGCCCTGTGTGAATTGTTAGCTATGTTTCTTCTTCTTCTTCTTCTTCTGCTTATTCTACACTGTAGAGTGAAAAGATAAGGTGAAAGGTAGGGGTGGAGAGAAGAGTCAAAAAAGACGTACCATTTGTGACCAGGCAACGAGGCCGCTTTTTATCACCTGGTACGGCTTGGTGCCAAACCACGCCGGGTCCCAGACGACCAGATCCGCCAGCTTGCCGACCTCGACGCTCCCGACCAGGTGGCTGAAGCCCTGGGCGAGGGCCGGGTTGATGGTGTACTTGCTCACGTAGCGCTTGACGCGAAAGTTGTCGTCGCCGCTGCCGTCGTCCTCGGGCAGCGCGCCCCTCTGCGTCTTGTTCTTGTGCGCCGTGTTCCACGTGCGCAGCACGACCTCGCCGCAGCGGCCCATGGCCTGCGAGTCGGAGCTCATCATGCTGATGGCGCCCATGTCGTGCAGGACGTCCTCGGCCGCAATCGTCTCGGCGCGGATGCGGCTCTCGGCAAAGGCCACGTCCTCGGGAATGTCCTTGCTCAGGTGGTGGCAGACCATGAGCATGTCGAGGTGCTCGTCGAGCGTGTTGCGCGTAAAGGGCCGCGTCGGGTTGGTCGACGACGGGAGCACGTGCGGGTGCTCGACGACGGAGATGATGTCGGGCGCGTGCCCGCCGCCGGCGCCCTCGGTGTGGTATGTGTGGATGGTGCGCCCCTTGAAGCTGGCGAGCGTCGACTCGACGAACCCGGACTCGTTGAGCGTGTCTGTGTGGATCAGGCACTGCACGTCCATCTCGTCGCACACGGTCAGGCACGAGTCAATGGCCGCGGGCGTCGCGCCCCAGTCCTCGTGGATCTTGAGCCCGCACGCGCCGGCGGCGATTTGCTCGCGTAGAGCGCCGGGCGCCGAGTCGCTGCCCTTGGCGGTGATGCCGATGTTGACGGGCAAGTGGTCGCAGGCTTGTAGCATCTGCTTCATGTAGTGCTTGCCGGGCGTGCACGTGGTGGCGTTGGAGCCAGCGCTGAAGAAGGTGTTAGAGACGTGTGTAGGATTGTTGACGATGAGATGTAAGAGACAGTGATGAGGGTAAAAGGATGAGGTAAAAGAGAGTGGTGAGAGTAAACTAAGAGCGTAGATCAACTTACCTTGGACCGGTTCCGCCACCAAGAAACGTCGTCACGCCAGACGCCAGTGCCTCTTGCGCCTGCTGCGGACAAATCAGGTGAATATGCGTATCAATCGCGCCGGCCGTGATGATTTTGTTCTCGCCCGCAATCACATCCGTGCAGCTACCCACGACCATGTTGGGCGTCACGCCGTCCATGACGTCCGGGTTGCCCGCCTTGCCTATCCCGACAATCATGCCGTGTTTGACGCCGATATCCGCCTTGACTATCCCCGTGTAGTCGACAATCAGCGCATTCGTAATGACGAGATCCAGCGACTCGGCGTCGGGCCGCCCCGTGGCCTGGCCCATGCCCTCGCGGAGCGTCTTGCCGCCGCCAAACTTGCACTCCTCGCCGTACGTCGTGTAGTCCTTTTCGACCCGGATCCAGAGATCCGTGTTGCTCAGCCGCACGCGGTCGCCCGTGGTCGGGCCAAACATGACGGTGTACGCCGTGCGGTCCATCTTGTACGGGCGGGGCACACGGGGCTGGGCGCGGCGCCGGCCACCAGCAGCAGCACCAGCAGCACCAGCACCAGCACCAGCGGCGCCGCCCCTGTCAGGCTCCGGGGCGTGCGCGTAGCCCGCCTCCATCAGCCTCTCCACAATGGCGTCGACGCGCCAGCGCTCGACGCCGCCGGTGCCGAGCCCGTTGCCGCCGCGTATGACCTGGTGGCCGGCAATCTCGACGAGCGTGACCGTCTTGGCGTCGCCGGGCTCGAAGCGGTACGAGGTGCCGGCGGGAATGTCGAGGCGGTAGCCGTAGGCGCGCGCGCGGTCAAACACGAGCTGCGGGTTCGTCTCGATGAAGTGGTAGTGCGAGCCGACCTGGATCGGGCGGTCGCCCGTGCTGACGACGCGCAGCACGATGCGGTGCCGCCCGGCGTTGAGCGTGATGCGGTCGCCTTTTCGGGCCACCACGACAGCGCCGGGCTGTCGCGCCGGCGCGTACTCGAGCGGATCCAGCGTCGCGGGGAACAGCCGGTCGGCATCGCGCGGCACGGGGATGAAGCTGCCGTACAGCGCCCGCGCCAGGTTTCCGTCGTCGGTGCTGATGGGGTTGTGCACCGTCACCAGGTACGTGCCCGTCGGAAAGGTGCCCTCGACCTGAATCTCCCGCAGGGTGTGGCACACGCAGGGCAAAACGTGCCGTCGGCCGAGCATGGTTGCGCCGAGCGCCATGAGGTCGGCGACGGTGTGATTGCCATCGCGGATGAGCTCGTGAATGTTGTTGGCAATCAACGCCTAAATCGCTCCATGATAAGCGGTCACAAGTTAGCCGTTTTTTTTTCTGGTGTAATTTTGTTGTTTGTTACGCAAAATGTGGATATTGATAGGGATCGTTGGTGTAAGTCGCCGCCCGCCGCCGCTTTGTGGCCCCCGACATTCGGAGAGCGCCAAGGGGGGGTTTGGTGGGTGGATGCCAAAAGATAAGAAAAAAAAGACGGCCGCAAAAACGTACCGTGGCCTCGGCATGGTTGAGCTTGACTCCACGCGCCAACCGCCGCTGCGCAAGCAGACCAAGCTGTGAGATGACGAGTTTGTCGAGCTGTTGATGACAATCAACTTGTCAGCCGTTTCAGACACCAATTGGCAACAGCAAGGACAAGGCAAAAAGGCCTTTTGAATAAATACGTACCTCCTTGGGTACAAGGTGCATCGTGTTAGTGGGCTCGATCGACAGCCGTTTTGGTGTCAGTTGTTCCGAATTGGGAAGACGTCGACTAGGGGTTGCATGCTCTTCCAAATCGGTAACCCAAACGATCGGAATATGTGTGAAATTTGATGAAAAAGTCTGGGGAAGAGAGATTACAGATAGAAAAGATTGAGAAAAAAAGAAGAAACAAGAGACGAAGAAGGGCAAGTCTTTCAAGATAACAGGAAGAGAGACAAAAGCTAGGAGCACAAGACCCAATGGCAAGGCCGGCACCAGACAGCCACATGGAGAGCCATAGTGCCCGTCCTCGTAGATAACAAACTCGAGGCCGTAATCTAGAACCCCCAAGCCGAGCAGCCGTCCCTGCGGAACCACCCCCAAAATGGAAACCAAATAAAAAAAAGGTTACCCAGCGTCTCAGAGATAAGAGACATGAGCCCCCCCCCGTCCCCGCGTGTCCCCAAACCTGGTAAACTTTTGAGCTAGACCGAGGACGCTAATGCTGGGCTTCGCTGGCCAGCGAGCGGCCGCGCCGTCCATCATTTCCCCATTCTTCTTCTAACCTACCACTGGGAGAGCAAGGCGAAGGGGGCGGGGTCCGGAGGAAAAGAGAGAGAGAGAGATAAAGCGTTGTGTGGTTGCGTTGATACGAGAAGGAGATCAGGCTGAGGCTTGACGCACCAGCAAAAAGGACCTCTGCAGGAGGAAAACGACGATGACGAAACTCGTGCCATGTGGTCAATGGAAAAAATTCCCGCGGCACCGAGATTGCAATTCCTCTCTCGTGCTGCTACCTCCCCCGCACATGTCCTCTCGGGGACGACCGGGCGCGATATACACTTAAGAAGCTTTATCGCTAGCGACCCTAAGGGGGGGGAGGGGAGAAGAGCGATAAGGCGGCCGTTCTCCAGAAAACAAGTGTTGATAAACTCGTTGGCGCCGTCACCTTTTCCGTATTCGGCTCAACGCGGATGCTCAAAGTACCTTTACTGAATCTTGAGCCAAAAATACAAAGAGTGGGAAGACAAAAAAACAAATAAAAAAATAAAAATAAAACCTCCTCTGATTGAATATGCCATCAGTTTCTAGTTTGTTTCTTGCCGACAGGTAACGTGTCTTGCTGGGTGAGACGTTGGCTTTTGTCTAGACCCTCGTCGTGGACTTTTTTAGCCTTTGCCTATCCCCAACAGCCTCAACTACGTAACCCCTCACACACACGCACAAACACATACACACACTAATACATGGCTTTTGGCCCCCCCAGCACAAGTTCGTGTCTCATCGGCTACCCGCACAGAGGGCCGGGCCTAGACCCAGGCGAGAGGGCTTTCGCTCACCGTCTCCGGAGGATAACTAGAAGAAAACACACCAAAAGGCGAGAGGGACAAGGGCAGGCTTTGGGAGGGGGGGGCTTGATCGAGCCCGTTGTAGGTATATTTAGAGTGGGCGGGCGCGCCAACGTAGTGGCAGGCACGGGCCGTCTGGCTGAAAGTCATCCCAAGTTCTCGAGAGGATCGGATCGACGCCGGCCTTTGTTGGCCTCGTCAAGTTGAGGACGAGCTCTGGCACCAGCTTATCCGATGACCCGTCCGGGGGGGGAGACATACTGGCACAAGCTTTTCACCATGGCGTACATGTTGCATGCAAAAAAAGCTGACGGGTATCATATCCTACAAAGGAACCCGTTGCCCCCCCCTGCGTTGCGATCTTTGTCATCGAGCGCGATGAATAGAGACCCTCGGGGCAGGCAGAGCAGAGAACTGGTACGCGATAAGCTTAATAAATGTCTCATAGCAGAATCCTTGCTCTCCAGCTCCGTGGCTTCGCGCTGGCTGGCGCATGGCCGCCGAGTCCGGACTGGTCGTCGAGAGCCGTGTGTGTGTGTGTGTGTGTGGCACAACAATGCAGGGTCTCGCATGCAGCTGCGGTGCCGAGTTTGCCGCGTTGGTCAACTAGGTAGGCAGACACACACCCCTCTGATTGAGGTGGCACATTGCGGAAATTTGTGCAGCCAAGCTAGTGTTCACTAATAAGTTATAGCTGCGACTTGTAAGATGCGCTGATGACAATACAAAACCCCTTGCGAGGACCAACCGCGAAACTCCCTGGGCAAATAAATGCCTGCTAGCCAAACCAATATAATACAAACCCGATACAATATCCTTTAAACGCCAGGCCTGGCAGACAGCTGCCCATTTAGTGACCAAATAAACAATGTCAACCACCCAAACCCTCATTCGTGTCGTTACTGGCCAGAAGATCGGGGCTCGCTTTTCCAGCTACTCCTCCTCGGCTTCCTCATCCCATTGTTCTTTTTCCTTCTTCATGAGGTCTGCCATCTCAGCCGACTTGAAGATGGAGCTGCCTTCATCCTCCACGCGAGGCACCTTTCGCAAGCTCTCATCTTCAAAGACTGACCCAATAGTGTCGATCCAGCGTCGCCGGCGCTCCATCAGTGTCTTGGTGAGATCGCCAATGCCCGGGCGGGCCATACCCGCAGCGGCACCGGCCGCATGACTGCCACCGCCTGCGCCGCCAGGCCGCTTCGCCTTTTTGCTCTTGCCCATGGTACGAGTTCTCTTGAGATAGGCGGCCTGCACTTGAGAGTCCAAATCCTCCAAAATCGTCTGGTATTCCTGATGAGCCATGCGCTCGCGCACGAGCTCGGTGAGTCGTGCTTTGCGAGCGCCGTTGATGAGCATCTGCTCCTTGAGACGGGTCTGCAGCACTCGAAGCCGGCCCGCAACCTCGTCGTCAAAGTGACCGTCGTAATCGGCATCCCCTTCCGGAGGCAGAAAGCCAATGTGTCTGAGTTCTTGCTTTAGCCGCTCGTCAACCTGCGCATAGTCCATTTTAGGATGAGTAGCCTTTTTCCACGCGTCCGTCGACGATTCAGTCATGTATGTAGCTGGAGGTAAAGCCTTATCGTCGCTCGGAGGTGCAGCATCGTCCGCGTCGCCATTCATGCTCACGTCGCCATTCAATCCGTTAGTAGCAGCCTTTTCCTCGGGCACAGTTTGGCGATTTAACGGGCGCAGAGCCTGTAGCAGGCGGGATGCAAGCGGCCCGATGGAGAGCCCATCCGTCTCGCCTACAGCGTCATTCATATTTTCAATGGTACCACGAGGCGTGTTTGGCGAGAGTTTGTCGCGTCCTTGCTGAGGCGCATCCACAGACATGGTGCCGTCATCTTCTGCCCAGATCTCAGTGTAGTGTCTTTTGCCTCGTTTGGGCATAACAAATGGCGAGGCTCGATCACCGCGCTCTCTTAAGAAAGCGAGGTCCTCCTCCGAAAATGGTCTGAAGAAAGGCTCGACATAGCTGTTGAAAGTCGTAAAGTTGATTTGACTGCTAGGTTTCGCGTTGCTGAAGTCTTTGTCCGGAGGATCGCCAGCAATTAGATCTGCGAGGTCACTTGGTGGATAAACAGCAACCGAATATATTTCCTTTCGCAGAGACTCTGGCATGCCAGGGTAGACTTCGCGAATCTCATATATGGTCGGGTCGGGGAATGTGGAAGGATCTTCGCCAAATGTCTGCGCAGCGGGCATTTCTCGCTTAGGTGGCGCGCCCTCATCCTCTGAACTAGATTCGTTTTCATTTTCGGCCTCTCCATCCTTTTCTTTCTTAGTTTTCTTGTCGACGTCCATAGCAGACGGGGAGCCAGCGGCATTAGGCGACAGAGACGAACTGCCGAAACCGTCTCGGTCTTGCTTTTGCTTCGAGGCCCGGATTGGGGATGATTGATCTTTGATGAGATGCCAACATTAGTATATGCGCGATGATTGCGCCAGCTTTGCGACGCGAAGACACCGGGGACCAGGTAAGCTTACCACCATCATGACCGTCGCCCTTCTTGCGCTTATGCTTCGATTTCTTGCCCTCATTCTCTCCATCAACATGCATGCGACCAAAGTCATCCGGGCGGTTCTTGCGCTCGTCTGCTAGATGTCGCATGCCGCGATCGTAAAAAGTGGACCGCTTCTCCATTATGTTAGTGAGGCTCTTGAGCTTCTCGAGCATGGCGTCGACCGTTTTGGAGTCGGGAACGGTGGCGTTAGAGGCGCCGTGGTCAACCAAGTCATCGTAGTTGAGGTTTGCGAACAAGATGACACGGGTGTTGAGGTAGTCGGGGTCATAGAATTCCGGTGGTGGCAGTGATGATGTCGCGGCCGGCGCGGGGGTTGAATTTCGGCTTTGTTTCTGCATTGCGGCGTTCTTCTTGCTTGTTCCCTTTTGGCTGGATCCGGGTGCCATGATGGCGCAAGGCTGGCTCAGCGCCAGAACTGCATGAATAGCTTGATGGAAAGAATGCGAAATTTGATGATATGGCTGGTTTGTCCGTTTATGGGAGTCGCGCCTTGATTGGTGACGACTCACGAGTTATGACCCAAGGCAGGCTAAGCCGGAGCCGGATTATTAATGTGCCGGGGTTTTCTCAGACGTGCAGCATCACTTTTTCAGCAGTGGCAGACATTCATAGTGTCTACGAGAAATAAACGGTTCTGACGTTTCAAGATAGCTCAATTCTCAACACAATTCACTGAGTGTGCAGAAAAAATCTTAGATCGCGCCACTACCATTATCGTGTTCGTTGTGCAGAGGCGGCTACGCTGAGGCTACACCGCCTGCAGAAAAAAAGGTGGGGGCTAATGGAGAAAAAAAGTTCTGGGCAGAATCCCGTTGCTTTTCCTCTCCTTCTCACTCTTCTTCAACCCGTCCTTCTTTTCCCCATCCTCCGGCCAAATTGATACAAGATGGGCACCGGGAAGAAAGAGGCTACCCGGCGTGTTCGCCAGGGTAAGACCGGCGATGGCATGGCCAACGTCCGTGTCAAGGGTGAAAACTTCTATCGGTAAGATTCTTGCGTCGAAAACATTCCGTGGGATGTGCAAAAGGACTGACATTTTTGACCGATAGCAATGCGAAGAGGGTGAAGACATTGAACATGTACAAGGAGGGTAAAGCTCAGCGTAATGCAGATGGTCAAATCACAAAGGCCGCCACCTGGCAGTCCCGCGACGTGCCCACTGCCGTCATCGAGCCCAACCGCAAGTGGTTCTCTAACACGCGCGTCGTGTCCCAGGACACCCTCACAGCCTTTCGCGAGGCTATGGAAGAGAAGAGCAAGGACCCGTACACCATCCTTCTCAAGTCCAACAAGCTGCCTATGACGCTCATCCGCGACGGCAAGGACACCAACGGTCTCAAGCAGCACAAGGCCAAGATGGCGCTCGAGACGGCGCCTTTCTCCGGCGTTTTCGGGCCCAAGTCCCAGAGAAAACGCGTCAAGCTCGACGTGGCCAACTTGGACGACCTAGCCGAAGGTACCGAGAAAAGCATGGACACGTACGAGGAGCGTCTCGAGCAGGCTAAGCTGCTGAGCGGCGAGTCTGGCAACTCTGAGGAGGACGGCACATTCGCCATGGCCATTGAGCCCGTCTTCGACAAGGGTCAGAGCAAGCGTATCTGGAACGAACTGTATAAGGTCATCGACTCGTCCGACGTTGTTATTCATGTTCTCGATGCTCGTGACCCCATTGGCACCCGATGCCGCAGTGTCGAAAAGTACCTACGCGAGGAGGCCCCCCACAAGCATCTGATATTCGTGCTCAACAAGTGTGATCTGGTCCCCACCGGTGTTTGTGTAAGTCAATGTTATTCTCTTATTTTTTTTGGCTTCTCGCATGTCGCCTGGCCGTAAGGCCCCCAATGAATCCTGTCAGGACCCCTTCTCGATTTTCTTACGGAGGTTTGTCTGTTACAACATTGGGAGAGTAATCGCCATGCTCGACTGTCGGCAGCGTTTTGCTGTTTGGCTAGACTGGTAACCGTTCTGGTTGCCGTCGTGAGAAGGCTTTGGGTCGAATTGAGTTGAAGGCTCCTATGTCCGTTTGGACGCGTTTACAGGAGTCTTCTTAGTTATGACTCACACATCTCATCATTGATGAATACCTCTTGTGGACTGATTGCAAGTTCATTGCTAATTCTCTACAGGCTGCTTGGGTCAGACATCTCGGAAAGGAATACCCCACACTGGCTTTTCACGCCAACATAAACAACTCTTTTGGCAAGGGCTCTTTGATTCAGCTTCTTCGTCAATTCTCCGTCATCCACTCAGACAGAAAGCAAATCTCTGTTGGTCTCATTGGTGGCCCCAACACGGGTAAGTCTTCTATCATCAACACCTTGTTGAAGAAGAAGGTGTGCACTGTTGCCCCCATTCCCGGCGAGACAAAAGTCTGGCAATACGTTACTTTGATGAAGCGCATCTACCTGATCGATTGTCCCGGAGTCGTTCCTCCTACCTCTCAGGACACCCCTACAGACCTTGTTCTTCGTGGTGTCGTCCGTGTTGAAAAGGTCGACAATCCTGAGCAGTACATCACTGCCCTTCTGAGCAAGGTCAAGCGCCGCCATATGGAAAAGACCTATGACCTGACCAACTGGAGCAACGCGACGGAACTGCTTGAGCTCTTGGCGCGCAAGGGTGGTCGTCTTCTCAAGGGTGGCGAGCCTGATCTTGATGGTGTCGCCAAGATGATGCTCAACGACTTTATGCGTGGCAGAATCCCCTGGTTCACGCCCCCTCCCCTTACCCCTGGCGAGGACGGCGAGACTAGAGCTGGCCGTCAGGGTCGCCTTGGTGAGATGCCCAAGAAGCGAACCCAGGCAGAGGCTTTCGACAAGGCTGCCGAGGCCCAGCTCCAGGAGGAAAATGAGAAGGAGGGCAGTGATGATGAGGACGAGGACGACTCGTTTGAGGGCTTTGGTAGTGACACCGATGGACCTTCTCGCAAGGCCTCTTTCGGTGCCACTTCCGGCGATGGTAGTGACGAAAGTGTCGACGAGGAAGCCGAGGCGGAGGAGGAGGCGGAAGAGGAGGCGGCGCTTGAGCAGGAGCCTGAACCCACTGTCCGTGTCACGCGCTCCAGCAAGCGCCTCAAGAGGTGAAGGACACGACCACGATGAAAGAAACCACAAATATGAGACGCAGGTTCTGCATCGATGCTCGCTCCCGGCTGATAACCACGTCATGTGCCAGACTGCCTGGCCAGCTCTTACTAGAGCTGCTCAAAAGCAGAGCAGACGGCACATCATGACGTGGTATGGCGTCCAAGAGCTTTAGCCAGCTTGGAGTACAGCCCTCCCACAAAAGTTGCTTTGAATACACGTGTTGGACGCCCGGCCGGGTTCTGAAAAATGGCCGCAACGACGCTCTTAGGCCGGCCTCTGATGGCCAAGTAGCCGAATCGTTGGCAGCATTGACGAGTTATGACTGCACTATACTATACATGAATACAATTGATCCAACTCGAAAACACAACTCAATCTCTTTGATTTTCTTGCCACTAGTGATCTGTGCTGCTGAAAATTGTGGTGTACTGCAGGCAAGCCGCGGGCTGCTCTTGGTAATCTCGCTCCATGACGTACCGTTGGTTCCGCTGCTGATGAGCATCGGTTTCTTTTTGTTTTAAAATTTTTCCCTTTGGCTCGACAGGCAGGTAAACGAGAATGATGAGACATCGGAATGGCTCACTGCATATTGCGGGCGAGAGCTGAACGCCCAAAGTCGCCACGCACGATCCACGGCACGATGCAGACTTGGCGACAGCCACAGCCACACACACCGTCATGGATATTGAATGTCTCTTTTCACTCTTCTCTAACGCAACGAGCTGTGGGCAATTTCGGCAGGTTTCAACAAGCCGAACCTGATTCTAATGCTTCTCGTATCCAGCTTGTGCGGGCTCGCGGTGGCGGCGGCGGGGTGGGACCCAGCGGATCAGTTGAAGGTTTTGGGGTTGTTTTCCTTTTTCGACTATTTCCGGCCAACAAGGTCTGTTTCTTTGGAGCTATTTGTTCATGCACGTCATTGAGCGGAAACCCGAAGAGGCTGTCTCACGTTCTGTCCGCAGGCCGCGTTTGCGGTGTATCCAATGGGCTTTGACTAGCTTGGCAATGCACAACGTGTCTCTGTTTAAGGGGTGAGGGGAGATGCAGAGTGAAGCTCCAGCATTTAAGACGTATTTTCCTGTGGACCAGCCCTGGATTTATTGCTCCGTCAATCCAGGTCCGTACAGGTATGATCTGTTGGTAATGATCAGGCCCTGTGACTTGGCGTGGGTTCTGATGCCCCACGCCTTCAACTCCGCGGAAAACCGCACCGAATGTAGTCAAGAATCAGTTCTACAGAGCAGGCGAATTGAGTGCAGCAAGAAATTGGCACATCGAGTTCAGCGATGAATGACAGTCTGCAGGCGCTGTGGTGTGTTACAACCCATCAGGCCGCAGCATCTGCCTGCATCATCTGCATCTGCCACCTTGATCAAGGCAGCAAACACTCATAAATTGTCTCGGGGCAACGAGCTTCCTGTGGTACGAGGCTTCGGGTGGTCTGTTTTCGGTCGCCCGGTGTCAATTCGCAGGCGATGAAATACGTTTTGGATGCAGTGTCAAGGGGTAAGACAATAAGCGAGGAGAGAAGCCAAAAAGCTGAGTCTAATCTGTTACGTATGCACCGGAGATCAATCCCACGTCTGAGGGGGGGGGGGGGCTTTCAGAGAGCATCAAAGATTTCGTTACTTTTCAATACAGTTTGTAGAGAACAACTGCCGTGCTGGCCATCAGCGCCAACGTGGGTGGCACCTTGTGGTGGCCGGACAATGGCTCAGCGGACGATCGGATCAGCAAAACCCGTGGCAGGAACAACAGGCTGTGGGGCATTTTGGCTCTTTTTTGGGATTGCATAGGTGGTTGGGTTAGCTGTCGGAGCAGCGATCCGTTTCGTATGCCTGCACAAAGCCCCAAGTGCGACGGCAGTTTTGCGACAAAAGCGGGAGCGAGCGAGTTCGGAAAAACCGACAGGGCTGGAATAAAAGGTAGGATTGTGTCTAGTTAAGACTGGAGACGAGCCTATTGTGGACCAGACGAGAAGAAGTCGAAAGCAAAGGTAACGTCGGTGCTGTGGCGGACATGTCGGTACAACGGATGAAAAGGATGCATGGATACCTAGGTACTTGGCCAACAATGCCAGGAAGTGCCCGTTTTGTTCGGTTTTGCCCCGCATTTGGTGGTTGTCTTGGATACGATGGTGGGTTGTGAGAAACGATTTTCGTTTATTTCGGCAACGCTGTCGAATGCAGTACTGGTACGTACCTCTATACTGTTGCCTTCGCTTCGTTTTGGGTTCCCGGCATAACTAAGGTGACTATGCCAGCCGGGTACGTCATACGTCATTTGTGCAGGGCTGGCCGCAAGGCCGGGGGGGCCGGGGGACACAAAGTCTTGGCGATGAAATAATTGATGCCGCCGTCCTTGGTCTTGGGTCGACGGATGAGGGAGGAGGAGACTAGTAATGGCGAAGGTAAGAAACATGGCGGCAAAGACGAGTTTACGCTGCCGACAATTAGTGGTAGTTATGGGCGCCTTTCTGCCTTCCTCTGCTGAAGCCATATTGTGCTCAACTATGACAGCGAGGTGCATGCCCCCGTCGCAGCCTTTGCCGGCAGCCCTGGGAATGATGTCGCAAATTGTTAAATGCGCTGTCAAGCTGCCAAAAACTGCCCATTTCAGCTGGCCCGCTCCACCGGTTACACGAACTTCCAGTGTCACCACTCACCACTTATTACTGGTAATAATAATGGATATACGGAACTCTGTCTGTATATCATGACATATCATCACCGTTCTGCCTTTTGCCACCAGCCTTTCGCTTTTTCTCTTTTGGACCCAAAACAACGCCCCAACCTCAGGACATGCCACCACTCATATTTCCATATATTGCCGGCAATACGAAATCCTTCCCCAGCCCTGCGGAGCCATTGGCGTCTTGGCTTTTTTTCTCTTCCGTCTCTGTCTAGTTAATGCGCTAGATACCGCGACAGCCCGAAGGCTCTGCCTGGTGTGCCCGGCAACAAGCAGGCTGGCCAGCGTTGAAACCCTGGTTGACAATGACGTCCGTCTTGCATCGCTGGTCTCGTATTAAGTCTTTACTGAGAAGCTTCTCGGCTTGACTCCGTCACTTTCAGCTATACTACACTGCTGGTCTTTGTAACACTCAGCCACTGACTCTCGGCGCAGCGATGCCCCGTTCCCAGCCTTGTCCATGATGCAAATCCGAGTGGAAACTCGTCGGGTCTCTTGAGTATCGTGTATATAACTGAGCAGACATCCCATTTAGATAATCTGATTCTGCTTTACAATCCACACTCTAGACTCAACATCTCCAACTGCATCCCAGGTTGCTTCTTCACTTATACATCATACCATACCTCTCATATACATCCAGCACATACAAGATGAAATCTGCCGCCATTGCTCTCGGCCTCGGTGCCGTTGTCAACGGCCTTGCCATCCGCAACGACGGATGCCAGTTCCACATTACTGCGGGCGGCGATGTCGTCGGCTGCGTCGGCGAGATCGCCTCTGGCCAGGTCCGCGCCGGCAACGGCGTTCAGTCCTCGACCTTTACCTTTAAAGACGGCAAAATCACAGACGACAAGGGCCGCGGCTGCTGGTGGACTCGTAAGCATACCCTGTCCTAACCCCAAAACCACCGTGACGAGCAATTATACTGACATTTGACATCGAACCAGCCCCTACCGGCGTCCTCCAGTGCGACGAGGGCCAGACACCCGACGGCGGCTTCAACATTGGCTGCGACGGCACCGTTTCCTGGAACGGCCAGACCACCTTTTACGAGTGCGCCACCGGCGAGCAGGGCCAGTGGAACGTCTACAACAAAAAGGAGCAGGGCGCCAACTGCGGCGAGGTCACCCTCAAGTCCGACGGCTGCCACGCCGACTGCCCTGCCCCTCCTCCCCCTCCTCCTCCCCCTTCCAAAACCTGCCCTACCGACCTGAGCGGCGCCTACGAATTCCCGCACCTCATCATCCCCGTTGACAAGTCCAAGCCCGACACCGCCCCCGGCACCTCGTACTTTGGCGTCGTCAACCACGACGTCTCGTCCATCTTTGACTTTGACATTCCCGCCGCCGACAAGGGCCGCAAGTGCAGCCTCGTCTTCCTCTTCCCCGAGCAAAAGGACCTCGAGACGTCGAGCTTTACCATTTCCGGCGACGGCAAGCTTGACTTTAGCAAGCTCAAGGCGGCCGCCACCGAGGGCACCACCTACAACAACCAGCCCGGCAAGGAGGCCGACCTCGGCCAATTTACCGTCGCGCCTGGTCACTCGTACAATATTGCGACGTTTGACTGCCCTGCAGGCCAGCGCGTCGCCTACGAAATCTCGGCGGCTGGCAACACCGACTTGAAGTACTTTCAAGATTACAACCCCTCGCCCATTGGCCTCTACATTACCAAGTGCTAAGCGCGCGGGATAACCGCAAAAAAGAAGAAAGAAAGAAAGAAAAAAGAAGAAGAAATGAGCTCTTAATGAATATCAGGAAATATGTGGAGGATTTGTATATTGAACAATTTGCATGGAACGAATGACTTATGAAGATAGTGTATTATGACCAACTATATAACAATCCTTAATATAGCCATTAGGCATTGAACATCAAGTAATCATGATCTATAGTACTGAATGACATTATCATGAAAAAAATATTATTCATCACAAGTACATTTTTTGATCGTTGGCTCACTGATCATCGAGGCGTGTAAGTCGACGTGTGGAGCGCGGGAGCTTGTGGATCCCTCTCCGCCAAAAAGTTCTCCATGGAACGTCATTCTTAGATGCCGATGCTCATCTTTTCCATCACCAGCTTTTATCCAGCAACCTTTACGCGCGAAACCCCGCACGCACCTTTGCATCATCCAAGCAAGCCATCTTTTTCTTCCCACAACAGCACACAGCCAGTAATCAACTTCAGCTTCCCAAACCACCCCCGCACCGCCATCAATTGGCCCGCTTCCCCAGTTCAAAGGTCCTCGTTTGAAAGACTACAACATTACAGGATGGGCTCGGCTTCATCCAAGGCGGCCCGCGGCGCATCGCGCAAGTTTCCAGCCCGCAGCGCAGAATCCGCCGCGTCTCAAACGACGAGAGCGCCGCGCGCGTCACAGCCCCGCGAGGCCGACCTCTCCAAAGACCAGGGTACGAAGCTCTGCCGCCCTCCCCTTCCCCTTCCTTTACTCGCATTTTTTTTTGTGTGTCCCGTACATTGTTGCTGATCCAGAATACTCAGAAATGACTGACCACGCCGCCGATCCCGAGTTTACGCCCGCCGGCTTCGCCAACCGCCTGCAGCAAATGGGCATCGTCGATCCCAATCCGACCTTTTCACCGTCGTCGCGCGCCGCCGGCGCCCACCACCTCGGCGGCCTGCCCTCGTCGGCCGCGGGGCCCATATTCCCGGCATCCACGGCAAATGTGACGCTGTCGGCGCTCGCGGCGCGCCAGCGCGTGCAGGAGCGCGCCGAGGCCGACATGGAGCGCTTCCAGCAGGTGGGCATGCGCGGCGCGGCGCGGCGCTACGTCGACATGAGGACGCTGTCGGACGCGCTGCAGCTGCTGGAGAGGGGCGTGCCGCGCGAGGAGGTTGAGGCGAGGATGGGCATGCAGGAGGGGCTGCTGACGCGGCTGGGGAGAAAGGGCGTCTTGACGCATTTGGTGAATTGAGGAGGAGAGGGGAGGAGGAGTGTAAATATGTGGCATGTATCTGTATAATACCGACGCCATGTAGCGTGTGTATAATAGAAAATGTAATGGATTAGCGTGTCAAATGATGATTTTTGCCGGTTCGAGCAACTACATCGCCAGAGTCGAGAGTGTCCTCGCCGTGTTTTGCGGTTCATTTCCGGGACAAATGCTATCATCGATATCATAGATGACACCAGTCAGGACACATGAAATGCATCTACTCGAGTCTGCCATCTCCTTCAACCCCGTTTCTGCTTCATTTACGCTTTTTTATCAAGCATCCAATGCAGTGCGTAGAAACACAATCATTCGTGGTCTCCGCTGCTGTACCTACTTGGATCAACCAAGTCGTTTGATATGACTTGTGATTCCATGCCACATTCTCTTCCGGATACTTGTTCAATTTGTTTCAGCGAAATTCAGATGCTCAAGTCTTTATTTACTTGAATTCTGCAAGTCAATCAACCTCGACTTGTAGCATAACATTGCGCCTCGGACAACGCCACTACATTAACCTTTTTTAACTTGGACTCTAATCGATTCCAACGGCTGCTAAGGAAAAAAAAAAAAAAGAGTTTTGTTTATTTTGATACCAAATCATGCCTACGTAAGCTTTTAACTTATTTTCCTTTTTATTTTTCTTTTTGTTTGACAATAACAATTATTCTCCCCGTGTAATTCATATCGTCAAAACATGCCAACCAAACTCGTCAAAGTCAGACGCGGCCTCGGCTCAGGTCGAAGTTCCTTGAAAAGCACTACCAAGGCCTCTACAGAATCCTTGCACGTGGAAAATATATCACCTTTCAAGGAACCTAGCTCCCCGCAGAAGCAGAAGCAGCAGCAGCAGCCGCAGCAGAAAAACGCCGCGACCCTTACGTCTGACCAAGCACGCGCCATGGTCCTCGACGCCTTTCGCTCAGCTTCCAGTCGACTACATGTTCAAAACGGAAAAGGTATAACAAAGTCTCCCAACATTTCTTGAATTTAAAAGTCCCCAGCCATTATGTTCTTTCTCTTTTTTCTTCGATACATTTTTTTTGCCTAATGAATTTTTTTTGCAGGAATACTTGGGTCCATTGCGCCCCCTCACAACGAGACCGTCACCAAAGGCGCGGCGAGCGGCCCCCAATCTCCCGAGCTCGTCGACATTACAACCGCCAGGCCCAGCGACACGGGAGAAAAGGCACCCAGGAGGAGGCAAGTGCATGTGGCAGAGGCGCAAAAGGCAACTCGGGGTCTGTATTTGTATCTGCCTGGACTTGGCTTCAAGTACCAGGACGATGACAATGAGCTGGGCCAATGAGTGGGGATGATTCTTGGTTTTGATAGTTGTCGATGACAACATTTCCTTTGTCCAGTATATACATGTTTTGATTCTTATAACCGGGGTCAAATTTGATACCCAAGTTCACGCATGTAGCACTTGGGTAGTCAGACAAGCGCCCTTCCGCCCACGGAACATCCATTCGGCTGTTGCACCCCAACTCTGTCGCTTGTCTACCTACTTGGGCTTTCTATGCTTTCTTCACTGTCATGCCGTTTGTTCTTGGTTCGTGTTTGAAATATTAATGTCTTGATTACTACTTATTTCCTTGGCTTTTTAGTGTTGGGATATTGATATCAGTTTTCGAACCTCTTGGTCGTAGGGATAAAAGTCGACCCACCACCTACTTTGTCATATGCTTCAAGTGCGTATCACGACTTGGTAAATACAAAATCAAAAATCTACTCATGAGCTGGTCTGAAGAATTGGCGCTTGGATTTCTCACATATCGCAGTTGACTAGATGCACGCCCGCGACCTGAGGTACGCTGGGGTGACCTTGAAGCACATGGTTGGCAACTATTTTTCCACATTTCGAGTGTTAGCAGGGCTAATGAATTCAAAGACTCATGATTATCTGTATATAGATGATTATATTATGTAGATGCTGAAAAACAAATAAACTCCTGAATCATGCAATTCAAAATGAAAATATGAATGCCCAAACTCCTGTTGCTCGCACGCCAATATGAACCGACACGCGAGATGGTAATATTTTAAACATGTCTCTATCCTTTCAAAACAATTTACCAAGCAGCGTGACCGCCGTCAATTCGCAAATCAGCACCTTTCAATCTTTGTTAGTTTTTTTTTCTTCTTGCAAATTAATGGAGCCATTTTGGAGCGTACTTACCAGTCATGAAGCTAGAGGCGTCGGAGAGGAGAAAGACGCCAGCGCCACGGAACTCGTGAGGCAGGGACAGACGGCCAAGCATATTCTCCGAGGCCCACTGATCCTTACGGTGAGGCTGGGTGACGAAGAGATTCTGAAGCATCTCGGTCATGATGTAGCCGGGAGAGATGGTGTTGACGCGGATGCCATAGGGACCCCACTCGGCGCCGAGGTTGCGGGCGAGCTGCATGACGGCGGCCTTGGAAGCGTTGTAAACGCCGCCGTACATGCCCCTGTTGGCAATGGTGCCGCTCATCGAGGCAATCATGGCAATGGAGCCGGGGCGCTTGAGGCGGACCATCTGGCGGGCGGCGGCCTGGGCAGTCATGAAGCAGCCCGTCACGTTGATGCTCAGCATGCGCTCGCACTCCTCTTGTGAGTACTCGAGGGCGGTGGTCTCGTAGTTGATGCCGGCAGCGGCAATGAGGCCGTCGAGGCGGCCGGTGTAGTCGGCAATCTTGCGCATGGTCTCGTTGAGAGCCTCATTGTTGCGGACATCAAACTGGTGGTAGCTCAGGGTGGTGCCGAGCTCCTCGCGGGCGCGGCGCTGAACCTTGGAGAAGTGCGAGTCGGGGTCGTTGGTGGGGGGGTCCAGACGGTCAATGCAGTGAACTTGTTTTCGTATTAGTGGCGGGGATAAATTGATTTTGTAAGTGGGAGGTTGTGAGTGAAGAAAGACTAACCAATGGCACCGGCTTCGAGGAGAGCCTCTGCCTGGACGAGACCCAGACCACGAGCACCACCGGAAACGACGACGACCTTGTTCTCGAGGCTAAATTCGGGGAGCAGGTGAGGGCGAGTGACGGGGTTGGGGTCGAGGCGAGCGGGAGAAGAGTGGAAGCTGCGAGCGGCAGAGGCGGCGATGGGACGGGCCACGCGAGCAGAGCGAGCAATGGGGGTGGCAGAGGCCTTGGCCGCCAGTCGCAGAGTAGGAATCAGTACTCGCGACATTGTACTTGTAAAATGTGTGTGTATGTGTGTGTATGGGGGAGGCAGAGGATTGTGGTGGTAGTGTACAATGAGAAGCGCAAAGGCTGAAGACGAAAAAGTGTATGAGGACTGATTGAGTTGATGAAGAAGGAAGAGGGCAAGAGGTGCGGGAGAGGAGGGCGGCTTAGCTTTTTGTACGAAAAAGGAACAGAGCAGTAAAGGGTCACGATAGTTTACAAAGCGTACACACACACCAAAACTCCAAGCTTACAAGCCCCCCGGGGAGTGCGGGTGGCGGCGAGTCCACGAAGTGTGGTGTATATTGTGTGTGCGAGCTTTAGCTCAAGCGGTTACGGAGGGAGCTGGATGCGTGGCTTGACCGGAACACATACACACACACACACACCCCTCCTTTTGCGTTTTCAAAGCGAAACGGGCAAGGAAATGGAATCGTGGGGACGGTCGCGCGCGGAGAGTAGAGCGAGGCCAGGTTTTTCTCTTCCCTGCGCGTCGTGCCCGTCACGAGGACGGGCTGTAAAACCGGGGAAAGGAAAGCTCGGGGACGAGGCGAGAACGGCATCGACTTTTGGAAAAGGTGGAGAGTTTGGGGTTGTTGGCGTTGAGGGAGGGCGGGGGGAGGGGGGTGCAGCAGTGCGGCAGGGTCGCGCTTATTAGATGGACACCATCTAGACACCGGAAACAATGGACAGGAAATGAGATGGTATGGAATTTTTTTCGAGTACTAACACCGCAGAGGTCGCAGGGTCAAGGCCATGGCCCCCCGGTCCTCATATCAAATGAACACCATAGATGCTGGTATACACTTGTTGATGGCCGAAAGCACAAGTGAGAGTGCGGAAGGGATTCGGGAGTAAGCATAGAAGAGGCCGCGTGTTTAGACGCCACAAGAATATGAATTCGCTTTAGAACAAAGTCAAAGACGTGACCCAGTGCAACGGAAAGGAAACGGGCTGGACGATCATTAAAAAGTTTGAAGACAGAAGACAGCAAGGGGGAGGCAGGAGAAGGCATGCCAAGAGACGATCACGGAGGTACTCTCTGCAAAAAGCCAGACAATAGCTCAGCCAGCCAAGACAAACGTAGGCATGCACCTGATGAAAGCAACGACAAAAAACGTGTCCGGTATTGCCAGCCCGTGGCACCAGAGTACTGGTAGTAGAGTGAGGAAGCGTCGAGGAGGGTGTCTCCATTGTAGAAGCCTTTTTTAGCTTGCTTGCGCAGCCCGGAATACTGGGGATTTTTATTTTGGACGTACCCTTGGGGTAGCAGGCCGTTTGGGGCCGAGATTTTTTTTTTTATTTGCCTTTTCCCTTGTGCGCGGAGAAGAGACGGCGAATTGCAGGAAAGAACAGGTCAATTAGGTGAGTGGAAGAGAAGGGGGTGAAAAAAGAAGCAGTGGGAGCAGAGCAGCAAAAAAGAGTGTGTCGTTGGGGGAGGGGCAAGCTTCGGGATGCCTATAGAAGTTAGCGTACCGATGGAGGCGGAGAAGGAGTCTGCCGCACCAACCAAAACGCCTTTTCTTCTATTAATTAGCGGGGACTATTTCCAAGCTGACTCCCCCCGCATGCCAGACTCTCACACCCTCTTCTCCTCTATTCACCCTTTTTCACACCCATCAGTCATCAGCCATCAGTCATCAGTCATCCTCCGCAACAAATATGCCAAATTCTCACCAATCCCACCGGTCAAAGCCACCAATCCCATTTTCAATGGTGGCGGCACCCGGCGTACCGACCGCAGAACGAGGCGTCCATATCCTGCATGAACCCGCCGCATCGCCCGAGAGTTGCTTTCAAAGGATTCAAGTGCAACATGACCTGTAGCCTGTTTTTTTTTCTCTTTTTTTTTCAGCTCTCGCCCGGCATTGGCACTCAATTCGCCAAACAGGGCTTGCATCTCCCATGTATGACTATAGTATTACAAACGGCCATGGCGATGAACCGTTTTGTGCTACTAGTGCGCTGCTGTCCTTGGCAAACAACGTTGCCACTTGACACCAAGTTTTCCCACAAATCTTGCTTCGACCTCTTTTTTTTTTCCTCTCTTTTTTTTTTTGCCCCTTTGCCCAACCAAGGTTAACCAAGTTGTCGTGCTTCTCCTTCTTAGCAAGATCAGCCGTGCGACGTTTTGCCAATCGTTGTCATACCCCCAACAACTCGACACGTGGACAAGCAAGCGCAACACGGGGTCTGCCCTCGAATATCATCCAACACACCGCAGTCCAGACCCGGGACCTAATGTTCATTACATATCTTATAGGTCACCATTGCAACAAAGCTGTCCTTTGCCATACGCATCACTGTAGACGGCTACTGCCCCGCCGTGGTGCGCTGCAAATGCAATTGTATCGCTACTTTTACCACGCGGGTGGCAGTCTAGACCGCACCAAGCAGAAGAAAATTCTGCTCAATTATTCATTCCCCTGTCCATATAACCATTATACTCGCCTTGAGTGTTTGCAGCTCGGTCCTATTTGTAAAAAGTTCTGCAACATGTTGCTCAGTGGCCAAAACCCCCCTTCGTCTTTGCGTCCGATGCTCCATACGCAGCCGTCTCTCCCACGACGCTAGAGCTGAATGCAGTCTTCCGAAGCAACCTCTAGAGCATCAGCTCCACAAGTCGTCGAGGAACAAACCGTACGAATCAAGCTTTCACGAGACCCCAGATCCCCTTTTTTTCTTCTAAGGAGACTGGGCATCCGTTGCTGAGACTGTCTGGTAACTACATGCGTCTGGTAACTACATGCGTCTGGTAACTACATGCGGAATGCACTCTTGCTTTCAGGGCACCCCGGCCGCCCCCCCAGTCGGTCGCCGGATTTTAGTTAAGAGCTCGGCAGCGAATTTCCCAACCACCATCGGATTTCTCAATCCGGAAAGGACGCCCCTTCACGATGGAGGCTCGCTCGCCACCAAAACACACTCCGCCACTCTGTGCTCTCAAACACTCTTTTGTGCTTTTTGCCGACACCGGCGAAGCCAGCAACGGACACTTGTCCGCGGGCTGACGGCCTTTCGATTTTTCTTCTCTCGTGACCGTGCAAGATTAATTCCCTTGTTCCACTACCTTGTGTCGTGTCGCAGTCACCCAACTTGTTTGTGTGTCGGCTCTGACATTGATGTGACGACAAGAAAGTGCTAGGAAACAGGATTTCTGAATGAATCAATGGGCCTAGTGCACAGATCAATCATGTTGAGGGCTCTGAATCCTCCATGGTGACGATGATTGCCACTCAACACTCTCTTCTTGCCGCATCATAGCCCGCGTCGACCTCAAAGTCATTGTCATTTTCTCATCATCTAATACATAGTTACCAATGCTTCCACGGACAAATTTAGAAACTGGTGACTAGGGCGAAGCAGATCCATCAGGGGGGGCGGACTATCCGGATTGCAACTGCAACCCAAAGACAGGAAGCAATCCTGTTGGCCTGTCACCGGCCCCCAAACACCGGAGCCTAGCAGAAAAAAACTGCCCTGATTTTCGTTGACCGAAAAAGAAGAAACCCTCACACAGTCTGTTTTGCAAAACAAGAACACGGCAAGCATGCAAGGGCACATGAGCGTTCCGAATCGCAGGCTAGGGCCATCCCTGGTCGGTGTCCGAGAAAAGAAAAAAGTTACAAAAACCCAACTTGATCTTGTGAGCAAACTTCTGTGGATCTGATGGAAACTGGGGGGGCCTGCCGATGGGCACGGAGAAAGGTTCCCGGGATCCAGTTTCTTTGCATGAATTTACTCGGTATACTCCCCCCAACTCCTTGTTGCCCGCAAGGAACCAAAAAAACCCACCATGACCGGTCAGGTGGTGATGCACAGGTACAAGTTAAGAAATGAGCATAATTCCCCTGGCGGTAGGGTTTTGAAAGCAAAGGATCCTCTCTCCCTTTTTTCTACGGGTTCGCTTATTTTGCAATTACTATCTAAACCAAAAAATGCAAACGACCACCCCAGCAAGATGCAAGGAACCAAGAACTATCCAAGTCGGATCGAAAAGAGTAATCCGAGGAGCAGCAGCATGATTAAACGTGAGAAGAACAAAATGCGCGAGTCGTGTATCACATCTGTGCTGCCGCAGCCAAAACATATCCCAACACATGAATAAAGACCAGTCGTCACCCTCACCGCATCCTCGTCATGTTACTTTGACTGGATGCCTGCATAGTTTTCCTCGTACCCCTGACATTGCTGCCCAACGTCGTCTCCTGGCATTGCTGCCGTGTGTCTTTTTCTCTCAATGTCGTCTCAGACTTGTGCACAATCGCTACCACCTTGCCCCCCCCCCCAAGGAATTCTTCTTTTCTTATTGCAAAAACACGGACAATTACCACTCATCAATTTATACCTTGGAGTCGATCCACTGGTAGACCGTCACAAACGTCGTGTACACCATGGCGATGAAGCCGCCAACCATGAGCACGACGTCGAGCGCCTTGGCCCAGGGCTTTTCCGCGGCGCCCTTGTAGTGCATATACGCAGGGTAGATGTAGACGAGCGGTACGCACGCGAAGCTGCCAATGAGGGCGACAAACTTGTCGAGGTCACTGGCGCCGACGATGCTGATGCCGACGCACGCGACCATGACGAGCGAGCGCAGGCCATTCTTCTGCCACTTGATGGCGAGAGACTTTTTGCCCGTGGCGCGCTCGCCAAACAGGGACGTCTCGATGATGCGCACGGCGGGGAAGAGCTGCACGGGGTCGCCGGCGAGGACGGCGACCGAGTAGAGGAACTGGACGGCGTTGACGAGGGCCGAGTCTTGCGGAAAGTTGGAGATGATTTGGATCTTGGTGTCCTCGCCAAAGGTGGCGTAGCAGAGTGCGCCGACCGAAGTGAAGATGATTGTGATGAGAAACATGACAAAGTAGAGCAATGGCCCAAAGTGGTGCGGCTTCTTCATCGACGACTGGATCGGCAGGATGAGCCCGATGCCTTCAAATGTGAAAATGGCGGAGCCAATGGTGAGCGGGAAGTCGACGGGGTTGAAGAGCCGAATGGGCGCGGGGCCGCGTGTGGCCAAAGCCGAAATATCGTAGTACCAGATGTAGACGAGGCCAAAGAGGATGAAGACGTCGGCGATGAGCGCGGCGAGGCCAAGCTTGGAAATGTTGCGAATCAGCGCCATGGGCACCAGCGGCACCAGCTGAAGCGCAATGAGCGCGGGCACGCCAAGGCTAAACGCGCCCTCGCCCCGCGTCACGGCATTGAGAAACGCGTAGAGGTTCTCGGCGGAGAAGATGAGGCCGGAGCAGACGAAGCCGAGCTGGGAGAGGGCAATGGAGAAGAGAATCATGCTGCGGAAGCGCGGGCCGACAATGGCGGCGCCGAGCTCGCCGTAGCCGCCGCCGTAGCGCGCGCGGCACTCGAGCAGCAGCTTGAAGCACACGCTCGTGACGAGCGACACGGTCACAAGCGTCATGCTCGAAAAGACCATGCCGCCGTTGCGAAACGCCTTGGGCAGGAACATGATGCCCGTGCCGATAAAGGCCTTGAGGAGCGTGAAGAAAGTCTTGGTCGTGCTCGCATCACCCTCGCGCGCCAGCCGGCGAGCGCTCTTCTTGCGGCCCAGTGCCGGCCGCCGGCGCCGACGGATCAGCGGCGAGACCTCGTTGGCGCCGTCGTCGTCGGGGGCCGAGTCGTCAATCGCCGACTCGTCCTCGGTGTATTCGTCGTCGGTGTCGTCGAGGTCCTCGCCGGCAAAGCTGCCGTAGAGGTCGAGAAAGTCGACGAAATTGCGCGCAAAGACAGGGCCGTGAGAGGCGCGCCGCTTACGCGCCTCGTGCAGCAGGTGCTGCCGGCGGAAGCCGCCCGGGACGCGCTGCTCGTGGTAGGACAAGTCATCGGCGGGCTGCAGGCTGGGCGAGGGCTGGTGGGAAAAGGTGTTGGCGCGGCGGAGGGAGTTGGCGCGGGCCTTGATGCGGAATATTTCGCGGTGAATGTCGCCGCCCTGTAGCCTGAGCGACGACTCGACCACGTCCGAGTCGGGGCTCTCGCCGTCCTCGGGTGACCCGCCCGCGGCGGCGGCGGTCCCGGCGGCGGAGAGCGTCGGGGAATCGGACTGGTTCAGCGTCAAAGGGCTTTCGAGGAGTGCCGCGTCGACTGGCTCGGCTGACAGGCTGACGTGAGGATCGGCAGAGTAGCCATCGGGCAGGTGGCGGTCGAGAATCTCGGCGGTTCGCTCCCTGCTCTGGCTCGCAGGGCTACCCGGGGGGATCTCGCCGAATTCTTCCATGATGGTTAAAGGGCGGGATGAGGGAGAAGAGAGAAGCAAAAGCGCTGATGAAAGAAAATATTTCTCTCTTCGATGACGATGCCGAGCCCAATCAACAGTGGAGTGGATTGAGGTTACACGGGAATAAGCGATGCACAAAAAAAAGCGGGCAGAAGATGGGTTATTGGCACACTTCCATCTCTGTCCGTACCAATTAGATTCGAGAACCAGAGCAGGATACTCAAACTCTCTGGTAGATTCTTAGGCCTGCTGGGGCGGTGAGGTTGGGTGGTGAAAAGCGGTTGTTGACACAGGAGCTGATGGGGGAAGAGAGAAGGAAGAAGTGTTTGTCGGCCTGCAACGGTGCCGAATGTCACTGCTAAGAGTGGGGATCAGCGGCCGGTGACGGAGACGGGCCGAGCAGGGCCTGGGCGGGCGCTGGAGGCCAGAGCGTTGTTGGCCTGAGGAGAGAAAAAAAAAGAGAATAATATGAGGCACTGGCGGAAATTACTGGCAATGAACTCTAGACGGGCGTGTTTGTAGCGATGTTTGCTTGTTTGCATTGCACGAGCTGTCGTGCGAGTGGTCAATGGATGCGGTGACGCCATAGAGGTCCATTTCCCCTCGCAGAAGATTGCCTTGATGTGTCGGATGTGTCGAGAAAGTAGAGATTCACAACCATTCTGGTATTTTATCGGAATTCTCGGCCTACAGTTTGTTGTCTTCATAGTCGGTAAGAAACCGTCCTATTTACGGCCAGCTGCGATGTCACATACCAACGGTGGCGGCATGAGCCATAGGTCAACTGACATGACCACAATGCAGATCGTGAAGGCGATACTACATAAAAGAACAACCAAGGCTAGTTCTCTGGACATTCAAATCTCTTCGTAGATATGACTACATTACCCAGATAGACCATGCACAGCCAAATTTGCAGCAAAAAAGAAAAAAAAAGAAAAAAAAAAGAAAAAGAAA